ATCAGGTTTATTTGCATGTCCATTTCATTTCAAGATCATTTTTTTGTGTGTGTGTGTGTGATGATTTTGGAAATGAAATGATTATTATTTAAAGAGACACTCCTCATTGTTTTCATCATCTTCATCGTCTTCTTCTTCTTCTTCTTGCCAATGGCTGATTGATCGACCAAACCGATTTTTTTTCATTCATTCATTCAATCCATCCATCCATCCATCAAACAATTGATCTTTTGATCATCATCATCATCATCATTATTGCTCAATTTCAAAATGTTTATCATCCTCGTAACCAACTAACCTAACTAACTACCTTACCTTACCTTACCTTACTCTACAAATAAACACACACACAACCAAAAATTACAGTACGACCAAAACATATGCAGTAGCTACTTTATAGAAAGAGAAACGATATATAATGAAGCCGATCACCAAAATAAAATTAAAAGAAAAAACCAACCATACCATTATAATATAGCACTATTCTTTCGAAACAAAGTATCCTATGTCCTTGAAAAAAAAGTGAATTCAGATATAGTTGATATACAACAACAACAACAACAACAACAACTAAAGAGAATGAATGGAAAAAAATTAACTCTTCCATTATATATCCAGTGCAAGCAAAATTGAAGAAAATGGAAAAATGAAAAGGCGCCATGATTGTCCAAAAATCAAAATTGTTCATTTTTTTTTGTTTGATGCCTGTTTTAGTTACCAACAACTCTTCGTGGTCCAGCTTGTTACCATCATCATCATCATCATCAACATCAACATTACCATCATCACATACCATTACCATTTCGTCTATTATCATTCACCATCATCGACAAAGAAATTGAAATCGACATCAGATGTAAAAGAAAAAAAGAATGAAATGGATAGATATGTAATAGACGCTGAAATATAATGATAGACTTGTGTCGTATGTATGTATGTAAGCACATTGTGCTTATATGAATTGGCCGATTGTTGTTGTTGTTGTTGTTGTTCGTTAGAACAACGTGTTTAAATCATTTTTATGTGGATAAATTTTAAAAAGAAAGAAATGTTGAAAAAAAAGAAAGACAAGAAGTCATCAGAGTATAACACATACGCACACACACACATAATGATTATAATGAAATGAGACAATCGTCAAAATAGAAATAGAAATAGAAATGAAATCAAAACAAAACATGTATATATTTGTCATCAATGAATGAACGCAAAAGAATTACAACAACAACAACTAAAAATCGTTTACATTCATACAATATTCAATACAATCGATATTACGAACCAGAAAAATCGAATGGCAATTTTTTTCAAGGATAACACAAAGAATTGTGTGACAAACAAATGTGCATTTTATAAACAAAAAACGGCCATTACACACACACACACACACAGACATTGTATATGCAAACACAATTATGTCCATCATCATCATCATCACGACCAGGTGAACAACATATTCAACCAACCAACCATCAACGATTAAATAATGATTTAATCGAAACAAACAAAATAATAATAATTTGTTCAATTCAATCAACAAGTGTGTGCGTGTAGTACGACCACACTAGTGAAATCTGGTGGTGAAAAAAAATCGCAAAGGAAAAACAAACATTAATCGATTGTAAAATGATCACAGACAGGTGGATTTTTCTCCGGAAAAAAATGATAATAATAAAAAAAACCAAAGAAATCATATTTTTTCCCATTTAACATTCGTTTATTTCAATTAAGATGTCAAACATTTATTGAAATAACTGTTCTGGATAGTATCATCTAGACTACTACTACTACTACTACCACTATTTGCCATTCCTTGAATTTTTTTTCTTCGTATATTCAAATCATCAAATCGTTAAAAAAATATGATGATGAACAACAGGACAACAACAAGTCAAATCATTTAAATAATCATCATCATTTTTTTTATTGAAAGGTAAAAAAAACTATCCAATGAACCCAATTTCTTATTTGAAGCATAATATTTCAATAATAATTCGAATGAATGATGATTCAATTGGTATAATATTATGCACACACACACACACATACATACAGACAGATCGACAGATAGATTGAAATGAAAATGAAATAAAAAATAAATTAAATTAGAATAACACACACACACACATCTCTAAACCGATAGATTGAAGAATTCATTAAATCTCGAGGGCACATCTATACAAAAAAAAACTTTAAATCTTCTTCATCTTCAACAAGTGATCTATACAACAACAACAACAGTTATCTTTCTTTATGTTTCTCTCTTTCTCTCTCACAAAATTGATATTCAATGTTTGTATGTGTGTGTGTGTGTGTTTGAAAAATTGAAATTAATAATAATCAAAACCAAACATTTATCTACAAACATACAATTGTTGTAATAACAACAACAACAACAACAATTGGATTGAATTGATCGAAATGAACAATTTTTCAATTCATTCATCCTTCCTTTCTTTTTTTTTCTTTGATTGATCGATTGGATTTGATCTATTTGAACCCAAAACGAATGGTGAATTGAGAATTGTGAAATTCAACCATCATTTGTTGTTGCTACTACTACTACTATAAAAATGATGATGATATGTATAAAATGATAAATGGTTAAACGAAATTAAAATTTTGATTGAAATGAATTGAACTAGATTAGACGACAAGATCAAATATACACAAACACACACACACACACACACACACACATCGATCGCCTTCGTATTCAAAAAGATCAAAAATACTTTCAAACTTGTTAACAATGATGATGATGATGATGATATTTGAATTATTCAATTCAACAATAACAGTATTGGAATAGAAAAAGAAAAGGATCAATCATTCTAAACGTTCGTTTTTTTCTCTGAATGTAGATCATCTCCATCATCATCATCATCATCATCCAATTGAAACATCAGACAATCAATTGAATAATAAAGGAAAGAAAAATTGAAGCATTCAAATCATCAAACTACAAATAAATTGGGCAAAGAAAAAAAAATATTCAATAAAATCTATCGAATAATATAGTTTGTGACATGAAGAAAGTGTTTTTTTCCGTTATTGGATGAACAAAAAAAAGGAGTGTCTGATGACGAACATTAAATAAAAATTTAAATGTCAAAAACAAAAACTCTGGACTGTGGAATCTTGATTGATTTTTCAATTCGAATTTTTTTTTTTTTTTTTAAAGAAAACCAATACAGATTCAGAATCGCAATAATAACTAATGATGATGATTATACATCTCTCGGAAAGTGTGGCTAAAAATATCTTTCAATGTAAGATATATGGAAAACAGATGATATTTGATCATCATCATCATCATCATCATATCAGTGGATCATCATCAGCATCATTGATCTTTTTTCTTTCAAAAAAAAAAATTTATATGACAAGACACCAAAGATCTGATCATTTACCAAAAATATGTTGCCACACACTCATACAGCGATAGACAGACATGAACGTCAAATGTTTACAATGTCAATGAAGAAAAAAAAACAAACAAAATCGAAAATCTCTTCCTTTTTCTAAACACCAAAAAAAAAAAGATGCCAAGAGGATTGCCACAATGCTGCTTCTTTCTTATTCATTTTACACATTACTAATGGCCATTTTTAATAATGTGTATACACAACAACTAAACATATGAAAACAGATGGCCAAAAAAAAAAAAATCACAACAACAGAAACAAATCCGTTATCGATTTTAACACATCCGGTTAATTTTTTTCGTTGTTGTTTTGGTAAAACATACAATCATCAATCAATCAATCAATCGATCAATCTTTGATCAAATCTAAATCAAAATAAAAAATTTTTTTTTAAACAAACATTTTTCTCATTGGGCTCACAATTAATGATTCTGTTGTTGTTGTGTGTTATATAAAATTCTTTTTTTTTGTCAATCATCATATCAGTTATGATATTTATAACTGAATAACAACAACAACAACAACAGTAGAAAAAAAAATTATTCAAATTAGAAAAAAAAGGAAGACCAGTGGAAACAACAACAACAACAACAAAAAAATCAATCTAATCATCATTAGCATTATATGCTGGTTGGGAATTGGCGCAACACCATATATACAATCAATAATGATGGTGACCATTTTTTTTTTCATTTCACCAAAATTTTTTTAAACAAAAATAACGATTCGATTAATTCAATTTAATGATAATTTATAATGGCACCATCATCATCATCACCATCATCATCATCAACAACAACAATAACGAGAAAAAAAATTGTAACCTTGTAACATTCATCCGCAATTAATTACAGAAAGACCAGAAGACTAAAAAAAAAAAAAATTTCAAATTTCAAATAAACCTTGGAAATATAAATGTGATTGGAATTTAAAAAAAAAAACAAATTTACAGATTGAAAAACATTGATGATGATCGATGAATCAAAAAGAAAACTTTGTAGATTAATGATAATTCTTTACCATTGTAGTGTTAGTGCTAACTATGTGATTTTTAAAATACAAAATTTGAATACAAAATTCGAGAAAAAATTTTTTTATATAATGATGATGCAGCCATCATCATCATCATCATAATCGAAATCGAAATCGAAATCAAAATCAAATCGAATGAAAAGATTAAAAGAAAAATTTCTTCATTGATTTTTATCGCATACAATTTCACTTTCTCATTTCTTTTTTCTCTCGTACATCTTTTGTCTCAGATTTGTAAAAAAAAAATCCAATCAATCGATCGAATGAAAATACTATAACTTGTCTCTCTCTCTCTATATTGTCCATGGATGAAAAAACTCAATAAATCTCAATTAAAAGATATTACAAAAATTCAAATCAATCATTCATTCATTCGATTTACCATTGAAAATAGCGATAAAATGCAACACACAAACGCATGCGCATATTTGTTTCAATCATCATCAACAAAATGAATTTTGAACATGATAATTAAACAAAACAAAAATTATGTCAAATATGATGTAAAAGAAAATCAAAAAAAAAAAATTTCAAACTTACATTATCATTATTGGCAAGCATAAAACAGTCATTGGAAGATTCATGTTTTAAATTCGGAAGAATTTCACGTTGATCATCATTTTCGTTGTTGCTACTGCTATAATCGATACATGGATCAGCGTCATAATCACCATCGTCATCTTGAATTGAATTTTCCTCATCTTCATCATCATCGTCATCCATTTCATCATCGGTGGTGTAAATTTTTCCACAATTTTCACCAAAACTTTTATCATTGAATAATTCTGCATAGAATTCATCAAGATCATGTATAATTGCTTCAAGATCTTTTCCCACACATTCTTCAGATTGAATATTATTATTATTCATAGTATTTGTTGAATTTTTATCCAAATTTACATTTGATTCTATAATTTGACAATCATCATCATCCTTTTGATCATTTTCATTGTTGATTTTGATTTCAACATCATTTTCATTATGTAATGATTCAAGTGTAACAAGGTCATCAGGAATTGTTGTCACATTTTCAATAATAACATTATCACCATCATCATTATCACCGTCAACATTCATATCGACAAATTTCATTTGTTGGCCACTCTTATTGACATTAAACATATGATCCATATATGATGAAGCTGATTTAGATTTTCGATGATAATTCCAATGATCCTTCAATTCTGGTACATAAATAGCCATTAGATTATCAACAATATTAATTTCAACATTTGTATCCGTTGTCACTGTACGTTGTTGGATTTCAACAGAATTTTCATTATCATTCTCATCATTACTATTATTATCATGCAAGTGAATAACATTACTATTTTCATTCGTATACAATAAAGATGGATCATCAACGGTTGATTTGAATGAAAGTTCGGATGAAAATGAAGACATATCATCATCATTATCATTGATGTTGTTGTTACTGCTACTGTTGTCATTAAATAATGAAGGTGGTAATGATGTCAACGTTTCAGGATCGGATTGTTTGATTGAATTCCCTCCATTATCAATGTCTGGTAATGTTGAATTTTCTGATGATAATGATGATGAAGCATTAATATTCAAATTGACATTATAATCCATTGTTTCGGTAGTGGTGTTTGTGGTCGTCGTCGTCGTCGTGGTGGTGGTGGATAAATGACAATTTTCAGGGATAAATGAAAATGTTTTCTTTGTTGGTGACAACATTTTGTAATTGGTTTCTTTTCACTTCAAATTTGACATTTGAACGATGAAAAGAAGATGAAATTCCGGAAATTCAAACTAATGATTCAACTAATGGATTGGAAAAAAAATAAAAAAAAAATGAAATAATGATTTTACAAGGTTATAAATGGAAATCAGTTAATAGTTGATTGATTGTACAACAATAACTGGTATATATAAATACTTACAACAATCGAAAAAAAAGATTAAAACATTAAATTCAAAATAATAATGATTTTCAGCTTTTTAATCAAATTTTGAAAATTCGAATTACTTCGATAAATTATCTTCCAGTTTGTGGACATATAAAAACATTGAATTTTGATGAATATATTTATCTTATGAAAACAAAATCATCATGATGATTTAATCTTTCAATTTTTTGAGCTCTGTTTAGTAGTATGTTTTTCCCTTATTAAACAACACAAATGATGATGATGATGATGATCACACCAAGGGTAATAATAATGTGTGTGCATTTATATAAATGTGAGATAATAGATCTCAACTATATTCACAATAAATGAACAACACAATATATATTTTGGTGTGCGCGTTCCAATGTTTTGGTTTATAGTTGATTTGTTTGCAGTTCATTCAAAAACATCGTTACAACTTTTGTTTTTTTTTATTACTTGAACACACACACACAAAACATGCATGTGTTTGTCTTTTTTTTTCACTTTCACTGTGTGTGTGTGTATCGTATACGAAACAAAACAAAACACAGAACACACAGAACACACAGACACAATAACAAGGCGCGCAATTTTTTTCGTCGTCAATTTTAACCGAACCAATAGATTTTAGAAAAAAAATGTTGAAATAGTCGATATCATTCAGTGATGTTTTTTTTTATAATTTTTATCTTTTTTTTTTAGTATTTTTACATTAAAAATGGATAAAATTAAATCAATATTTAGAATCGATGATGATCAATATGGAATAAATTTTGGATAGACACACGATTTTTTTTTATAATAAAATCATCACATATTATTCATATAAATATATCCAAAATCAATTGAACTGATAATCAATTTTTAGCACACACACACACACAAAGTAATGAATTTATTCAGATGAAGATGATCAACGATATGAAGATAAATGATGATGATAGAAACAATATATATCGAATGTAATGTATAAAAAGTGATGAACGATTTTAAAAGATTTGAATAAAAACCATGAATGATAAAAAAAAAATTTACTTAAAAAAAACATGCGAGTCGTTACCTTTTTTTTGTCGCAGTAACTGCTCTATCGTAGCAGCAGCAGCAGCAGCAGCAACAACAGCATCATCATCATCAAAAGTAACAAAATTTATGAACATTATCATGGATCAACAATAAATGAGGAATCTTTTGAAAAAAAAAAAATTTTATACAACATTTAAATATCTATAAATGAAAAGATTTTAAAAAAATTTTAAAAAACAAATTCATCATCACCGTTTAGCTATTACACACTATTATCCGGTTCATTTATTTCATGAAAGGAAATGATTGCAAATCCAATCAATATTTAGTAGATACACACACACATTATAATGAAAATTCTTTTCATTTTCAATTCGAATGTTTTTGAATTCCATTAAAAAAAAAAATTTCATTGTGAAATTAGATTGGCCACCAATGACAATCAATGGTGGTGACATAATCATAATATAATAATGACATATGGATTTTTTTCTTTTGCCTGAGAAAATTTATGGAACAACAACAACAACAACAACAATTTCAGATTCAGATTCAAAAAAAAAGACATTTACATTTGGTAATGATGATTATCGATGTGTGATTTTTTTTTCTGGACGACGAAGAAAAAAAAATCAGCCAACCAATAATAGATCATAATTCGTAATTTTCAACAATCATCATCATCATCATCATCAATGATCCATGATGTAATATGATTTTGATGATTGTCATACAATAAAATGGTTTTTATCATTTTTCTGTATATTTCTTCTACATAATGATGATAAAATATTCTTCCATCATCATCATCATCAAAACACGTGCACAATTTCTCTATGAATGAATGCAAAAAAAAATAGATCATCAAACGAGTCTTGTTATTCTTAGATGTGAAGAAATGTTTCGACAAACATGACGATTTCTTCAACAACAACACACAACAACAACAACAACCACGATGACGTTACCCAACGCATAAGATGATGTGATTTTATTTCACCATAAATGTTTGGAATATGAAACTTTCTTATTCAATTCAAAGTAAACTTCGTGAATTAGCCATCAATTTTATTCGTTGCTGGGTATAAAAAAAAATTCAAGAATTTTTTCTTTCACATCACCATCATTATCAATGGTGATCATTGGCCATCATAAAGAAAATCGTGTAATAACACAACAATGTAACAAAACAATAGCAACGAGAGAATATTATCATTATCTTGATCGTTGAATAATAAGAAATCTTAAACAACAACAACAACAACAACAACAACAACAAAAAAATTGAAATAATGGATAAGATCTCGAACAAGTTTTGTTACAATTTTTTCTTTCTTTCTTTCTACCATTTTTCCATTATCACATCACAAACATTGCACGTGTTGAATTTTTTCTATATATCTCATCACCAAGATGTGTTTGTGTTGAATTACATAATAACGATGAAAAAATTCGTTATTTTTTTCTGTTGTTCTCAGATGATGATGATGACAATAAAGAAAACAATTGACCTCGAATCTTATTTTTTTTTTTTTCATTGAATGAAAATTACTTTTTTTTATGTTATTATTGTCGCCCAAAGTGAACAACTTTTTGATGATCGACGACAACTAACGACGATTCAATTCGATGTTAAAATGATGATGATGATGATTGATGGGCGTCAATTTTATCGATTGGCTAATAATTGTCATTTTTTTTTTTTTTTTTTTGATTATAATTTTTGATCCAAATAAATAACAATGATGATTGATTGAAGATTAATAATAAATCGATTTAAATTCTTTTTTTTATAAAAATTTGTCCGATAGATGGCAGAAGAGACAATTTTAATTTGAAAAAAATTCGTTATTTTTTCTGTGATAACGTCACTTGTGGATTGTGTGTGTGTGTGTGTCAACTTTGATTTTTTTATTTTATTAAATTTTTTTTGCTGAAAAACATTTTGATTTTAACGTTTTTTTTCAAATTAACAATGGCAACTGATGATAAATCTGATGATAAGAAATCATTGATTCTTAAATGGTTAACACAATGGCGTGATCAATCTCGACAACATGGTAGTAAATTAGAATATGTTTATGGCAAGGTTAGTTTTTTTTTATAAAATCGATTTATGAAAAATTTCAAATTTTTTTTTTGAATTTAGGCATTAAAAACTCTTCGTGAACATCCTCATCCAATAAGTTCTTGTGATGATTGTAAAAAATTAAAAAATTTTGGACCAAAAATCTGTGAAAAAATTAATAAAGAATTTACCAAACTTAATAATACTGGTGATGATCGTTTATTATCTAAAACAGCCGTTTCCAGTCAACAATATTCACCAAAACGTACATTAACCGATATTTTACCTGTTGCTGTTCGTCCTAAACGTCCATTGATATGTACTCCTAAACAATCAGCAAATATTTTTGCCAAAAATAGTCCACCAGTTAAAATCACGAAAACAGCAACACAACGAAATGTAAAAAATTGGGTTCCAACTCCCGGTCAAACACCATTTGCAATTTTAGTTGCATTACTTCGACGTCATTTAGAATTCGATGATAGCCGAGTAAATAAATTGGATCTTCAAGATATGGCCGAACTTTATACGACAACACGACCATTGATTTTAACTGCCGCATTGAATTCATTGATTCATCGACGACAATTAGTCGACAAAACTTCTGATCGAAATGCTAGATATTTTCTTACCGATAGTGGACGAAAATTGGCCATACAATTAGCGAAACAATGTCCTATGCTAAAGGATTTTGTTGCTCGTTTCCTTAACGATAAAAATAATCTCATTACTAATTATTTCGAAACCCGAGATTGCACCGAATCGATTCAAACTCCATGTCAGAATTTTATTCTTGAAGCCGGTACCTATGACATAGTACTTTGTATTGATACTAGAGAACGATATTCTGATAGAAATGGTACTCAAAATCGAACTGCATTTCCAGTGGCTCTTCAACAAAAAGGTATACTTATCGAAATTCGTACCCTTCCGTTGGGTGATTTTGTTTGGATAGCTCGAGAGAAAATTCAAACATCAACCGATTCAAACAATCAAACTATTGTTCAACAACAACAACAACAAAAAAAAGTTCGCCGTGAATTAGTTCTCGACTACATCATTGAACGTAAACGTATTGATGATTTGGCTAGTTCGATAAAAGGTCATCGATGGAATGAACAAAAATTTCGTTTACGAAATTCTGGCATACGTAATCCAATGTATTTAATCGAATATTTTGGAAAAAAATCTCGTAAACAAGATCATGGTTACCTATCGGCAGCCACACTTGAACAAGCCATTTCGAATTGTGAAATCGATGGATTCGAAATAAAACTTACCGATAGTTTCGATGAAACCGTACGATATTTAGCCAACATGTCACGATCATTGCAATGTTATTATCAAAATAAATCATTACTTTCTTGTCAAGATAAAAAACAACTTGGACGTACCTGTGCAAAAGATTTTGTCTACATGACATTCAATGAATTTGTTACAAATTCAAGTAAAATAACCATATTTACAGCTAAAGAAATGTTCATCAAACATTTATTACAGATACGTGGTTTATCAATGAAAAAAGTTGAAACTTTAATCAAAAAATTTCCAACCATTCGTTCACTTTTTCAAGCATATTCCATGTTAAAACATGATGATGATAGTAAACGTGAAAATCTATTGACAAATTTAAAATGTGATTCACTTTCAGGCACACAAGATCGTCGTCTAGGTCCTGTGTTGAGTAAAAAAATTAATTATTTTTACAATTGATCTCTCTATTGATTTTGACATTTGATGATGAATATATTTTTTTATTGTTTATTCTTAAAAAAAAAGATTTTTTGCATTAAATGAACATTGATAAAAAAAAGAGAAAAATTTTTGCTTTTTGACAATTAATTTTCCATAGGTTGTTGTGATTGTTGTGTAGCCGTCGTGGTCTGTGTGTTGATTGTTGATTGTGTACACGAATTTTTCACATCAAATTTTCGATCAAATTCAATTGGATCAAATGGAATTGATTTAGTTATGTTGAATGTTTTATAAATACCAATTAAACGATCGGCCAATTCGTACATGTTGTTTCGTAAAGAGATAATCAAAAATTGTGTATTACGTGTTCGTTTTTTAATATAATTGGCAATGATTGATACATTTTTGAAATCCAATGCAGCATCAATTTCATCCATTATATATAATGGTGATGGTTTATAATAATGAAGTGCAAATATTAGGGCCAATGATGCTAATGTTTTCTCACCACCCGATAGATGGATATTTATCTTCCAGGTTTTTTTATTCGGTCTTACAGCATAATTAATTCCTTCGGAGAATGGATCCAATGAATCGATAAATTCTAGATCGGCATCACCACCCAATGTAATTGATCGATACAATTCTTTCAATTTACGTGCAATAATTAGATAGCCAGTTTTGAATTCTTTAAAACGACGATCTTTTGTTTCTCTCAAATGTTCCATATACAAATCACGTTTAGCTGTAATGTCATCCAGATCAGCAACTTTCGATAGATAATCACGTCGATTTTTACGGAATGTTTCGATAGCTCCAAAATTTGGTGATAAATTTTGCCGCTCATGGTGAAAGGATTTGATATTTTTTTCAATCATGTCAACAGACAAATGTTCTAATTCTTCATCGGATAGTATAGGAATGATCATATGTTCCTTCTTTGATTTTTCTTGTTCTGATGATTTCACGTTTGTTTCAGGTGTTTGATCATCAATTTCCATTTGTTGTTGATCATCTTCGTCTTCATCAATCGGATCCAATTTAATCGATTCCAATTCAGCCAGATATCTAGCTATTTTTTCACGTTTTTCATTCAAAAATTTAAACTTTTCTTCGGATTCCAATTTCAAATCTAATTCACTATTTTTGATCGCATTAAACTTGGCATCGATTTCACGTACTCGTGTTCGAAGATCATTGAGCTCCTGTTCTTTTTTATGACATTCTTCTTGAGCATTTTCATATTTTTCAGTTATTTCTTTGGCAACGATTTCAAGTTCTGCAATTTGTTTCTTAATTTCTTCCATCTCTTGTTCAGTTTCTTGTTGACTTTTCATATTATTAGCCAATGCTTCTTCAACTTTTTTCAAATTTAATTCAGCAGCCGTCTTTTCCGAAACAAGTTGGTTCAAATGCGTTTGATTTTCTTTCAGATTTTTTTCCAACGTTTTACGTCTTTTTTTCAATGGACCCATACGTTCATTAATTTTTTCATTGATTAAATTATCAAGATCTTTAACCTTATCTTGTAGTGAATCCATTTCGGACATGGATTTTTCATAAACTTGTTTAGCTTTTAGATATAGTTGTTCGGCATCATCTAATTGCGGATTTTTTTTTAGCTTCTCCATTTCAATCTTTTGCCGTTTGATATTTTCCTGAACTAATTTCAATCGATTAGCCGATTCTTTTATATCCAATTGAAAGCTGTTCACTTTTTCTTCCATGAATTTTAAATCTCTTTCCAAATGGGTGATATTATTACGGATATTATCGATTTCGTTATCAATATTTTGTCGTTCCGCTTTTAACGATTCGATTTCATTCTCAAGTATGACCGCTTTTTCTTCGGATTCTTCGGACCCGGTCTCAGTAATCGACTGTCCCATGCCACCGGATTTAGGCCTACCGCCACCAGTCATGGCACCATCCATTTCGATCAGATCACCACTTAAAGTTACAACGCGATATCGATTTTGACGAGTAATACGCCGGGCTTGATCAATATCTTGGGCAACCAAAGTTTCACCCAACGCATAGTAAAATGCAGGACGAATTTGCTCATCATTTATACGGACCAAATCAAATAGACGAGAAACTCTTTCGGGATACGATACTGATTCTTCCCATCGAACCCTGAGCTTATCTAACGCTATGAACGTGGCTGGTGGTAATTGATTTTGTTTTAAAAATTCCACACATTTTTGTGCATTATCAATAGTATCGACAACAAAATTTTTCAAACGACCACAAGCAGTTGAAACAGCAACATCATATTTTTTATCAATGGCACCAAGATCACCCAAACGTCCGTATATGCCTTCCAAACTTCTTTTGTGTTTAGCATCCATCAATGCATTCCGAATGGCATCACGTGATTGAACCTTCTTAACCGATTGTCGAATATCAAGAAGTTCAGTTGCTTTATGATTAATCATTTCAGTTAGATCAATACGTTTCTGTTCTAAAGTTTGAAATTTTTGTTGAAATTTTTTCAACTTAGATTGATCTACTGGTATTTCTTGCTCATACTTTTCAACCATACGATTCTTTTCATTTGTTTCATCTTGTATTTGTTGAAATCTATTTTGATGTTGTTCATATTTATCTTTAGTTGAATCAGCTTGTTGTTTGTAAACCATGTATTGATTATATGCTTCATTCATCTGATCCAATTTTGAGCTTTGCATGTCTTTGAATTGAATCGATTCCAAATTAAGCTGATCACGTTGTTGAATTAAATCTGAACAAGCTTTTTGTGCAATAGCTGTTTCTTCATTCATTTTTACTTCAATTTGTTTGATTTCCGATTCCATTTCCGTCTTTGATTGTTCAAGTTTTTCTATCAATTCATCATTTTGAGACGGCATATCGCTCCATTCGTCTAGTTTTTTTTGATCTTCAACAATTTTGTTTTTCAATTTTTTCAACTTGTCTTTTGTAGATTTTCTTCTTTGATTAAAATATAAATCATTTTTATTACATTCTTGAAATTTTATTCTCAATTTTTCAGCATCTTTTTTGATCTCAGCAAATTGTACCGTTTTGGCTTTTTCCTCTTCATCCAGTGTCGCTTTCTCCAATCCGATGGTTTCTTCTTCATCGTTCAAATCTTTGATTTTTCGCTCGAATATGGCATACTCTTCTTCATGTTTTTGCATTTTTTTTGCCAGATTATATCGATGATATTGAACAATTTTTGCCTTTTCAATTTTTATTTTATTTTCCAACACTAAAGCTTGTATGGCTTCATTTTTAGCTTTTTCACTTGATTTCATTTCTTTCTGAGCAAAATTGGCACGAAGTACATACTGAGTTCTTTGTTCATTAAATTCATTATATTTAACGGCAAGTTTGTCGATTGGTTCTTTGTAACGAGAGGTACCGATTATATCTTCAAGATATTCCAACATACCGATATCACTATTTGGATCGGCTTTCGGTTTCATTAAGGATATCTGTTCAACTTCACCTTGAAGAATTAGAAACCGATTATAACGAAGATCGATTCCGACTTCTTGAAGTTTTTTCGATACATCTTTGAACAGCACTTTACGATTGTCAATCATATAATGAGAGGAATTATCTTTGCTAACTACACGACTGACAGTGAATCGAGTGCCATCGATTATATGGACATTTTCATCACCCTGTAGAAATACAAATTAAAATAATTTATAATTAAATTACATTATCGTCAGAGACTAACCTTATCGTCGATCATGGCAAAATTAACATCAACTTGAGCAAATTGACAATCAGGCAATAATTCACTATTATGAATGATTGACGAAATCTTCGTGCAACGAAGTTTCTGAGCACGGTAGCCAAACACAAACAACATTGAATCAATGACATTTGATTTACCGCTTCCATTTGGTCCGACAATAGAATTAAAACTTTTATAAAAAGGTCCAAGTAGACTATATCCACCAAAAGATTTGAAATTGGTAATACCGATCGTTTCAATAATCAAACGTTCACCAGTTTGATCATCCAAGTTTTGTGGTTGAAGAGGAGGCGGAGGCATGTAAATATCATCAATGACTGAAATGAATGAAAACAAAAGATTAGATGTGAGAACATAAATTATGACACATACTTTGAGTACCACATTCTTCATGAAATTGTTCTTCGAAATCATTTCCAATACTATTACGTTTACCAATCGATAGACGATTATCATCAATTAAACTTGAATCTTGATTTTTACGAATTCGAGGCATTTTTTTAAAAAAATTATTCTGAAAAAAATTCGAAAATCATCATTCAGTTGGCGGTTAATTTGAGTGATTTATTTTTTTGTATACATTTCAATGATGGAAAAAATTTCATACAAATAAGACGTACTGAAATTACCCTGTTTTTTCGATTCAAATTTTTTTTTGTCAGCATTATTGCCACCAAACGGCTAAATTTTCAAATTAATATGGCGTTAGTTTGACATTGATGAGCATGCGTTGTTCGATGTATGAAACGGATTTTTTTTTTTTTTTTTTTGAGCACACATCATTGCTCACAACACACACACTCACTCACTCACTCACTCGCTCCCTTTTTCTATTTGTACGACATTGAGTCAAGGTGTGTGTGAATGGTTCCACATTCGATGTTTTTATACATTTTTTCACTTAATTCTATTTGGACGGGATTGAGCCAAGGTGTGTGAATGGTTTTTTCGTTTCTTAATGCGCGCAAGATGGAACAATCTGAAGTAATTTATGAAATTAATCAAGATAATATAATCCAAACGGAACAACAACAAAAGCCGGTAACATCAACCGCAGTTGAAATTAAACAAGAAATTACTGAAAATAATATGGAAATCGAAAATGATCATCAAATATTGATCGAACAAGAAGGTTATCAGGTATCGCTCGATGATTTTGTCAATTTTCATAATGATCAAATTAAATCAATGAAAGAAGATAACCATTATCTGACAAAAGGTTTTGATATTATGTACAAGTACAAAACTGTTTTGGATCTCATCATTGATGATTATTTTAAAGATGACAAGCATTTTAAATATAAAACCATTGTCGAATCATTGGAAACCGATCTTGTTACTTTTATTGCCGATGATGAAGAGAAATATCAACAATTGATTCAAGAAGTTAATACAGATATTGTTTTAAATGAAGAAAATCAGCTCGAATTTGTTGAACTTGAAAATCCTAATCAAGAAGAAGAAGAAGGTATTTCATTCAAATCAATCATTGTTGTTGTTGTTGAATTATGATGAATGTTTATTTATTTTTTAGTTGTCAATGGAATCAATGAATTCGGTCCATCAATTATACGTAAACTTCCTGGACAAAAATCGGCACCGCCACCAGAATGTCCGGCATGTGGATTGAAAACACGTAGCCGTCTTAAATTGGAAGGACATTTATTGGAACACGAAGATAATCCATTGGTTGTTTGTAATCATGAAAATTGTGAGACAGCTTTTGCTTTGCATGAATTAACACAACATGAAAAGGATTACCATCCGGATGTTTGTCTTATATGCGAAATGTGTAATGATGTGTTCGATAACAAGACAACTTTAGTTCAACATTATAAGCTTCATATATCGAAAAAGGTATTTTTTATATAATTTTTTTTTGTTACAAGAACTTATTTCAAAAATGTTTTTTTTTTGTAGGAAAAATTGAAATGTAACTTTCCCGGTTGCGATTATACTGATATTTATGCTGGTCGATTGGATCGACACAAAAAAACTGCACACAATATTGAAGTAACCAGACAATTCAAATGCGATTTTGAAGGATGTGGCCGTATATTCAAAGATCGACCATCGTATTATACACATTCATTGATACATAAAGATCGAAATCTCGTTTATAAACACAAGTGCACTTATGAAAATTGTGGTGCTGTTTTTAAACGTCGAAGAAATCTGGCTTTACATATGCTGAAACATGGCTATGTTAAACGTAAATATACATGCATGTTTGGTGAATGCAGACGAACATATGCGCGCGAGAAAGAATTAATGAGACACATCGAAGTAGTTCATCGAGGTATGTTTAAATAGGCACAAATTGTTTTGTCTTGTCTTAAATTTTACAATTTACAATATCAATTATTATCGTTGTTTTTTAGCTCATTTCAAAAATGAACCAACTGATGGAGAAGAATTGGCAGCCAATGAAACAGGAAATGAAGATGAAAACAAAAATGATGATGATTCCAACACCGAAGATGGTGTTCCGTCGGTTAAACGTTTTAGAAAAAACAAATCAATCGAAAGTGAATATTCTGATTCACACTTAGATGATAATGATGATTCTCCTGCAAATACGGCAAAGAAAATATTGTTCATGATGAATAAAAGTAGCAGTAATCCACAAGAATTGGAAATTATTGGAGGTATGATTTTTTTTTGATAAAATGAATTTTTGTATTGATTAAATGTGTTTATCATATATAGGCAGCGTAAATGACATTTTTCAGGATAATGATCTTATTGGAACCGATTGTGAACTATGTCAAAAGAATTTCGAATCAGCTGAAGCATTAATGAATCATTTAAAAGATCGTCATCATCAATATACGGTTAAAGCTTATCGTTGTGATTATGAAAACTGTGAATTTGCAACACATTTCCGCTCGATTTTGGGTAAACACAAAAACAATGTCCATGGTGGTAAATACAAATGTGAAGTTTGTGGCAAATTATCCAAAGATTCTGGCAACCATAATCGTCATCGAAATATTCATAAAAACATTCTATATCGTTGTAGAGTAGCCGGATGTGATGCTGTTTATAAAAGTCCGAAAGCTTATTATGTTCATGTATTGACACATTCAAATGAGCAGCCAGTTTATGCTTGTGATCATCCTGGTTGCAAATACATTACCTATTACGTAAACACATTGAATGTACACAAATTGACACATTCAGATATAAGAAGTTTTTTCTGTCCATACGAAAATTGTGGCAAAGGATTCAAACGTAATGGTGATCTTAACAAACATATTATACATTCACATAAAGGTGTAAAAAGACCTCAAAAGAAACGTCAACGTCAATCGAATAACGATTCACAAGTAATAATGTTCCGTTGTAAATATGAAGGATGTAGTTTCACTAGTGCTGATAGCGATCAAATCAGTAAACATGAAGAAGAACATGAACAAGGAATAGTAACCGAAAACGTCGAAGAAGAATACTAATCTATTTTCTTGTTTTATTTTATTATTATTATTATTAATTTTGAATAAAAATTTTTGATCATATACGATACAAACAAATAAAAATTATGTAATATGAAATGAAGATTATTTTGGATTATTATTAATGAATAAATTGTTTTATTTTTGTCTCTTTTTCAGAAGAAATTATGATTGATGTGAATTTTTTTCATAAAAGTAAATGTGCCAGAATTCGAAATTCATTTTGGTCGTTTTGTTGATCGTTCATCAGTCGCAAATTTAAATGGAACAATTTTTGTTGTTGGTTTAGACTTTATTAATGGTATTCCTGTTTCCATTTTAGGATCGTATTTGACATTGCATGCGAATTTTAGCTCTATATATAAATTAAATTGAAAGTTTATTTGATCAGATGACATGACTATTGTCAAATCAAGTAACAATTACCTCTTTTACAAGCTGGAGTTTTACTATACATTTTTTCATAATAATTTTCCGTCGTTGTTTTGAATTTTGTCAATGATTTTGTCCCATCTTTTCGAGGTATATTTGAAGTTGGCAACTCATTGTTGTTAAGCTTGATAGTTTTCACCATTGATTTACTCGGTGTTGCCACTTCTTGTCGTTGTTCATTTTTTTCATCTTTGGCCACCATTTGTTGTTTGATGGTGATCAAAGGTTTACGTTTAGAAGAAATCATTATTGTAAGGATTAAAAAATCAAAAAAATCTGTGTCCAAAAACAAATCACACGAGAAACAATCGTTAAATAGAAAAATTCAGAATCCGAAATGTTGAGCTACACACACACACCAGAAAGAAGGCAACTCTTGTTTGTCTAACTGAAAAATTTCAAACTAAATGATGATATTCATAGACGATAGGATGAAAAGGGACGGGCTATTCTCGATGAGAACCACCAATTTTAAGGCAAGAATGTGCATTATTATTTGTGTTGTCCACACATATTACACACACGCCTATAAAATTCATCAGTAATGAATTCATTGTTTTTGTTATTGTTGAGATAATCGTCATTAAAAAAAAAAATAAAAATAAAAACATCGAAACGATACACACATATTATGCATCTATGATTGTGAAAAAAAATTACGTCCTTTCTCGTCTGATCAATGATCTCCTATCATTCTCCACTTTTAATGAATATTTTTTTTCAAATCCAAATCAAATTCATATATTGGTCAGCATTACTATCAATAATTAATCAATATTGATTATCATCATCATCGATTTTTTTCATTAAATCATTTTTGGTTTTATAAAATATTTAATGTTGTTTGTTCAAACTGGCTCGTCGTTCCAACAATTCATTACAACCAAAAATGCCTCGTGAACGTAAGAGCGCCAAAAATAAACAATCGGCCATTGCCGTTGATCATCATTTGGATGGCTCTGAACCACCGGTTGTAAAAGCTCCGAAAAAACGACGAGGATCTGCAGCTAATTCCGGTTCTGGTATGAGAGGTAATGCCAATCAAAATCAGAATGGTGATTCAATGATGGTTCCACCGCCACAACCACTTGGATCTGGTTATGGTGATACACTATATGCATCGAATCCATTTGATGATACACCACCAATGTGTCCACCTATTCCTCCCGGTGGTAATGCACATCCTGTTGGTATGCCTCCACAAATGGGTGGTCCAATGTCACAGCATGGTCCACCTAATGCCGGTCCAATGATGAATCCGAATGGTCCAGGAGGAATGATGCCAGGAAATGCTAGAATGATGGGTGGTGGTGGTGGTCCACGTGGAATGTCACCAGGTATGGGTCCAAAACCACCCGGAATGATGGGTGGTGGTCCACCACCACCTATGCCTGGTGGTGGTCGATCATATCCACCCGAACAATCAATGGTGTTCAATGCAGCCAATCCAAATGCACCACCAATCTATCAATGTGGTTTCTGTCGAAAAGAAATTCATGATAATGATCAAGCCATTTTATGTGAATCTGGTTGTAATTTTTGGTATCATCGTATCTGTGTAGGCATATCTGAACGTGCATTCATACTATTAACACAAGAAGTTTATGCAGAATGGGTATGTGATAATTGTAATAACAGTAAAAATATTCCTCTCATTAAATTTAAATCATAAAGAAAAAAAAAATGATGATTATCATTATTATAATAATGATCAATGATCATATATATACATATTTATTATTATTATGATTATATAATTTCATCAAAATCAATTTTATTTATTCAAAATCACAAAATATAAATTACATATATGAAACAATAACAAAATCAGAAAAAAAACAAACAAAATCCATGTATTCATCACATGTATAAACTGGCAGGCAATTTATTATTTTACATTTAAATTACAATTTTTTTTTCGTCATTCAAGATCTCAATGGATAGAATATTTTTTTTTTTTTTTTTTGGTCATCATTTTTTAAAAAATTACACACAGAGACACACGCACGCACAACACACTTGTATCACATTTAGTTTCGATAATTTTTTTTTTAATCAATTAATAATTAATTAATTAATTTTTTATCATTCATTCATTTTCTATATAAAAATAAAATTTCTCTTTGTATTCAATTTATAATAATAATAAAACAAAATAAATTTAAAAGAAAAAATTCATTCAATAGCTGATAATGTTGATTTAATAATAGATGAAGATCTGTATGTAAACCATGAATCCATCCAAAGATAGAATGAATATAATGATAATTTAAAATATAAATAACGTGTCTGTAAACGTATAATGATACGTTGAAACATATTACGGCTTTGCGCTAATCGTTGTTCACTTGTTGTTTGTATACAATAACGATTCATATTCAATAATGATCGTCGTTCATCACATCCTAATACATGGCTTATATTACGTATAAGATCATTGGTTTTCATTATCAACAATAATTGTCGATCAACTTTGCCCAATATTTGTGATATATTATGCATATATAATGATGCATTTTTTCGTAGTTCATTTTTCTAATTTAACAACCAAAAAAAAAAAAAAAAACAAAATGAAATCAAATCAACGTTTTTTTTTGTATCACCTCTTTACTGATTACAGTCTGATCTTTGGGACGATTTTCTAGACCACGTGATATGGCTGACCATGGTTTTGCTGTAACCATACAGGACAATAATGGAGCGTCTTTCTCATCGATACCCATAAGAATGGCTCGTTCTTGAATTTGTTTCAAATCACCACGAAATATTGCCAACCAGAATGCTGAATAATTCTGTCTAAATTCATCGGTTAATTGCTATTGTTGTGGGAAAAAAAAACATTAATTTTTTTCGAAAAACAAAATAAATAATAATTTATTACCGTATAAAGGCCATGGTCAAGAAGATATAGGTAAAAATCTTTGCTGCCAGTTTTTTTCACCAAAACATTACCGGGATGTGGATCACAATGTACGGTACCATATGTATAAATCATTCGGCCATACATATTTTCAAAACGATTAGCTATTTCCTGACAATTCATACGATTTGAAATGAAAAATTCTTTATCCGTAATGGATGTTCCTTCAACAAATTCCATCATTAAAACTCTTTTTGTTGTATGTTTCCAATAGATATGAGGTATTTTCAACCATGGTAAATCTTTTAATAATATAGCTATTTTTTCCGAATTTTTAGCTTCATTTACGAAATCCAATTCCAATGGTATATTACGTTTCGTTTCATTCACAAGCCACATGAATGAAAAATCGGGAAATAATCGATCGATAACGTTAAATAAAAATTCCATTGTAGCAATATCGACTAAACTATGTTGAAATACTTTTGGATGTTGTACTTTAACGGCAACAGTTTCATTTGAATTTCGAAGTTTTGCACGATAAACTTGTGCTAATGAAGCTGATGCTATGGCTTTTTCATCAAATTCATCGAATATTTCGTCAATTTGTTGACCAAGTTCTTTTTCAATTACTTTTTTAATATCAGAAAATTTTGATCTTGGTGCTTGACTGTGTAGAATTTTCAATGTATTCACATATTCTTTGGGTACAAGATAATCTAATGCTGCTATATGTTGACCTACTTTGATAAATACACCACCATTTGTACAACATAACTTTAATAAACGATCAGCTGAACGTTGATGACATTGGGACCATTTTTCTAATGTTTCCATCGAATCATCACGTAATTTTGATACAGAAAATTTATAATCAATTGCAATCTGACTGACCGTATATGCGGCTACACCGAATCGTACTAAACCAATATGTCGAGGATTCCTAGCCAATAAAATGAAAATAAAACTTTGAAACCATTTGATAAAATATAATCATCAACATTTTACCAATCATTTTGATGAAGAACATAACCAGTGTAGCCACCAATACCGGCAAATGTTGAAAATTTTAAAAATCTAGACATTATTAAAAAATGATGGATGATTGATTGCACAATATATATCGATTATTGAATGATTGTCAATGAAGGACACATATTGTCACATTCAAAACTTCAAAATCATCATCATCATCAATTGAAAACAAACACTAAAAATTGAATTATTATAACCAAGACACGTCACGACATCTTCAAGTGGAAATAGATTTTGAACCTAAAAAAAAAAACAAACATCTGATCATGATCAGCTGAATAAAAAAAAATTTTCATTTTCAATTTGTATAGGAATGCCATCTATCGAATATTTAATGGAAATTTTAAATTTAAATTTCAAATAATTTGCGCTTTTTTTTATTATTATTAAAATATACTCATGAATGAATGAATGAATGAATGATGATAAAATTTTAGACAATTGTTTGTTTATATTTAATAATGATCATCAACAATTATCGACGTTTTGGTAATATAATGCCATCACACCAATCTCTATCATCCGGTTTAAGAATCCAATCAATAACATGAATAACACCATTCGATGCTGCAATATCGGCACGATATAATGGTGATACATTCACTTCGACTAATCGTCCTGTCAAAAAGATCGAGAAGATTATTTAGAAAAATTTTTGATTGAATTCAAATTGTTTAATATAATGATCAACTTACGTGAACATCCATCAACACGGACACCAGCCTGTAAATATTGTTCGCTAAGAATTGATGGTATAAATTGTCCATCTCTTAAATCTTGACTATAATAAGCTCCTTGTGCAACATGATACATCAGGAATTCTAGAATGATAAAATTAAAAAATCATAGCTCATGTATACTCATTTCAAACCTTTCAAAGCTGTCATATTTCGTCGTATCACTTCTAGATCAGTATCCGGAACTTTTTGTAATGCATCATTACTAGGCACAAATACAGTGAATGGTCCATCTTTACGGAGAAGATCAGCAAAACCAGTTCCTTCGACTAAAGTGACGAAACCATCAAAACGTCCACAAGCTTTCAAAGTATCAATTATATCTTTATCTGAACCTGGATAAAGTAATCCATCAATCACATGTACTAGGCCATTGTTTGATGTTTTCTGATTTGCATGTATCACACGTTGTCCATTGATTGTAAATGTTTTATTGAATGGTCGATTAATGATTAGTTTTGTTTTACCACGAGTTGAAATCATCATGTTATTGGATAAAGATTCGATAGTATGAATGCCTTCAATTAGATAGCCATTCAACATGAATGTTTCCATATTTTTACGCCAACGTTTCAATAGATTCGGTGGTAAATGACGAACAGCATCATTTGATGGCAGAATTATTGTATATCCTTTAGTGGAAAAATCCATAAAATCTTGTAATTCATTTTCGAATAAATTGGATACTTCATTAAGAATTAGATGTGCATCTAATTGTTGAGCAATTTCACGTATTGTTGTCGATGTATTGGCTATGATTGAAACGGTTCCTGTTGCACAAATATCACGTGAATTACATTGCATCATTTTTTCCGCACAAGTATTGGCAGACAAATCAATCAATTTGGTACTTTTCTCCAACAATAGCTGCATTTGTGCAACCAATTCATTATCAATCATTTCTTGTTTACGAACTTTTGCCTCCAAAGTGTTACCATTCGTAACCAGATCATTTGGTTCATTTAAATATGAATTTGTGTCTTTTAGATTTCTTGCCATCCAAAATGTTGTTGTTTCCAGAGGAATCTGAGTTGTTGCACGCATTATATCATGTTTATGTTCGGCAATATCTTCATCATTGTCAACATCATCATCATCGTTTGGATCGTAATTTAATGGAAATCCAATATTTTTTCCATGATCATCATTGTTGTTGTCAACATCATCATCATCATCATCATCATCACCAAATGTAATAATTTCTCTTTCATTTTTTCTTTCCATTAATTTCTGTTGTAAATCATCATTTTTATTGTTGCTTGCCATGTCTACTTGATATTGATCATTTTTATATGAACTATATGTATTTGGAATTCGTGATGCACTTGGTGGTATATCCGTACGATTGATCATTTTGTATCGATCATTGAATGTAACAAAATTATTCAAACTATTCATGGTGGTGGTGGCCATGGTTGTATTTTGTTGCTGTTGTTGTTGTTGTTGAGATAATCTAGCCTGCATTGGTGATAATAACCTTTCATTATTGTACAAATCATTGGCTTTTTTCGCTACAACTTTAAATGGTTTTCTCACCGAATCATTGGTCATTTGATAACGAAATTTTGCTTTCTTCACAACAATTTTTTTCGGACCATCTTGACCATTATGTTTTTGTTGAATGGCATCATCTGTGTTTGTTTGTTGTACGGATATTATTGATGATGATGTTATGTTTTTGTTGTTATTGTTGAAACGATTTGAATTTTCCATTTTAACAAAACTATCATTATCATTATCATCACCGTCATCATCATCATTGTCATCGTCATCAATATCATCACCATCATTTGGATCTTTCTGGTGTTTATTTTTATTATGTGCAACAACTTTTAAACCAATATTCTGTGCCATTGGTTTGGTGGCCAATTCATTTATATCCAAATATAATGTTAATCCTTGTTCAGGCAGATTAAATCCTAATGTTGCACCATGTCTATGTGGTTTTATCATCGGTATTGGCATAACATCTGAATTGATTATTTTATTATTTCCTTTCAATGATGATGATGATGATGATGATGATGATAATGATGATGATGATGATGAGGTTTTACGTTTATGCAAAGAAAATGGTAAATTTTTAACATTTTTATTCAAATTTTCTGTTCGTATCGATTCGGATGGAAAAAATGCTTGTTTATATTTAGCTGGATGTATCATATAAGCATTCTGTGGTGTTTGATAACTATTTCTTGAAATCGATTCCGATGCTAAATATTGTGATGAAATGTTGATTGAATTTTGTTGATCAATATTATTATTATTATTATGATGTGATTAATGGAACAACTTTTGCAACAATATTTGATGATGCTGAATCACTGGCCATTGATATGGATTTTTGTTGCATTGATGGATTAAGAGCTGTATACGATAAAATTGTCGCTGAATGGCCATGATTGTAGCCACCATTTTTTATTATTATTATTATTGGCAATAGTAGCCGTTGTTGTTGTAATTACCGGTGTCCAACCATTGGTTTGAACATTTGAATGTTGTGTTTGATTATCAATCAAATGTAATGGTTGTTGTTGTTGTTGTGGTTGTTGATGAAGTGAATGTTGATGTATTGATGATTGAACAACCGGTTCATATTGACTGGCACTTACATAATATAAATATGATGATGATCGAATAATTTCAAATTTTATTAATATAATTAGAATATAGATGAAAAAATCATTAATCATCAAATGATGATTCACTGATGGCTGAATGGTTTTCATTATCATTATCATTTATTCATTTATTGATTGATTATTTATTTTCACTGATTGATTAATTTAATTTAATTAATTAATCCATTTAGTGCGTTGAAATATTCAGAAAAAAATTATCAAAATTCATTATACAACAGATGTAAATGAGTGCGAAAAAGAAAGAAAAAAAAATTTATTTTTCACTTGAATTTAAAGAAAAAAATTCAATTCTTCTATTTAGCATCCATTTATATAGATGATGATGAACATCGCTTTCTCTCTCTCTCTCTCCGAATCCTTTACTTTTTTTCGCTCTCTCTTTTTGGCTACTTAAAATCTGATAATTTCTTCTTTTTTTAACAGAAAAAAGAAAAATTTCATTTCAATTTATCCATATGATGGTGACCACAGTTTTCTCAACTTTTCATTATTATAACAAACAATAATGATGATAACCGATTCATGTCAATGATTTAACCCGATCTGTGTGTGTGTGTATAACTCACACCATAAGAATGATTCAAAATTTATAATGAGGCTAACTCTTACATTACACTACTGTGTGTGTGTGTGTGTGTGTGTGTGAACATTTCAAGCAAGAATAATAATAATAGACCAGAAAGTAGATAAAAAGAACTACAAAGATAGTATGAACAAAATGAGAACAAATTACGAACTATAAACGTGTTCCTACTGTGAAAAAAAATACAACAACAACAACAACAACAACAACGTTTATGACATCCAACCGTCCATCATCATCATCATCATCATTATCATTATATAGTGGTAGTGATGATATAACAACAATACGAATTTATTATTATCATCATTATTAAGTGATGCGTTGATGATGAATGTGAGTGGTGAAGAATGAATGACAAAAAAAAACGGTGAATCTTTTCTTTTCTTTTCTTTTTACAGAAAAAAAGGAACAAATGTGAAATGTGTACTCACACACACACACACACATTCAGGTAATTTGTCTTTTCGGACATTTCTATTGAATCCATTTTGTGTTTTGTTTTTTGTCCAGTTTGTTGTTGTTGTTCCAGTTGTTTTCCAGTTTTTTTACTATTCCAAATATATCAGGTAGCGTTATCAGCATTTTTTTTTTAATTACTTTGATATACTAAAAGAGAAAAAAAAGAGAGTTCTGATTTCAACAACAACAACAACAACAAAAAGAACAGAACAGAACAGAAAAAAACCAGATACTAGGCAAATAAAGTGGTTGATGAAAAGTGAATGAAGGGAATTGAAGGGATTGAGAAATTTTAATTTTATTTTTTTTTTTTGTTGTACTTTGGTGATTAGATCAATCCAAATGTGTCTGTGTGTGTGTGTGTGTGCGATTGTTGTTTTTCAGTAAACGACAAAATTGTTATTCTTTTTTTTTTTTTTTTGGCGTGTCTTTGTTTTCATTTGTTTTGTTTGTTTTCGTTAAATAAAAACTAGATTCGAGAAAAATAAACAAATAAAAAGAAATTGTGAACAATTCACATGATAATGTGGTTGTTGTTGTTGTTGTTGTGGTCAATTATAATATTATTATTTAGGATTTTTTTCTTTGTTTTTAATTTCTTTATCAATTTTGATGACCAATGATCGTAAAAGATGATTTTCTATAAGTTTATTTTAGTTGTTATTTTCAATCATGTTTGATGATGATGATGATGATGACGATGATCATCATCATTGTTAGAATTCAATAATTGTCGTTGATGATAATGGCTAATATCATTATAATTTTGTTGAAAATAATGTAGCAATGTTGTGTAATAATAATGATAATTATTCCATGAATAATGTTGTTGTTGTGAATGTTGAGGATGATGAACACTAATGCCACCACCACCACCAATACCATAAAGCCGATGATTTAATGATTGATATTGTTGTGGTTGTAATGGTTGATAGCGTGACATTTCCGTCATATTATTTGATGTTGATGCGGATGATGATGTTGATGTTTTATTGTTCATCATCATCATCATCATCGTCATTGTAGCTGTCATTCGTTGTTGTTGTTGTTGTTGTTGTTGTTGTTGATGAGCTGAAAAGATCGAAGGATTAAGTATGGCACCTTGTACATTGCCACCATTATTATTATCATCATTATTTTGATGGTGGTTGTTCTGTAAATAATAATGATGATGATGATGGTCATCATTTTTCTTAAAAAAATTTCGCATTATCCGATTGAAATAATCAATATTGTTTGAAAATGGTGTCTGATGTTCGGAAATGGCTGATGTCCAATTTATCGATGATGATGATGATGGTGATGGTGGTGGTGGTGGTGGGAAATTGTTTGTCATTTTTTGTTGTTCCAAATGTTTTATGTTGTTTGTATTGTTGTTTAATATTTTATCCGATTTTTTATTATCATCCATCTTCTCATCATCATCATCATCATCATTGCATTTGTTATTCATTGCATTAATGTTTTTATATTCATTATTATTCAATATTTTAGAATTTAAAATGTCATCATTTTTTATTGAATTTGTTATTGTAGACAAATCTTGGATCATATTATCATCGATCATATTTTGTTGTTGAACAAATAATGATGGCCTTTTTAATATGAAATTATTATATAAATTTCTTATGGATAAATCTGGTAACGGAATTGTGGCTGTTATTGGTATCGATGGGCGACATGATATTGATGATGATGATGGTGATTGATGCCATATAGATGGATAAGACAGGAAATGTTCATTTGATGATGATGATGATGATGCCATAGTAGTGGTCGTCGTCGTGGTTGTTGTTGTTGTCGTTGTCATTGTTGATGATGATGAGAAATTTTCACATTCATTTTCATCATCATCATCATCATTATCATTTTTATTTTTTTCATTTAATGTTTTAACCATTTTCTTTTGTTTTTTATTACATTGTTGATAATGGTTTTTATTATTACTACTATTGATATTGCTACTATGATGTTGTGAACAATTTGGTACAAACGATCTTCTGTATAGACCAATTTTTTTTGATGCCGAAATTATTACCTTTGATGATGATGTGTTGTTGATGATGATGATGTTATATTATTCGCTTCTGATGATAGCTGTTGTTGTTGTTGTTTCCTTTTACGTGGTCCACGTTCTTCCTGTACGGCTATCATTTTCATGTGTGTGTGTGTGTGTTTGTGAACCATGTCAAGAAAATGAAAAAAAAAATTATTATTATTTCATCAACGAAAAACAAAAAAAAAATCACCATCATCATCATTTGTCATCCTAATTTCCATTTTTATTATTATCGTAATAATTATCATATATAATTATTATACGTGTCTATTATATATCATCATAGTATTATTGTCGTTGTCGTTGTAATGATAAAAGAGGAAATAGAAAAAGGAAAATTGCCATTATCATATGATGATGATAATTAAAATAATAATCAAATGGTTCCAAAGGGTCATATTATAAAGTGAGTTCTAATATATCCGATGTACGACAACAACGACGACGGTAAACTACTGCACTCTATACAGGTTTTTTTTGTCTTTGGCGTCAAGATTATTCCAAAGTGACAGACATAATTTTTTGTTGTTGTTGTTGTTTTACAATGATAGTAATTAATAATTGCAAAATTCATTCAAATTAAAATGATGGTGGATTTAAAATGGTGAAACAAACAATTAAAAAAACATACCGAAAGGATTCATGTGAACAAGAAAACATTTTTGTAGACGACATGATGGACACCAATTACGACGTGTTTTGTCAATAGGACAGCCATTTGTTGATGCTGAAATTAAATTATTGTCGTCGTAGGATTTCCAGGTTTAAACAGGAATTGAATAATTTTGTTTTGTTTTTGAAAAAAAAAAAAAAAATTTTTTTTTTTTTTTTACTTACAAATACAACGATATTGGACATTTTTTCGTATACTACGTTTGAAAAAACAGCTACAACCATCGCAACAGAAAACACCATAATGTTTGCTTTGATTGATTGATTTTTTTTTCAAGATTAAAAATTAGTTTTTTTTTCAATTTTCAAATATATTTACCCATAGGATTTATCACCACAAACTTGACAAAGTACCGGTACGGGTAATGTTCTTCCCATTTTTTTTTTTTTTTGGTTCAAGCAAACAACAAAAAAAAACATTAACTGATCAGTAAAATAAAAAAAAGCAATCGAACTGCGGAAAAAAACATCCGGTATTTATATACGTACGAAAACCAAAAAAAAAAAAAAAAAAAAATCTGATAGAAAAAAAAATTCATCATGAATCGTTGTGATATCAATGTTGTTTAATGTTTAATTGATCAATCAGTAGTCGTATGACAGAATCGTTTCCAGTACACACAAACACAATTCTATACAAACTTTGATGTTCGTTTTTGGTGTTGATTTTGATTGATTTTGTTTGTATTTTTTTTTCATTGAAATCTATAGTAGACCCGTGTGTTTTTTTTTGTGTAAATTGACCTGATGATGGCTATTAAATAATTGATTCTTTATCATCATCAGGTTTAAACTCTCATTTGTTCATTCATTCATATTGTCATCAATTGATTGAACTATCGCCTAAAATGAAAATAAAAATAAAATAAACGTGTGAATTGAACGCACACACACACACACACATACACACTTTATTTATCGATGACATGGACACTTACTTTTACTAACTTGTCAATTGTCAATCAATTATTGATCAATATAAATAAAGAAAAAAAATTCTGATATCTGATATATCGATTGTGTAGCTGAATGAATGAATGGATGATGGATGTCATCTATCTATCTATCTATCTATATGGATACGCTTTTAAACACATGCTTTCTATTCAACATTTTTTTTCGTCTTCTGGTGTTTTTATTTTTTATTTTTTTTTTTCATTTCAATTTAGCCATCCATTTTCGATTGATTTATTAATGCAAATTTTATGTTGTAGTTTTTCATTTATTTGTTTGTCGGATCGTCTTTCTTTTTTTTTTTCTTCTTCAAAACATCATTTACAAATGTCATTCAAAAAATTTTTTTTCTGTGTGTGAAATCTGTTGCTGTCAGAAACAACTCCTAATTTTTTTTTTCATTGGCCATATTTTGATCATCATCATTAAATTATCACTTAAATTTTTTTTTTTTCAACAACAACAACAACAACCATGATGAAATCAAGAGTGAATGAACAAAATAAAAAAAAAATCGATCGAAATTTGTACGATAATTTTGATTGATTCGATCGAGAAGAGAGAGAGAGGTGTATTGAGGCACTTGAAATGCAAACACGTGATTTCCCGTTGATGATCCATAACGTGTACGCCGGTAAGTGCTTGTGACCGACACGATCTTCTCCCAATTTCAAGGGTCATTCCCATTTTTTTTGCCCAAAAAAAACAACAACAAATTAATTGTATTCGGAAATTTCGTATTTTTTTTCCAATGGATAAAATTCAATTTTTTCAGTTGAAGAAAAAAAATTGTTGAATTTGAAAATGAAAATGTCTAGTGTTCAATGAACTAAACAATCACGTCCGTTTGTTTCATGTTCTCGTTAAATCTTATCATCATCATCATCATCGCAGTGCAAAAAAAATGATTTACAAAATGGGAAAACAATGTGTGTGTGTGTGTGCAATACTGATGTTTACTTTTTCTTTTTGGATTTGAATTTTTTCGTCTTTTGTGTCTCTCTCTCTGTGTGTGTGTGTAAAAAATTTGTGGTAATATCTGGCACACACAATTTAAATTATCATCATCGAACAAAAAAAATTGATATATTAGCCTGTAATCATCATAGGAGAAAAAAAAGGCCAAAAATCTTTCGATCAATCAATCGATCGATCGATCGGATTTTACTTATTTGCAATTCGAATTTCAATATTTTTCATTTTCTTATTTATTGTTGAATATAAAAATAAAAAAAAAAAAAACAAAATGTGTCCACCACCACCACCACCATCACAACCATTGCTTATCATTCATTTGAATAAATTGATAACGATAATGATGTTTTTTCGTTTTGTTTGTTTGTTTGTTGTTTTTTGTTTTCTTTTCCAATCATCTCGATTCAAACCAGAAAAAATAAATCGAAAATGAAATAAAATGAAATGAAAATTTTTCTGATTTCTGTCATAAATATGTGTGTGTGTGTGTGTGTGTGTTTGTTGCTAAAAGTCCGTTCATCATGGTCATGTTATCATTCATCATCATCATCATCATCATCATTTATATCTGACATACAATAAAAAAAAAAAAATTTTTTTTTTCGTGCGTGTTTGGTTGGTTTGTTTGTTGGTCTACATTGATTTCTATATCTGGGAACCACCATTTTCGAATGAAATTATTTCATCTAAATTATTAATTTTCAATAATTAAGTACTATCATCATCATCATCTCAAAAAATAATGATAATAAAAAATGAAGAAATGGAAAAATGGTAATAAACTTTGATGATGATGATGATGATGATTATTTTTTGTTTTACAATGTGTGGTAATTAATTTTTTTTTTTTGGCTAAATTTTATTATTCAAAAAATTTTCTACACCCAAAATCGCCAATCTTAGATCATATAATCGATTATTATTGTGTCTGAAAAATCATTTTATATTATCATTAAAAAAAAAAAATTCTTAGAGTAGCATTTTGATCGCTTTTAATTTTGATTATATACATTACAATTATGATAATTTTTTTTTTTTTTAAAAAAAAGTTTTTTTTTTATCATCATTATCTGATGATTTGTAAAATAATGATGATATAAATTATGTGTGTGTGTGTGTGTGTGTGAAATGAATTTGTTTTTTTTTTCATATAAAAACGGGGCCCAAATTTACTCCATTTCGTTTTTTTTTATCATCGACCATCGTTCGTTTGTCTTGTATGTCTAAATCTACGATAATAATCTAATTCATCATCATATACACACTGGTTTTTTTTGTTGATCTGTTGATCTTGTGAATTTACAAAAAAAAAAATATTCCAGAAAAAAATACTGGTTTTATAAGTGAAGAGAACGAACAAAAAAAAACAAAAAAATTTCCATCATCAAAATCACTATATATTTTTCTATATATCATCATATACAACGTATAATTTTATACTGCTTCCATTTTTTTCTATCTGGTTTTTTTTTATTCATTCAAGTTCATCATTCATATTTCGTCTGTTTTGTTTTTGTTTTTGTTTGTTCGTTGTTTGTCGGGCCAATGATCGAATCATTATCGTTGTCGTAGCAAGAAAAAAAAAACATAGCCACGTTTTTTTCTTGTTCTTCATCAATACACCACCACTGCTAAATAGAGCTCTTTTTGTTTCGTTGCATGTTTGATTCCACTACATGAAATGATTTTAAATTGAACACATAAAAAACACAACATCCTTGATATTCATATTATTGGTTTTTAATTTTTAATTTTCAACACACACACACACACACACATAATTCGATCAATCAATCAATCCATTTATTGATCTCAATTCATCAATTCATCTAATTATAATTCATAAACAAAAAAAAAAACAAAAAAAATGGATATCTGTAAAATGATAACCAGAGATAATCCTTATGATCGTGCCGGTATTTTGAATCGTAATTTCTTCAGGTAAGTCTCCAGTTTTTTTTCCATTTCATTTGATCAATATCTAAAATCCGACCTGTTTTTCTTTTTCTTTTCACCTATTCATCATTCATATCATTTTAAAACAGTTGGATAATTCCATTATTCAATGTTGGCTATAAAAAAGAACTAGAAGTAAGCGATTTATGGAAAAATCCAAAAGTTGATTCTTCCGAAAGACTTGGTTTTCGATTACAAGAGTAAGTTTGGCATCCCGTTTTTTTTTTTTCTTTTATGTTGATCATCATCATATAATTACCATTATCATAAGATTTGTGTGTGTAATGCACCATTGTCTTTAATTCTTTTTACGTACACACACGATTAATATATGCAGCATGTCCAAATTGTCATCATCATACACTATATACTGCACATACGCACACACACACACACACACACACACACAATCATTATCAGATGATGAGAATTTTTTTCATTCTTTTTTTTTCTTATTCAAATGCATCTATTTTTGAATTAACCGATTGAGATTATACTGAAAAAGATGCTTTGCACTAAACTTTTCTTTGGTGTTTTTCTTTTATCATCATCATCATCATCATCAGATATGATAATTTTTAATAAATGTGAAAGATTTAGCTACTTGAATATATAGATATAATAGAACAGATGGTGATGGTGATGATTATAATTGAAATTGTTTGCTAAATTTTTCATTTTTTTTTTTTTTGCATAATAAGGGTGACATCATTATGATGATGATGATGACCTATGATTATAATCAAAAATAGTAGACTCTTTTTAAAATGATTTGCAAAACAAAACCAAAAAAAAAAATTGAGAGAAATATCTAGATATCTAGTTCATTTGTTTTTTTTGTGCTGCAGCATCATATCCATGTGTTTGTTGTAAAAATGTTTCATTCGAATCATGCAACTATTTTTATTTCGTATATAGATAAAATTCATAGGAAATAAACACAAATATATAAGATATATATCACATTTCTTGCATATTTTTGAATTTGATTCGATTTATATTAATGTTGATGATTTGATTATTATTATCAATGTTTTTTTTTCTGGTCACAATCACAATGTCTAAATGGATTTATTTTTATAAATTTTCCATAATATTGAATAACATAATAACATTTATTTAATGTCAACAATTTTTTTTCTCTCTCTCTCTTTTTCTTTTTCTACATAAACAAATTAGAGAATGGGACAAAGAATTGAAAAATAAAAAAAAATCGAAACCAAGTTTTTTACGTGCAATTATTCGTGCATTTGGTTTCTGGTATTTTATGTCTGGACTTTTATCAATAATATCGGTAAATTGATTTGTTTTGGTTTTTTTTTTTGATTCATGGATTTCAAATTTCAATTTTTTTTTTGTTCAATTTTTATACTTTAATGTTTCAAATTTCAAGGAAGCAATAATTCGTGTCCTACAACCAGTGGTTATGGGTTGGATGATTTATTTTTTGCAAAAATACTATGAAGATGGTGTGAGAGATATAAAAAATCTTCATAATTTCTACATATGTGGTGGATCGGTTGTTATTCTCGGTATAATATACGTAATACTTTATCATCCATATTTTTTTAAAATGACACGTAAAGGAATGCAATTAAGAATTGCTTGCTGTCATATGATTTATCGTAAATCATTACGTTTAAGTCAACGTGCACTTGGTCAAACAACCGTTGGTCAAATGGTCAATCTATTATCGAATGATGTGAATCGTTTTGATTATGCATTCATATTCGTACCATTCATATTGACAGCACCAATACAGGCTGTAATCACTGTTGCATATCTTTATGAATTTGATTTTCGTTGGTCCGTTTTTGCTGGCTGTTCAGTTCTATTGCTTTATTTACCATTCCAAATGTATATGGGTACATTATTTTCAAGATTACGTGCTAAAACGGCCATTCTTACTGATGAACGTATACGTTTAATGAATGAATTGATACCGGCAATGCGTGTGATCAAAATGTATACATGGGAAAAACCGTTTGCCAAATTGGTCGAATTGGCTAGACGTAAAGAAGTGTCAATGATTAAAAGAACGGCTCTATTACGTGGCGTTAATATGGCATTATTTTTTGTTTCATCCAAAGTGATCATATTCGTTTGTTTTGTCGTTTTTATCATATATGCCGATGGTGCATTTCATCCACAACATGTTTTCGTCGCTATTGCATTGTTTGCCAATTTCCGTACATGTTTGACATTATTCTTTCCATATGGTATATCACAAGGATCTGAAGCATTGATTTCAATCACACGATTAGAGGTAATTCCAAATTCAACATAAAGGTTTTTACAATCAACATTTGTGATATTTTTTTTTCTCGTACAGAATTTTCTATTGCTCGAAGAAAAAGAACTTGATTCTGAACATATAAATAAAATCTCTTTACCTGTAAAGAAAGAAGATTGTGGTGTTTGGTTAAGCAATATGGTTGCATCATGGAATCCCAGAGGAATGGAACCAACGTTGAAAAATTTAACTTGTGAGGTTTTGCCTGGAGAATTATTAGTCGTTATCGGATCAGTTGGAAGTGGTAAAAGTTCCATTTTAATGAGCATTTTATCCGAAATCCCAATTTTACATGGGGAAGTTAAAGTACGAGGAAAAGTATCATATGCCAGGTATGTATCATAATATGTGAATTCATGATTTTATTAATAACATTTTCCATGAACTAATAATGAAATTCCATTAGTCAACAACCATGGAATTTTGCCGGTACTGTTCGAGAAAATGTAGTTTTTGGCAATTCTTATGATGAAGCTAAATATCGTAAAGTTCTTCATGTTTGTGCATTGGAAAAAGATTTAGAATTATTCGAATTTGGTATAGTAACAAATTATTCATCACCTTTGTTCATTTGTGTTAATTATCATTTGTTTATTGTTTCAAATCAAATTAGGCGATCAAACAATTGTCGGTGATCGTGGTGTTTCATTGAGTGGTGGTCAAAAAGCTCGTATTAATCTTGCTCGTGCACTTTATGATGATGCTGATGTTTTTCTATTGGATGATCCATTAAGGTAACTTATTACTTAATTTGTGAAATTTTCATTTCTAATCAATTTTCACTATTAATTGAATGATTAGTGCCGTTGATGCTGCTGTATCGAAACATATATTCGAAAAATGTATTCGAGGCTATCTCAAAAACAAAACCGTCATACTAGTCACTCATCAATTACAATTCATTAAACAGGCAGCCAAAATATTGGTTTTGAAAAATGGTAAAGCACAAGGCTATGGTTCATACTCACATTTGATGAGTCTTGGTATTGATTTCGTCAAAATTGCCGATGAAGAAAATCAACAAAAACAACAGAAACAAAAAGATCTAGATGCTTCAATGAAAAAAAGCCATGAATCGATTCCTACTGCTTTACATCATTCATCACAAACTTCGCTCAATTCTTCGGTTGGTGGTGATGATTTAGCAAATTTCATTACAGGTGAATCATTGCAACAATCGACCGGAGAGATGGGCACAACTGGTTCGGTTAAAGCTCGAGTGTATTGGACTTATGTTCGAGCTGGTGCCGGTTTCTTTTTACTTTTGTCACTGATTTCCAGTAACATTGGAACACAAATTCTATTCAACGGAAGTGATTACTTTCTCTCATTATGGACGGATAAAGAATCCGGTGGAACTAAAAGTGATATTATCAATAACTTAGATCGTAATGGTTGTATCATCATTTTTGGTGCTCTTGTTGGAGCACTATTTTTATTGTCACTTGTTCGTACGACATTATTCTTTTCGATTTGTATGAAAAGTTCGATCAACTTACATAATCGGTTATTTGAATGCATGATCCGAGCACCAGTAACATTTTTCGATAATAATCCAATCGGTGTATTGTTGAATCGTTGTTCACGTGATATGGGCATTGTTGATGATATATTACCACCAACTGCATTTGATGCTGTGGAAATATTCGTTCAAATGATCGGTATTCTTGTTTTGGTCATTATAATCGATCCTTGGATTGCCATTCCAACATTCGTCCTGATATTTATATTTCATTTCGTTCGTAAATATTATATAACAAGTGCCCGAAGTATAAAACGATTAGAGGGAATTACACGAAGTCCGGTATTCTCTCATCTGGCCAATTCTCTTTATGGTCTATCTACAGTTCGTGCTTTTAATGTGCAATCAACTTTTGAGAAAAAATTTGATGAATATCAAGATTGTCATACAGCTGCTTGGTTTTTATTTATTTCGGCTGCACGTTGGTTTGGAATCGTTCTCGATTGGCTATGTGTCATTTATTTGGCATGTGTCACATTGGCTTTATCAATAACCCATGAAACAAAATCACCAAGTGAAATTGGACTTGCCATTTCTTATGCAATTACATTAAGCGGTATGTTTCAATGGGGTGTACGACAATCGGCCGAATTAGAAAGTCAAATGACGTCAGTAGAAAGAATCGATGAATTTAGCCATTTAGAAGGCGAGAAAAACTTGGAACTTCCATTGGAAAAAAATCCACCTGAAAATTGGCCACATCAAGGAACAATTGAATTCGACGATGTCAGTTTGTCTTATGCTCCCGATGCTTCACCTGTTTTGAAAAATTTAACATTTACCATTAAATCTGGCGAAAAAATTGGTATCGTAGGTAGAACTGGTGCTGGTAAATCATCCATGATATCTGCCTTGTTCCGTTTATTACCGCCAGAAGGTACGATTACAATCGATGGTATCAATACAAGCCTCATATCGTTGACTAGCTTACGAAACAAATTATCCATCATTCCTCAAGAACCTGTTATATTTGCCGGTCCTGTTCGACAAAATATTGATCCATTCCATCAACATAGCGATGAACGTTTATGGCAAGTATTGGAAGAGGTACAGCTAAAACATGTTGTTTTGGAACATTCCAATGGTTTGGATTCCATCATTGCCGAAGGTGGTTCCAATTTAAGTGTCGGTCAACGGCAATTGTTCTGTTTGGCACGAGCAATTCTTAAACAAAATCGTATCTTGGTTCTCGATGAAGCTACAGCCAATGTTGATCACAAGTATGTTTTTTTTAACAGAAAAAACTTTTTTTTGACTTGAATTGAACACTTTTTAATCATTATTGTTTTTTTTTAAACAGAACCGATTTATTTATTCAAGATGCAATAAGGGAAAAATTTTCTCATTGTACCGTATTAACGATAGCACATCGTCTACATACAATTATGGATTCTGATCGAGTACTTGTATTGGATGCTGGTCGCGTAATTGAATTCGATGAACCATATCAATTGCTACAGAATGAAAATGGTCTATTTGCTAATATGGTCAAAATGACTGGTAAAAGTATGGCACATAATCTAAAAGAAATGGCTCGTATTGCACGTGATTTAAGGTTAAGAAATGATTCCGATTATAATCGTGGTCATCTTCGTGATCTAAAAGGTTCATTCATCAATAGTCCAAGAAAAGAGAATATTATTGAAGAAACTCCCATTAATCATCATGATGGCGATAATGATATTGAAAATGATGATAATGAACAACTTTGATCATGATTTTGTCATGTTTTGTTTTGTTGATTTGATAAATTTGTAAACTATATTCTAATTTGTATGTTTTTAAATAATTAACAGCGTTATTCTATCTAATAATTATTCTCGATTAAAGTAGCTGTTTACTTAATCCAATTGATGTGAAATCTGTTTCATCCGAAATTCCATGATTACTAAAATGAAAAATAGAACAAAATAAAACAACAAAAAAACAATTTTTTTTGTAAAAATTCATTTTAAAAATCAAACCTCGGATCATTGGATTCGATTGGAATGGTTAGCAATTTATTATCACTATCTTTACGACCAAGTAGCCAATATGTAGCGAATTGGCCTCGTCCTTGAAGTGAAATAGTGCCACGATATTTAATTATAAAACCATTGTATTGTTTTAGACAATTTCTCGTTGAATGACTTATATGAATTGAATTCGGAAATCCGCTTAATATATACATTAATAATAATGATGAATGATGTGGGTAGGAGGAAAAAAAACAAAATTGAGCCATGAACTTTTTTTTCCATTCTATTTACTAGTTTTTTTTCCCAAAATTGATTCTTACGTTGATTCTAATCGTGATGCTATATTGACCGAATCACCAAATATACAATAACGAGGATTATTTAGGCCAATAACACCAGTGATAACGCTTCCTGTAGTGATAAATTTAAATTAATAAAAAAAAAAACAAAATCATCATTGTCCCAGATACCATAAACATATTCTTACCCGTGTGTATTCCGACACGTATTCTCAATGGTATGTTAGGCATGTGATCAATCTTGAAATGTGAAGTATAATCAATAAATTCTAATGCCGACATTGATATTTGTTCAGCATGATTTGTATTACGATTCGGTAGTCCTAATATTGAAATAATATATGTGGAATAATAGTAAAAGAATTTTTCATTTTTCTAAGATAATAAAAAAAAAAATCAAAAATCAAAACAAAACAAAACAACAAAAAAATGGAAAAAAATTCAAAATTCAAACCAGAAACGGCTAGATAAGCATCACCAATAGTTTCTACTTTATAAATATCATATTTGTTAACAATTTTATCGAATACAACGAATAAATTATTCAATATGGCCATTATTTCATGTGGCTATAGAAAAAAAATGAAATGAAACAAGACAAACAAAAAAAAATTTAAATTTGAATCATCCAGATTTCAGGTTATTGTCATTGTTGTTGTTATTGTTTTTCATTGAAAAACAATGGCAATCTCTCTGGAGATAGGTGATGGAAAAATCAATCAAAAAAAATTCACCTCAGAATATGAAGCAATCGTTGTAAAGCCAACTATATCGCTAAACAATATGGTAATGCTATCATATTTTTCTGGTTTGACGTATTCACCATTTTTCAATGATTTCACAATCGATCTTTTGTATTTGATTTGATTCGTTTATTCATTTATCGCCGGAAGGTTATTTATTTTGTATTTGAAAAATCCGTTAATAATTTATTCATTAAAAAAAAGAACAAAGCTTTTTTACCTTGGAAACATCCGATATAATAAGTCATTGCATTTTTTATTTTCGGCCATCAATATTTCCGTTCGTTTTCGAACACGATCATCGATTAAATATCGATATTTGTTCAATTTATTGATCAACATTTCGAATGAGTTTTGTCTATATGTTGTGTACGATGATCATCATTAAAGTTAATGGAATTTTAAAAAAAAGTTTTACCTGAAATTTTTAAGAGTATTTTGAAAATAATTATCGATCATCTCGAAATCGGGTCGTTGTACAGGATTCTCTTGACTACAACAATCAATCAATTTGGCTAAATATTGATATTTGATTTTTTTCATTAAATGTACGCATAATCGTGGACGTAATGGCATTGATTCATTACGTAATTGTTCGGATATCATATTCGATTGATTATTCCGGTACAATATGCCATATTTGATAAGATTCAATATGATTTCTATATTATTATCATCGTCAATAAAATAATCGCTAAAGGGTATCCGTTGACTTGTTATCTCATAAACAATCATTGCAAAACTATAGACGTCATTTCTCCGTAAATTTACAAAATCAACGTCAACATTATTATCCGATTTTGATGATGATGATGATGATGATGATGAACGTAATAATTCGGGTGACATCCATAAAAATAGAAAATCTTCTTTATTCGCTATCAATAACATTTGTTGTTGTCGTTGCCGCTGTTGCTGATTATCATCATCATTATTATTATTATTATTCCTGTTGTTGGTTATTAAATTATGATAACAAAAATTATGAATCTTCACTTGCCAATGTTCATTTATTGAACAATTTCGTGAATTTAGCCATCCATGACCATTGATAAATTTACATTGGTGTAAATATCTCATGCCCTAGAAAAAAAAAGAAAAATACTGTATAAATTTATTTTTATCTAAAAGGACATTATCTCTAAAAAAAAAAATTCATTTCATGGTGGATTTATTATCTTTTTTTTTGTTTGTTTGTTTGATATTTATAAATAGTAGAATATTCTAATAGGATAATTATCCATAATAAAAAAAAATAATACCTGAATTATATCATTGATGAATGATAATTTGATTGGCCAACTGAGTTTTATATTATTATCATGTATTATATCCGATAATGATTTATGATGATATTGCCAAACAAAATAATTTCTCTGTAAATTTATTTGATTTTTCATTAAAGTTTTTCTTGAAAAATTTCTCATCATATTCCAGCTTGATTTTTGTTGTTTTTCATCATCATCATCATCATTAGAATTTTGATTCTTTGCACCATATATGTTGTTCATATTGATCTTATCGTTGTCAATTAATAATACCCCATTTAGCATACTGATATTTACATGTGGATTTCCATGTAAATATCGAACTAAATGTCTGAATTGTTTACCATTATAGAAATATTCCCATTTACCCATACCAAAATATTCCAAACGAACATCTAAGCCCTATATTTATTTTTATGTAAATGAAAAAAAGAAGGAAAAAAAATGATATCATCAAATTATAAGTTGTTTCCTATTTTTTTTTTTTACAATATTTTATAATACTTCCTTTAGTATGGCAAAATGTCCATGCTGTATATTATTATTATTATTATTATTATCAATATCACCTGATGATAAACGATACAGCAACAACAATAATAATAATTACAAGAAATCTAACGTAGAAAAACAACCTATTGATAATCTACATTGATGACAGTCATTGATATTTTTCGAGAATTTATTTCGCATAAATTCGATCGTATAATGATCACCATGATCATCATTATTATTATTAGTTGAACAACATCGAGTCCATTTATGTAACTGTATATGTGTATAGAATGGAAAGAAAAAACAGAAATTCCTTTATAAAGGATAAATGGATAGAATATACCGAAAAAAAAAAAAATAATAAGTGGAAAAATATTTAATGTTTCATGATATTCTGTACTTCCAAGTAATTCCCTTTTACACTTTAATATGCAAATAATAATATGCATTTGTCATTAAATATAATGAATGAAGAAAAAAAAATTCATCCAGAATCTTAAGTGTATATATTGCATAATGAATTTTTTCATTTTGCAAACAACTTATATATAAAAATAGCATTCATTTCTTAACGTTAATTGAATTCTTCTTCTTGAAAAAAAACGCAAAAGAATCTAACATTTCTGGATGATGCGCTTATTTTGATGAACCTTTTTTCCCTCTTCCGCTTTTCATTATGATTCTATGGTAACAAATTGAAATTATCATTTTTTTTTGATGATAATAAAATTTAGGAAATAAATAAAATTATCCATTACCTTTGATGATGATATTCTTCTGTTCATTTGTTGATTTTCATCATTTTCTTCTTGTTGTTGTTGTTCATCATCTATTTGATTAGACATTGATGATGGATGATTTAAATCATTCCAATGGAAAATCATTTGTCTTCTGGTACGATAATCATCTATAATTATTTTGATTGCTCTTTGATTGAATGTAATGTAAATGTATAATAATAATGATAATTAATGAAAAAATTTACCTTAAAATTAATAATATCGAAAACAATAGTATGAATGTAACAAGAATCATTAGTACGTATGCAAATTTTGTTGAGAATTTGTATCCATTTAAATCCATAATGATGAAGATCAACATTTTTCAATGAATTCAATGAATTTATATACCACAATTTTTTCTTCATTTTTGTTGTCGTTGTTTATATTATTAACTTTAATTTCACGTTTTATTTATACTATGATTAATTTTATTTAGAAATAAAAAATGAATTCTAGCAACCATATTTTTATCTTGTCATAATTTACCATAACAACCTATCACAAAGAAAAAAAATTCTGGTGTTTTTTGTTCATGTGGGTGTGTGTGTGTGTGTGTGTGTGTGAGTGTGTTTGTAAATTTAATTAAATTCAATCAAATGTAATGAAAATGAGACCAAAAACAAGTATTCAAATTCAGTGAATTCATCAAGAATATATTATCAAGATTTAATATTTTTATTTTATCATCATTCATGTTTCTGTTTTCAAATTTTATCATCGAAATTCATGAGTTAGAGAGAGAGAGAGAAAAAAAAAGATTTTTGTTGTTGTTGTTGTTGTTGTTTCGCTAAATTAATTTCTAATCATTATTTTTTTTTATCAATTCTGTGCTTTGTATTTGTGTTTATGTTGTTGAAGAATTCAATTAAATTTTGTATTTTGGATTATGATTCAATAATAATGTCGATTGTGATTGAGGTCGCTGTGATGGTTTTGTTGTTTTCAATACACAAACACACACACAAAAAACAAAAAAAAGTGAATTACCTAATAGCAAGGTGAACAGTCATTAATTAATAATCAAAAAAAACAAAACAAAAAGAGAGAAGACAAAAAAAAACGGAAATGAAACAGTAAATATAATACTCGAATGAGTGAATGGAAATATTATTCGTTTAAAGATGATGATGTTCAATGTCTGTGTCTGTGTCTGTGTCTGTGTCTGTGAGTGAGTGTGTGTGTGTGTTTTGTAATTATTTTATTACTTTAATGGTACTGTGTGTTTGTTAAGCTTTATTTTACATTTGTGGAAAAAAAACCAAGTAAAAACAATAATTTTACCATTTCTTTTTTGTTTGTTGGTTCCACCATCATCATCATCATCATCATTCTCAAGAATGGAAAAAAAATACAGAAAACATACGGGAATGATGACAACAACAAAAAAAAAAAAAAAATTGTCGTCCATTAGTGCGTGTGTGTGTGTGTGTGTATTCTTGAAAATTGAATTGTGAAATGTCTTTTTTTTTTTTTTTATTTTTTTTTTACTTGTTTGTACTTATTTGATTGAATTGAATTGAATGAAATAGGATGGAATAGAATGTAATGAATGAATTGAAATGAATGAAATGTAATTTAATGAATACAAGGGACAAATAACATGAACTTCATAATAATATACCATATATTGTTATTGTTGTTGATGACGAGTGATTCATTGTGTGTGTGTGTGTGTGTGTCGGTGTGTTGACACAAAACCAAAACCAAAAAAAAAAAAAAAACAAAATAATAAAAAAACGGAACCAAATTGGTAATCAACAATGATTGTTTGTTGGAATAAATTAATGAATTGACTGTTGAAACTGTGAAACCGATACGTAATCAAACACACACACACACGCACATACATACGTACACAAAAAAAACATACACCCACGCACACCCACACACTCCAAACATGATATTTTATTTATTTTTTTTTTATTTTAAACACATCTCATATTATATATTGTACCACTTTCTTCTTTGATTTCTTCATATGCCAAACGTAAATCTTGAGGACAATATTTGCCTGATGAACAACGGCAATGTCTCCTTTCAATGGTTGTATCCGCTGTTTCCGTTATTGATAAACAGAATTGTTTACGATTACATCTGGGTGCCTGTAATCAATTTCAAATTGCATTTAGTTATTATTATTATTATTATTTTTTTTATTCTGTTTAATTCAATTTAATTTTCTTTCCTGTAGTATTGAATTGAAAAATTGTGTGTATTGTTTGAAAATAAATTGAATTCTACCCCATATACCCATATGACTAACTAACGATAAAAAGATGAAATTTCAAAAAAATCTAAGCCTATAATATAATGCTATGATTTGAAAATTTTTTTTTTATTTTTTACCTTTTGACAAATTTGTTCAGTTCCATAAATGTATGCTGTATCGTTCATTTCAAACATTGTTTTATTTGTTCTCAATAAATAATCATCATTACATAAACACATCATTTCTTGTATATCGGATATTTTCTCTCCAGTTATTAGATCAGTTTTTCCATAGCTTATATATGCAATTTCATTCTCATGGCATGGTAATAGATCTTTTGGTCTTTGGCCACAGAATTTATAGAAATCATTTCCATGTTTAACAATACGTTTATTATCGAATATATTCCACCAAAGATTACAATCATTATTTTCACATTTACATATGGGTATTTTATTCATGCCAACAGAATTCATTTGCATATATCCACAAATTGATCTCTGATTTTGACATTTTGGTAAATCCTATAAATTTTAATTTTTTTTTTTGGAAAAAAAATGAAATAAATTCAATTTAGTTAGTTTGACAATCCAATTAGAGTTTCAAAATGTTTATTTTTCATGTAATTTCAAAAACACACCCACGCACACACATACACATACACACAGAGGAAAAAAACTATTAAAAAAATGTTTTTTTCTTTTGTTTATTCAAAAAGAATACAAACGAGCTTGTTTTTGGCTTACCTTGCGATCAAAATCATCATAATCAAAATATTTTGCTGTATTGACCATTTGAAATGATAATAATAATATGGTCATAGTGAAAATCAATATTGTCAAATGATGATGATTAATATGATTGGATGGTCCATTTTTATTCAGGCTAATTAATGGCCGAGAAGAAAAATAACTGTGTGTTGTTTTACTCAATAAACAATTGATCATTTGTTGTTGTTGTTGTCGTCGTCGCTGGTACTGATGTTGGTGTTGATTTTGATATTGTTCCATGGTGAGATATTCTTTATTCTCACGATTGAAGAATAAGAATGTCAATGTTGTCGTCGTCGTCGTCGTCGTGGTCGTCGTAGTTAGAATTGGATTCTGAAAAATTCTTTTCTGTTCAATTTTGATTGTTTTTTATTATAAAAATTTTTCTAAAAAATGGAACCGCTTCATTTATATATGTCAACACAAACTGGAAAAGTTTTTTTTCTGTAAAAAAAAAAAAAAAATAATAATGACGAATGATGTTTTCTGGTGAGAAAATTGATAAGAAAAAACAACAATAACAATAAATGAATTGTCGATCAAATTGTTAATTGTGTAATAATAATATGAACGAAAATTGATTCATTTATTTTGAAGATAACAAAAAAAAAAAACAAATATTGGCTACGTCGAAATTTTTTTTTTTTTTTTCTTTTACTTTTCGTTAGTTAGAAGAAAATCAGTTTTTTTTCAGTCATTGGCTGAGAATGAAAAAACATTGAATTTAGTTGGAAATGAAAATTCACTGCGTGTGTCTGATGATGATGATGAGGATTTTTCGATAATTCGAACATGTATTTTTTATCACGGGTTAATGATTAAAAATTTCTTGATTGCCAAAATATTGTCATCAATCAATTTACATGTGTGAAAAAAAAAATTTATTTGTATGCTGATCAGACGATTGATGAAATGAAATGAATTGAAAACAAACAAAACAAACGTATTAGTAGCAGGGTATTATCGTTGGATGAAATTACTGTTGAGAAAGAAAAAGAAAAGAATTTAAAAAAAAATGAAATTGAAATTCTGAAAAAACGAAAGTTCAACGTAAAACATCTTCATGAATATTAACACCATCAACACCGACAACAAGAGAAAAGATTAAACATGCCGACAATATGGAAAACTTTTTTTTCCAAACTGATTAAATTAAATGAATTAAAATGAATATAAATGAATTGCAAAGAATATTCTAAAATGGAACGTGAAATAATGATAATCTAAAGATTTGTTTGCTTTTCTTTTTCTTTTCTTTTTCATTCAAACAATATATTGCAGTGTGTGTGTGTGTGTGTGTGTGCGAGTGTATGGATGTGGGAAACGACAAAGAAAAAAAGAAAATCGAAAGATTTTCTTTTTGATCAAAAGAAGCAAAAGAAAAAAAAAAAAAAAGTTTTTCACTCTTGTTCTTGTCTTTTTTGAATTGCCATGACAAATATTGATTTTTTTTTTTTTTTTTTTTTTTGGCAATACGGTAGTGTGCAACTCTTAAATGTTGATGATGATGATAATAATAATGGTGATGGTGTGTATAGAAAAGAGAAGAAAAGAAAAGTTCTTATGAAAAATCATTGATATGATGATGATGATGACGAATGACTGATGAATCAGAGAATGATCATCAGAAATATGTGATGATCAAAACAGAATGTGACAAATAGAATTGAAATAATTTTTTTTTTGTTTCACTGTTTTCGTTTTTTATTCCAACAATCATGGTGAATAAATGGCAGAAATAAGACGTAACAACACCTGTCACACACATGTGTGTATTATTCCACCAAAAAAAAATAACCAGAATTATGAATTAGGTCAAGCCCAATCCATTCAAATGAAAATGTCAAATTTTTTTTTCGTAATTGAATTTATTTTTCTTAGAATTTTTTTGTTGTTTTTTGTTTACCCTTGTCTACTGGAATAATCTGTCTATATCTATCATGCAATATGACTAATGACACGTTTTCAAAGAAAATTTCCTATTATATTCATTTTGTCGTTAACTGTCGGGTTTACACTTTGCAAGTATTTGCATTGTTTTATTAACAATAATTAATCATCATGATGAATTATTTCAACAACAACAACAACAACAACAACAAAATGAACTTACCTTTTTATGATTTATGCATTTTCAGTTCATTTTTATTTCATTCATTTACAAAATTCATATGATGATAATCAATTAATAACGATGATGAAGAGAAACGATTGAATTTCTTCTTCTTTGAAGAATTCTTGAGAAACAACAAGAAAAAAAATGAAATGAAATTGAAAAATGTCAAGAAAAAAAATTTGATTCTTGAAAAATTAACCTCGATGATTTTTATGAATTTTTTTTCTGATATCAATGTGTGTGTGCTGCGGTGTGCGCTTGTTTGAAAAGGCAAATTCAAAATGAAATTCAATTCTTGATTTGTTTGAAATTATCCTCCTTGTTTGAGTGTGTTTTTTTTTCTCTGGTGGGTGTTTCTACACTAAATGAAGAAGAATCTATCTATCGTAATGTTGTATTGTACATGGTTATTTGTCCATTTATTATATGGTGCGTAATAACACTACAGTAGCATACACACACACACAATAAGAGACAAGAGAGAATGAAAGAATACGGTCCAAATATGGAATCAAAATAACTGTATAACGTTTACATGTATTTTAGAGTGATCGCAATATTGTTCCAATTTTCAATGATGTTGTTCTTCTTGATGATGATGATGATGACTATAGAATTTTTTTCAGATTTAGTTCATCGTAATGTATGTTTATATACTACCGTTTTTTTATATATAAAACGTATGTTTGTCTGTGTGTGTGTGTGTGTGTATATTATATCATCAATGAACCAACAGGCAGCTGCAACAATTAATCAAAATCCATTCACTAAAATGATCATCAGTATTAGATCGAAATGAGAGAGGTGTGTGTGTGTGTGTTTGGGTAATCAAACAATAAATTTTTTTTTCTCAATTTCTTTGTTTGAAAATTTTTAATAATGATTGAAACTTATTATTATTATTATTATCATTTTGGGTTTTTTTTTTTGAAGAATTTGACATATACCATAGGAAATGTTCAAAAGAAAAAGAAAAAATTCTTGACATGGCATTCATTTTCATTCATTCATTTAAAGCACATGCAGGAAGAAGAAAAAAGAAAAATTCTTTCATTTTTTTTCTTCAGTCTCAAATATTTACCCAAACATTCATTTTATTTTATGCAAAAATGTCAACGACAATCATTCAAAACTACTTGTTATTATGACTGCATAGACACACGATTCTTTATGTGTGTGTGTGTTTTTTGTAATGATAAACGAACTAACAAAGCGTGTGAAAACATTATGATGATAATTATAAAAAAAAAAATGTTGAACCGAACAAAATCGACAAATGAATATAAAATGAGAGGAACAAAAAAAAAATTCTGTCCTTTCAGTAAAAAAAAAATTTAAAAAAAAAACTCATTTACATTTCCGATTTTTTCTGAAACACTTTTTTCTTCTCATTTTTTTTGTTTGTTTGTTTGTTTTTTTATAAGTTTATTTTTGTGTGTTATAAAAAAATGTGTGATCATGATGATTTTTAAATTTAGAAATTTTTTTGTTGAAAACAATTAGAAAATGAAGTAAAACGTAGCGATAGTGAGAGAAAAATGGTCACATCAACTAATGGTGAAACAATTACTACTGCCATACATTTTGATGATGATGATGATGGCCTTTCAACATACCCAAAAAAAAAGATTTCTATGGAAAAAATTTTTTATTTACTGTTTTTTTGTTTCTATATTCACACACACATTTACACTTCACCATTATCGTCATCTTTACATCATCAACAACAAAAAATAAAACAAAAAAAAAATGAATTTAAAATCAAAATTCTTTTCAATTTGTTTTTTAGCGTTCACTAGTCATAGATGGTAAATGTCAATCGTTCATAATAATTAACGACATGTGAATGGAATTTTGAAAGAAAATAAAAGAAATGAAGAAGAAGAAGAAGAAAAAGAATCACTTTTTTTCAATTTTAACAACAACAACAAAAGGCAAAGATTTATTATCCAACATGTCAAACATTTATTCATCATTTTAAATATTGAAGTTTCAACCAGAAAAGAATCAGAAAATAAATTCCATAATTTTATTTTGGATAAATGTTTCCACCAATATAATGGCCATTATAATATTTGAGTGTGTATATCGCACACACACACACACAAAAAAAACGGAAGTATTCAATTTCAACAACAACAACATACACACACACACAATAAACACATTTAATTAAAAATCAATTTTCCCAACAAAACAAAAAGGATAAATCTTTTTATTATTATTATTCCACATATTTGATCATCATCATATAATTAATCATAATTTTTTTTTATGTTTTTGTTTTGAATTCAAAAAAATATCAACATCATCATCATCATCATTTATTGGGTAATTTATTTTTTTTTTATTTTGAAAAATTTAATGGTTATTATCAGCCATCATTTATTTATTTATTATCAAAATAGGGAACAAAGAGAGCGAGAGAGAGAGAGAGAGAGAGAGAGAAAGAGAGAGAGAGATAAATAAACATAAAACACAAATGAATAAACAAACACATAGACACAACATAAAACATTTATATATATATATGAATCCATTTGTATAGACTAGTAGTTGTTATTTTTGGATGCTGAGGGCATTATTAGGTATTGAAATTGTTAATATAACTTTGATTAGTTTTTTTTTTTTTCCATATTTTGATTGATTTTGATGAACATTTTTTTTGTTGAGAAAACAAAGTGCCAATTTTTATATATGAAGAAGAAAAATTTTCTTTCCATTTTCTTTCAAAATGATGGTAGATGAAAAACAATATATACTACTATATTCGCGTAAACAAAGTATATATGTGATAAAGAAAGAAAGAGAATCTCTTGATATTTCTTTTTTTTTTTTCCAATCATGAATTTCATGATTATAATTGATTCCTATAAGATTGTATTCAAAATAATGATCACAACAATCAGATTTCGATAATATTACTTCGTGTTTGTTCATGTGATCTTTGTTGAGTGGGTGGTGGTGGTGGTGGTGGTGATGGTGGTGGAACACCAACTTGTGCCAACATATCAATTGACTGTCGAGAATGATGATGATGTTGATCAAATTTATTCTGTATTTCTTTCGTTATACGAGTCAATGGTGATAAAACAAAATCTTTTTTAACGCCCAATGATGATGTGAAATTTGAGCTTAATGATGAATCAACATAATGATGATGATGATGATGATGTATATTATCATTGTCATCTGAAACTGATAGATTCGAAACAGAACTTGTTGGAGGTAAATTTAAGGACATGAACGTTCCAGATGATACCTTTGATTTATATATATTTTATTATTCACATATTTCATTTGTAAATAAATGAACGAAAGAAAAAGAAAGAAAGAAATGATTACTTTATATCAAGACTGAAAACAAAGTAAGAAATGACTAATGGACTTTAATATAATCAGTATATAAACAACTTACTTGTAATGTATTCGAACTTCGTGATGTTTTTAGGCCAGAATTCGGTGATACATTGAATGCTAAATCAGAAAAACTAAGTGATGTTTCTTTACTGAAACCTCCAGACATTGAATGTGAATTGTTGTTGTCCAAATAATTTCCGACATCACGTATCGATGATGATGATGTAATAGGATTCTTTTCCAAATAAGATTCATATAATTTTGTTGATATTGATTCACTACCAAGTGATTTGAAATCATTGTCCTCCGGATAGGATAATGCAGCAAATGATGATGAACTGATAAGTGGATAATTTATTACGGAATCATTATTAGGCAAATTTACTAAGGAAAAAATTCCACCACCACCATCTGTTACGTTAATACTGTCACTACTGTTGCTAAATTTATTATTGGCCATTTCAATTTTAAGTGCTGGCTGTAACATAATTGAATTTAAGGCCAAATCTGAATTGAAAATACATCGGCTTGATTGATGGCCACTTGACAAATCATTCAAATCCTTATTGTTATTGTTGTGCACATTTTTCTGTAAATTCTGTGCATCGATTGTTATTGTTGATGATGGAATCAATGATACTTGTGATTGAGATATGGCTTTATTGCGTAATTGTCTTAACGATGCTTTTTTCATCGAATCAATTACAAAATCATCAACATCATGAAGAACAGATTTCATTCGACTATTGTCATCTGATGACCCATATTCATTTTGAATTAAACTAGATTCTGAAGGTGTATAACGTAGTGGTGGACTTGTAACTAAAATACCACAGCTTTCCAATACACGATCCATACTTCCTTTTGTTGGAATAGGTTCATCATCTAAACATGGTGAACATATTTCACTTATTGGTGGTAAAATCTGTTCCGAACCAAATTCAGAACAATCGGACAAATCTAAACTTAATGTTCGTTCTGTTAAACATTGATTATTGTTGGCATGTTTTCTCCGTAAATTAATTATAGAATCCTCATCATCTGATTCATCAATATCTAATTCTTCCGATGATTTTCTGAGCTGATCATTTTCACGCATTTTTAATCCATCAATTTGTAGTGTTGATCGATTACCGACAACATTTTGTTGACCATTTGAAGAGCCAGTTAATTTTCCACGTAATCGAGAGAAATGTGAATATACACCAGTGAATAATTTTTTCGAATTAACCACATACGAATTATCAATGGATAAATTCTTCATACGATTTATATTATCATTTGTTTCCGTTTTGAATGACGCGGACAAGATTCTTTTACTTTTTCTTCGTTCCAAACGACTCATTTCAAGAAAAGGAACATTCAATGATTTGACACTTAGAGCCACTTTAAATGATTCACAAATGGCCTTCAACGATTCAAGTGACTCTTCTCGGGTTCGAATTGGAATGGCCATATTGTTGAAGAAACGAGTATTGGTCGATCGAAACATGTGAAAATAACCAGTTTGATTACCAATAGTATAATGAAAACGAACAGCATAAGAAATTAATGGACAATTTTGCGCACGCATTGAACTGAATGGACCATTAGGATAATTAGGTTCGGCACCGATTTCAATTTTTTCTAAATCTTCTAATAATACTTTTTGATATTTGATTATCCGATCAGTTTGATCATCATAATCAGCAACGTAATAACAATCCTTGGTCAATATCAGAACGATATCCATTTCACATTCAGGAATTTCGTTATTTACTCGTAATGTTGACAAAGGAGCACCAGTGGTTGGATCTGCATCGACCAATGGCCAGCCACCAAGTATAACTTCATCTTCAGGAACAAGAATTTTTTTACAATCTTCGATAACCATTTTGATTCGTTCATGATATTCTTGATCATTATTCATTAGCAAATTATTTGAAACTCCACTTTTTCTTGGCGATTTTTCATTTGGTGAAGAAAGATTTTCGTCAACAGGATTTCCTTGCATTATATCAATCACAGCTTGACGATATGCATCTTTGAAACGATTCAGATAATAACGATTAGCCGAATTAACACCATCACGAACAACGCCGGAAAGCTTTCGTTCACCAGTTCGAGTGTAATCACTTTTTAATGCTGCTGTGCCTGCATATTGTCGGGAAATTGTGTCACCATTTCTAGCCCACATTAATTGAAAAACACGTCTTGAATTGGCTGATAATTGACCTTCAGGAGGAAGAAGACCTAAACGTACAAGCTAAATTGGTTAAGAAAAAAAAGACAATAAAAATTCAAATATCCACACATGATAAATGAGCATTTATATATACCTGTATATCCATTACAGCTTTGGCAATCGCAGTCATTACGATATTGGTACGATCCAAACAATCAACACAATTGATACGAAACACGCCTCGTTGTTCACAGATTACACCATCATTATCAATCCAACAGTATCGAATTTCTTTGATTAGATCATAGATTCGTTCAATAAGAATGGAAACATTTTCAAATTTCATTCCACGGCTAAAATGAAAATGAATCAATGTATTAAATGTCTTTATAAATTATCAATACAAATCCAATTATTACATACCAATAGTCATGGAAATCAAATGTGACAAATGTCAGACGATGATCGTCCATTTTTATCACATGATTCATATAAGCATCACATAGAACTTTTTCTCTACCTGAATGCTCGATCAGATTTACTGCAACAACTTGATTTTCATAATGGACAAATTCCTGTTCAAAATGTTTTCGAAACGCTTCTTGATTTTCCGTTTCGGAACGCTCCATCAACGGTGGTGGCCGATATTTATAACCAGGTTGTGACCAAAATAATGGTACCGAACCTCGAACACATACAAATGATACTGAATGGAAACCATAACTGAAAATTTGTTCAGTTTCCACATAATTTGCACAGGTACCACTCTCATCAAGTCCACGTTTTTTATATCGAGTTCCGGCTCGAAAACGACTACGTCTTGAAATTAAAGCCATCCAATAATAATCATGTGCTTCGAGAAATGAATCAACAACTTTTCTATCACATTCTGTTTGATCATCATTTTGATTAGTGTTTGGAATGGCCATATTTGGCATACATCCAACCGGATAATTTTCCGATAAATCAAAACAACATTTTTCAATCTGTATAAAACCTTGAATAATTGGCAATATCCATATATGACTATAGCATTTATGTTGTCCGTCATCATCATTTATAATTTCCATTATTGGTTCCAACATGTACTTGTTCCAAAAGAAACGGTCATCGACTCGTTTCCAAAGTGGTACGATACGTATATCATTTGGATCATGATTTGATTCCAATGTATGACGAATTTTTTGTTGTCTTTGTACAGAATTGGTTAGATCACCAGTAAGTGAGAAATAAAACGAATTCGTTTCATTAAACATTTTGTAAACTTCTTCAGTTAAACGGCGATCAAATTTTTCTTTTTCTTCCATTTTATTCATTTGTTGATTATTGGCATTTGTAATCATTGAACTGACTTTTGGCTTTACATTTGAAGCAGTCATTTTAAGCTGATTCCATGTACGTTGTACACTACCAGTCGACATTAATGTTTGTGGATTTTGTGCGAATGAAGTCGTATTGAATTTTATGCTCGATTCATCGATAATCGAATCTTTAAATGAAGCTTGAATAAATGGTGGATTTGTAGGCGTTACGATCGCCGGTTTCGTACAGGAATCAGAACAACATTCATCTAATCCAAGATCGATAGATGTTTCGCTTTTCTTTCCACACAATGATATGATGGAAATCTTTTGAATTTTGAATACTTCATCATGAGAACCGAACGGTAATCGTCCAATCGAAATTGATTGTTTAATTAATATCAATTTATCATTATTGAATAGACCAATCAAACCATACGCTAATCCATGGCAGGTGAAATCTTCGAATACAGAATCATCATTGATGATTTTAAATTCTGGTTTAATCTGGAATGATTTTGTTTCAAGTGAACAATTTGTTTCATTATATGGTTTGTTTTGTTGATCCAATGGTGTTTGTATGAAACGTGGCCACCATATTGTACTTGTGCCATGTTTAAGTACGATAAATTTTTCATTAACAAGAACCTCAAATTTCATCGTTATATATTTGTTAGTATAGTACAATGTTATTGTTGTCGTATTATTAATAGGCAAACCTTTGGAATTTTAAAAATAATTACACAATATGTTTAAAACAGAAAATATTAGGAAAAAAAACAATACTTACTCAATTACGGAATGTGAAATAAGAATGTTGGCAATCATTTCAAATGGATTCGAAATGTAAATACACCTGAATCGATCAAATACTTTTAATTTAACAGATTTAAATAATTATATTAAGTAGAGTAGATATGTGAAGAAAATGTCAACATAAAAACATTTGGAAAAATGTATTTAAAAAAAAAACAGTTTTATCCGTTGTTATTGTCGCGATTGCCATCAATGTGAATCCAATGTTGATGATGACAATCAAAAAAAAAAAACTGACATTTATATTGACCAATAACAATATGACGACAACAATGACGATCAACCCATCAAATAGAAACGAGTATTAATAATCATTTTTTCATGGTTGGATGCAATAACGACATCATCATCATCATCATCATCGTCTCATACAACAAAACACAATACATCATCAACGACAATTTCTTTTCTTTTCGTTTGTTTTTGTTATTATATAGAAATTTTTTGTTTTTCTCCCAAAAGATTTTTTTTTTTTTTTCTCACAATGGTAGACCATTCATAGAAAAGGTAAATTTGATTTGTATGATTTGAAATTTTCAAATAAAGATGTTATATAATAATTCTATATAACTTGGACAGGATTTTTTTTCTGATTAATAATTTATTTGAATTCTTGATGAATGTTAAAATGATAATAAATTATTGATGAGTAAAACATATATATATATACAGTTTTATAAGTCTAGATTCAATGCGAATGCAATATCATCTGGTGATACATTTAAACGTATTCGTCGATATAAATGAGAATGAGATCGTTCTAATAAAATTATTTTGGCCAGATCAAGATTTGTCACTATTTTTGATAATTCTATTGTGTTTGGCACGAAATTTCCTTCAAAATGACAAATATCCGAATGAGTTTTGTATAGTTCAATAAATTGATATTCTTCAAGACCAGTGGAACGAAAATTTTGTAAAAATGAACGTAAAAATATCTGTTCCTGTATCGATGCCTGTTGTATTCGTATCGTTTTTGTTGATTGAAAAATTTCTTTGAGCGCTTTGTCAACATCGGCCATTGTGACTTTTGAATTTCCATTCATGATGCCTATTTCGGTTGCACGTCTACAAATATCCAATACCCTTCGTACATCACCAGAAACGGCCGATACTTTTCGACAAATCAATTCCAAAGCATCTGGTTCGAAAATCTCTACACCATTCAAATCTCCTAATTTGGACAAAACAATTTTTTCCAATTCTTTATACGAATATGGATGAAAAAGTAAACGTGTCAATCCAAGACGTGAAGAAACTCTATTGACCATAAATCGTTCAGGCAAATCCATTGAATTAGCAACGGCCAATACAACTAGTTTAGAATTTTTTCGATTCGGCCAATCAAATATATGATAAAGGATGTCCTGTTTTTTTGTCTTAAGATAATCCAATTCATCGATGAATAAGATGACAAATTCTTTCGACAGATTCATGTCACTAAATCTTTCTGTTAAAATATTAGTAGCTTGATAATTGTTCTTTTTCATTCCATTCAATTCCTATTTGTAAAATGAAAAAAAATTAATTTCAATTAATCAATGATGCAATCAATCAATTATTTTATTACCATTAGAAAATGTGAACAAAATTTATTCGGCTGTGCAAGCTTCATTCCATTGATTTCAATGAATTTAAATTTTGGTAATCTTTTTGATTCACCATTCAATTTACGTTTAACTTCACATAATGTTGCCGTTTTGCCGGTTCCAGGAACACCACTTATGTACATACAACTGATTTGAAAAAACAAAATGATAAATTTTCAGTATTTCAAAAATAAAAACTGTTTAAAAAATTACCCTCCTTCATTTTCGTATAATTTTTTCGTAATAAAATTATAGATATCATCAAATTGAAATTCACGACAAGGCAATGATTCAGGCACTGATGATGAATGTAATCGTAATACAATATCTTCTAACGTGATTTTTTTATTCGTTTTCGATTTGTTGACAACGATTCGTTTGACCATTTTAAGCTTGGAAGATGGCAACTCACACTTGTACAGATATAAAATGTAAATAAATTGTTCAACAAAGGGTTTTCATATAAGACATACATGTGAATCTTTATCATTTTTGATGATTATTTTTCGATTTTGACTACCCGTTGCATTAGTTTTGGATGCGGACGATTTTCTTTTCTTTCTTCCATTATTATAATATCTTATGGTTGAATTTTTTGAATTTGAACCATAATAAATAAATGAATTGTCCACTACATCGCCAAAAATTTTTGCCGGTTTACGTTGACGTTTAGGTCTTGAACTCATTTTTGTAATTAATTAATTAATTAATATATTACTCATTTATGATGTTTGTTTTTATTATAAAAAAAATGAGAAATTATTCAAGTTGTTCTTTCGATGATGATGAAATTTCACACATGTTGCGCTGTCTTATCACCGAAAAAAAAGGTGTGGCGAGTACCCTCCAAAATTGGCGACCACTCATCAACATTGGAGAGTAATATTCAAAGTTGGTTTTATCGAGATTATTAATTAAAAATTTTAAATTTAAATTGAAATTTTTTATTGAAAAATTATATAGAATATTATAAAGATAAAACATCAATATGGTTTTTATAATCAAGCTTTTTGAAACGAATAAAATATGATTTACATATATTCTATATGTTTTTTTGGAATGTTTCTGTGAATGATATTCTGATACTTTCATTTTTTGATAATTTTCTGAAATTGAATCCAGAATATCTTTTTCAAGCGTTAAATTTCTGGAAGTATCCCAATCGAAGATATGAACCTCTTGTTTATAACCAACAAGTGCTATCCTATATATCTTTTATTCTCTTCATCAAAAGATTTGGTAAATCTTTGTTGTTCCTATTGATTCGGTTGTATTGTTTCTTTATTTGGTGTTGCCTTTCCCATCTATAGGTTAAGTGCAAACATGGCAAGGAATATTTCTTGATTTCTTGTTCGGTGTGTTCTATTTGATGCAATTTATGATACATCAATGATTCAACATTGACATCATCACCAGAAAGTCGCTTTCCACTCCAAACTACCATAATAAAAAGGAAAAACTGTGAAACATTCTTTGATTTTTTTTTGATGTTATCTTGTATGACTTTGATATTAGATGTAAGCATATACTCAATTCTTTTGGAAAGACGCCCTCGGCGAGACAATGAACAGCGTCATTAGGAGCACAATTCCATCGTGTGATATTATCAAGTGAAAATATCATATTTTGAACAACACCAACTGTTGACTCATTTTCCAATGAACCCATTTGTCGTTGTTTTAATTTACTTTTTTTTTACTTGAAAAACTTCACAGAAAAATTGTCATTTTCACTTGATGTTTTCCGCTAGCGATTTCCAGCATCCAATTAAACGCCCATATTTCTTTTGACGTTATGTAATTCAACATATCGAACAAATCGTGAAAGATGTCGGGAGGTGCAATATTACTGACAGTATTTCCAATTCGGTTAAAATACAGCTTCTAAAGACCAGATTCATTACACCAGATTTCACAAGATTGTATTCATCGGAATCCAAAATGGAATGCAATCGTGACGTTGGATAATCTTCGTTTGGTTAAGCACTTTTGGTTGCTTTTATCAAATCTCATAGAAAAACCAAGGATCTCATTTTGGGCAAGGTTATCACAGATATAATCATTGAAAGTGTTATCAGGATTTCGATTTTCTGGGATCTATAGCTGTAACAACACTTAATTCTATAATGCCAATTACACGCACAATATAAATTTTTTTTTTATTTTCTATTTCCACAAATACACGTGTTGTTTTGGCAAAAATAAAAAAAAAATTTGCTCACTTTTCATATACGAGGTATAAACGTGTGAATGTGAATTTATATATTCGAATTATTTCTGAATCGTACAATAGATAGCACTATAAGTAATATTATTTTGATTTTAATTTAATTTTTTTTTCTATTTTTCTGTTTTACCATTGTTATTATTTAGGCTTTATATAAATCGATTATTTTTTCATCATTTCATGTGTTCCGTTCCATTTACATCATTATCAGTATACAGTGAGCACAGTAATGTTTCGTGAATTATGTAATTGTTGGCCAACAAAACCGGCACGTCATAAACGCGAAAAAGAACGTAAAAATGAACGCAAAAATAATGAACGAATAACAACGATGACGAAACGACGATATGATACAAATAGAAAAACTTATGATTGGAAAAAAGAAGATTCATCCATACGATTATCTACTCGTTCAGGTTTTGCACAGATTCCAACATCGCCAACAGCAACAATGGCTGGTGCTACATCAATCAATCAAAGTATGCGTCAAGCAACACCGAAATTATCACGGCCATCGACACCATCACAAATGAAAACGACGGATTTGACACATATCATTCGTCATGATCCAAATGAAACAACCGTTGAAGAAATTCTACATTGGAATGGCTATAAATTGGAAGTTGAAATCGGAAAAGGAAGTTTCGGCTCAGTATATCGTGCACGTGATCTTGTCAATGATACATTGGTAGCCTGTAAAGTGATCGATATAAGTAAAACTTCGAAAAATCAAAGTCTTTCAGTTCGTAATGAATTATACGTTATGGAAAGTGTTAATCATCCACATATAATCAAACTATATAGACATTTCATCATTGAATCACCGAAATCTCGTCAGGTTTATATTTTCATGCAGCTTGCCAAATCAAAATCATTATCGGTTTATGTTCGATCATTTAAAACGGGTTTACCCGAACAAACAACGAAAAAAATGTTTGCACAAGTCGTATCGGCTATCAATCATTTACATGAGAAACATATTGCACATCGTGATATTAAAATGGGCAATGTATTATTAGATGAAAATAATGATTGTTTAGTGACCGATTTTGGTTTAAGTCGTATTGCATATCGTGCATCACAAGGTAAAAAAATATTGACAAATAAATTCTGTGGTACAATGCCATATATGGCACCAGAAATCCTATTGACACGTGATAATAAATTAGTTTATGATCCATTTCCTGCTGATATTTGGGCATTAGGCGTACTATTATATTGTATGATTAATCGTGGCTATCCATTTCCAAGTGATGGTTCAAAAATGTTGGAACAACAAATGATACATAAAATACGTTTTGGTAAAAAAATGCAATTCGAACCAGGCATTGATCTTATTGATCTATTTCAACGAATATTGGAACCAAATGCTGAATTACGATTACGTATGGATCAACTAATGAAACATCCATGGCTAATTAAAGAGATTAATATTGTTGAAAGAAATGTAAGACTATATCGTGCGGCCGAAAATTCTCAATCAGTTACAATGAAAACAAAAAATCAGTCAATGTGGGCAAGAGAAAGTTTTCTTGAAAAAATTGCTCAACGTAAGATGGCTATTGTGAAAAGACTTCGATCATCATAATAATCAATATGAATAAAAATGATAAATATGATGGTCTCATTTTTTTTTGAACAATAACAATCAACAACCAACATCATCATCATCATCATCATCATCATCATTGTCATCATCATCATATCGTCATATCAACGAAAAAAAAACGTTCAAAATAAATCACACAAATATCGAAAAAATAAATCCATAAAAACGCGAATTTGTTAATAGAAAAAAAAAATAAAAATAAAAATTTCCAATTTTCAAAATATGATGATAAAAGCAACAAACGAATTTCTTAAATTATGAAAATTTTTTTTTCACAATTGTTCGATAGAAAAAAAATGAAGAACATTTCCTGTTTGTTTGTTTGTTTGTTTGAATTTTTATTGATCGAAAAATACACTTGACTTTCTTTACTTTGACAGCTAACGATGAAACTTTATGGCAAACATTTTTTTTTTTTGATTGACATTGTACAATTAACCTGTCAACTATGTTACCCCTGTGTGTGTGTGTGTGTCTGTGAAAGTATCTTCATCTTTCATTCTAACATCATCATCATAATCATTAATTTAAACAAATTTTTAATCGATGACATTGAAATCTGAATGGATGGTGATTGTTTTTTTGTTTTTGTTTTATTTCGAACAAGTTCAAGATCACAATTATCATTAACAGAATCTATACAAGTTCATCGGGTTAACAAATAGACTATTCATTTGTGTGTGTGTGGGGGGCGAATATTGTGTAACAAAGAAAAATAAGTGTTTAAGATAATCCAACTTGAATGATCAATAGATCATCTTGATCGTAGCTGTCATTGTCAAACAAACAAACAAACAAACATAGATTTCTTCCTTGAACACATATATGCACACATGATTTTTGGTGGCACAATTTTTTCTTCAATGTTTCAAATCATTGCATGAGAGACAGCAGGCAGCAGTGTAGACATTAAAGAATGAATGAAAAAAATAGGATTTTTTTTTCACAAAATGTTACATTGACATTGTTTGATCAACGATTCGGGTCTTGAAATGTTATTTTTTTTTTTGAATCAAACAACACATTATCTTGTTTTATGTTGTGTAAGATGATAAAAAAAAATCAAAAGCAAATGTTTTTTTTTCTTTAAAGAAACATCACACCATTCATACGTAAAGTATTTAAACACAATGTTTGTCGTTGGTTATGAAAAATTTTGTTATCATTCAAGATTTTTCAAACATTCGATTCGAATATCAAAATAAAATTATGGCAACCATAGTGACCATGTTACCCATTGGTGTAATAATAACCGCCATACTAGTCATCATTGTTAATCTATTCAGATTAATTTTTATCCAATATCGATCTTATCAATATCTGAAAAAGATTCCTGGTCCTGATTTTCGTAATCCATTGCTTGGAAATTTAAAACTATTCATCGATATCATTTGTACACCTAATTATCGTCCATCACAAGGTGATTATTTCGATTATTGTCTTTGTCCTTTTTTTCTAATTTTAAAATTATTTTAGGATTTTTTAGCCTATTAAAAGATTTAAGTGATGAATATGGTTCAAAATTGGGTCTTTGTCGTGTTTGGTTCGGACCATTCATACCGATTGTCGTTGTAACCGATGCTAATATTGCACAGAAAATTTTAAACAGTGAACATCATCTGGATAAAGCTACACCATATCGTTTGGTTCGATTCGTAATATTTGATGGAATTCTTACATGGTAATGGAATGTATGGAATATTCTTCATAATAATAATCTGATTCAAATAATCTGATTAGTAATACGGAAAAATGGCGTCAACAAAAACGTGAACTACAACCACATCTTAAATTGAAAGCATTGCATTCATATCTACCGAATACTAAACATTATTTATCGATATTGAATGAAAAAATTGATCAATGTATCAAGGATAATAATGGTATATTTTCGGATGCTAAACCAGTCGTTTCAACGTTTGTACTCGATGTTCTTGGTGGTAATATTCAACTTTTTCAATCATTATAATCCTATTTTTTTACATTCTTTTTTTTTTTGTTTTCAAAAGCAAATTTTTTCAGTACAGAATTCAATTCATTATCAGCTGGTTTCAAAGAACCTAAATTCATCGAACGATTCGAACGTATGACTGACTTAAGCTATGTAAATCTATTGAAACCATGGACATATTTTTTCCGTTATGAATTATTCAATTCATTGATATTGTTCACAACCAAAAATATGGATAATTTAAAAAGTTTGTGGCTTATTCTACGATTTCAGCGTTCAGTTCGAGAGGTTCGTGTTGTCATTGTCATTACGATCGGTTGTTCATATCGTTAATCCATTTCAATCTCTAGATCATTAATAATCGTGTGGAAAAATTACGTAAAAATAAAGATGAACGAACTACAATGATGCTGGACACAATGATCGAATCACGAATGGATCATAATTCAATGAAAGTGACAAATATTAAAGAAATTGAAACGCATATGAATTTTTTCATTATTGGTGGTATGTAATTTAAATTTTGATTAACTTGAATTGATTCATTTGAAAAATAAAATTCTTAGGACATGATACAACAACAACTTCATTATCATGGACATTATATTTGCTTGGTCATCATCCACAGATACAGGAACGATTACGTGAAGAAATTGATGAATATCTAGATGAATTGGAAGCTAATGATGAACAGATTACATTATTGAATATGAAACGATTAAAATATCTGGAATGTTGTATACTGGAAGCATTACGTCTATATCCATCGGCACCGATTGTTGGTCGCCGTGGACGAACACCAATTCAACTGGATAATGGAATCACTTTACCAACACATGTTAATTATTTGATAATCATATCGAAAATATTGAAAGATCCAAAATATTTTCGTGAACCAAATCGTTTCTATCCAGAACGTTTTCTAGTGGATAAAGATGATACAGAAAATTGGTTCACACATTTAGCTTATTTTCCATTCAGTGCCGGTATTCGTATGTGTTTAGGTCGTGAATATGCAATGATGCAATCAAGAATGTTATTCATCAATCTAGTTGGTAATTATCTAATTAAATCATTAGATAATTATGGTGAATTGAATCCAACAATGAATGTTTTACATGTACCGGCACATTTTCCCATTCAATTTCAACGACGAACAAATTGTAAAATTAGAAAATTAATAATTTAAAACAAAACAAAAAAATTTAACATATATTTATTTTGTAAATTATTATTTCTAAATGATTTTTCATACATTTTCATTATTATGATTTCTCAATTCAATTTGATAGCTTTTTTCACCAGCAATGTTTGTTGTTGTCATTTTGTTATCTATTTTGTTACCATTTGCAACAGTGGATAATATGAATCGTTTTCGTATCATAGTAAATATGCTTACAATTGGACTTTCAAATAATAATGTGAAAATAAATCCAAATATATAGGCTAACATTAAAGCGGCTACGCTTATCATCAGTATTGATGGATAATGTAAATCAAAAAGATTACGACTTGTATCACGTATTATATAGACAACAAGAAAATGTGTAAGAAATACTGAAAATGTTATTCGTGATAATGGCCGAAAGAATTGCCATGATAATATTATGGCTACAAATGATTCTGGATTGGTAATGCAAATAAATATGATCATCGTTAATATCAATGACCATAATAATCCATTCATTGATGAAAGTATTGATGACCATATTGGATGATATGGTTGTCCAAAATGCCATGGAAATGTATCATATATACATAGTAAATATGCAACAATAATGGATGTCCATGCCATAAAAGTTTTCCACTTTAAAATTTAAGAAAAATAAAATTAAAAATATTGAAAAATTTGTTTATCCGATGATACTCACTCGAGTCCAATGAAAATGATTTGGTTTAATGTGTGTTAAATGATAACCAAAAATAAAACCGACAAGAAATACGTGTGCATGATTCCATGGTTTATCATAATATTTCAGATATTTTCCCGTTTTATCATCGATACGAAAATCACCCGGTGCAGTAAGAATTGTACCTGGTGGTGAATTTTCCATTACAATCCATATTGCTTGTAATATAATGGAAAATATGATCAGAATTTTGCTCAACAATAATCCACGTTGTGGAGAACGAAGAATAAATATTAACGGTAATATTGATAGCCAATGTAATTGCATATCAGCAGCCAAATACCAAAGATGTGGTTCACACATATTCTCCGAATCGATTAGATTTTGCATATAGATCAAATTTTTCCACCATGATTTTTCACATGAATTGATCATCCATTCCATACGATATTGCCATACAGGTCCATCGAACAATGGTGGTAATAATGTAATGATAATCATGAATGCCAATAATTGTGGTGTAAGCCGTAAAAATCGTACTAGAAGAAATGGTATGATACGAAATTTTTTATAATCACCACCGATTTGTTTGATCGTTACATATGAAATTAATAATCCACTTTTTTTTTGGTTCAAGAAAAGATATTTAAAAAAAATTTGCATTTTTTTACTTTTCAAAGAAAACAAACTTACCTTAGAAAGAAAAATGTCTCAACAGCATAGAATCCTTTCAATAATGGTTGTGTATACCAATTGGTCATTTCATTTTTTATCAAAAATAATTGTGCTAATAAATATAGATCAGATTCAAAAGATAAATTTTTCAAGCAAGAAAAAAAAACATACAAAATCGATTCATGTCGAAGAATGGTATAATGTGACCAAGAATAACCCAGCTAATACTACAAACACGAATTCCATGTATACACGATAGATCTTGACTATTCGATTTTGATGAAAGAATTTTTCGTATATTTGATATTGGTGAAAACCAAAGTAAACATGTTACGATAGCATAATCTTGTCCTGTATACATTAGATGAATATATATATGTTCTATGTAGCAATAGTCATGAATATAATCAAATTAAAAAAAATTTATTTACTTTTTTTCACTATAAACCAATCATAAATGGCAGCAATGATTGTCATTATGATGAAAAATCCAATAAACAGCATGGACATTATCTGTACATTGTTTGGTTGCCATGATTCTGTTCGTTTTGTTGTGCAAATTATTTTGTTTATTTTTAAATCAAATATTTCTCTACCAAATCCTTTTTGAATAAAAAAATGATATTTAAAAAAAATTCATAGAATAACCACGAGAATGATTTTACCTTTTTCAGTGATAATTTCAATATCATCAGCCGTACAATCCGATGGTAAACAGATTCCTTTACGAATGGCTGCATAATAAAAAAATGATGACAATTGTCCAAGATCATGATAGAAATTCCCTGTCATAGATTTATTGTACAAATCATCGGGTAGAATATTCTCCGTTTCATGGAATAAATTATGCATTGTTGGTCTTGGTCTTGGCATCGGTATTGTTAGATCAATCAGACAATATTTTACAATCAAATCCAATGGATCAACACTCATACATTGATCATAATCACCATAATCAACCATAGTGCCAAGCATCATACCGACAGGAACTATTGATGATGGCCATGAATTGAATAGACGGAAAGCCCAAGTTCGACGATCACCGAACATAGCATCACGAATGAATATCAATTTTGTACGACATTTTTGCGTCAGATTTTCATGTCGAAATAGCAATCCATTTGGTTCGATATAATTTGGCAAGAATACTTTGGCCAATGTTTCATTCGAAACATTCAATAGACGATCCCAAAGATATGATTCATTTGAAGTTGATAATGGAGATATAATGAATATTATTATGAAAATACAAAAAAATAATCTATCAAAAATTTTTACATTCATAACTAAATGATTTGAAGAAAATTTAAAAAAAAACTTAAGAATTACTGAAATCGAATCACAATACGGAACATAATATCATCTGAAAAAAATGCCAGGATACCACAATTTTTAAAAAATGAAAGGAAAAAACTGAACCAGAAAAAAAAATTCGAATGTATTTCCTAGAATGGCAGCAATATTATTATTATCATGATGAAATAATTTACAACCTTAACATGTAATATGATGTTTAGTGAACCATTTCGTGAGAATATTTAAACGGAGGTGTGAAAAATGAATGTTTAAACCAACAAAATCCAAAAAAAAAAGAATTTTTATTTTATTTACCAAACATACACACAAACCACACAGACAAGCTTTCACCAGAAGAACATATATATGAAATATTAAAAAAACCAAATTATATTGGATGGCAAAAAAACAAACAAACAAAGATTCTAATCTGACAATGATGAGAATCATAAATCAGACTGGTAAATAAATTTTAAAATCATCAAGAAATACAATTTGCAAATATTTTCTCCATCTTTCCGCGATCATATATCAATCATATATATATGACAAACCATTATTTTTCACATATAAAAAAAATTTAAAAGCAGAAAAAGAAGGAATATGTAATGTGTGTGTGTGTGTGTGTGAATGAATGAATGAAATAAAATAAGATCACAAATTGAATTCAAAAAGAAAAAAATTTGAAAACTTTACAAATTTAATCAATTTCACGAAGCCTATAAAATAATAGATAGGCATTGGGTGTAATTATTTCATGATCATTGGCAATTTTATCCACACAACTATCATCGAATAGACGCCAACCTATGAATAGAAAAAAAAAATATACAGAATGGTGTGGGCTGTGGTTAGAGAATGATTTTTTTTTTTTGTAAAAAAAAACATACCAAATTCATTTGTATGTGATGAACGTGCAAATGCCGTATAATGTCCCCATGAGGCACAACCTTGATGACTAACAACAGCATATAGATCATAGATTGATGGCTGTGATTGTTGTTGTTGTTGCTGTTGTTGTGTTTGAGCATCATCATCATTATTATTATCATTATGATTAGCAGTATAATATTTTTCCAGATTCAATTCAAATGGATATTTTATCATACGATTAATTTTTTCATGATTATAAATCGATGAATGTGTTTTGAAACGTTTCAATTGTATAACCAATATGGATGGTAGACGCCAAAATGATAGCTGTTTGGATGCTTCTCTTGGTACTTTACAATTAGGACAACGCCTATCGGAGAAAAAAATCATCATCATCACAATTAATATTAATAAAAATAAAATATTTTATGATCGAAAAAAACTTGATAGACTTACCAGCAATTTTGTGGACCAAGAATTTCCGGCTCTATAAATGCCTTTAGACAATCATCAAGTGTAACATCATCATCATCAACATCATTACCAATTTTAACATATTCAATATTTTTATCAAACGAATTCAATTGTACAGCAAATGGATACATTGGAAAATTTTTCACCGTAATCCAATCCATATAGATAAAATAAAAATTAATTAAATCAATTAATTCATCATTGCCATAGGAATTGAATTCATCATCATCATATTTATTTATCGATTGTTGTTCATCATCACCATCATCATCATCATCATCATCATTCAACATCATTGGCGATTCTTCTTCTTCTCGATGTGGCGGGGATGGTTCATGCATTAGCGAATTTTCACCATTAGTTGATGTTGAAGAATTTAAATTACCATCATCATCATCATCTTGTTCCATATCTACATTTCTATAGGATACAAATTCCGGTGGTGTTATTTCTATTTCTACACCATTCATCATTGACATAAGTAAAAATGGTACAATCGTATCGTTTGGATGTTGGATTTTAGATTTATGATATATTAAATGTGGGATTGGATCAATGGTTTCCATGTTATTATTATTGTAATTGCTCGATGATTTTGCCACATTTTTTGGTGTAAACGAATGAACATTAAATCGATTAAGATTACCGATTGCATTTGGATTAATATCTGTTTTATTTTCCATAGCCATGGCTTGACGATAGGCAATAACTGAAAAACGGGCATATGAACAAAGAACCTCACAAAGATGGCTATAAGATATGCGAGATTTTTTTATTGAACAAACAAATGGAAATCCAATTTGATGGCTACGAAATTCTCGTTGTAAAATACAAAATTCAACATGTTCATCATTGTTATCAATATTTTCATTTTCCGATGATAATGATGATGATAATGTTGATGGTAATTCAAATAATAATAATGGTTGTTGATTCGATAGATTGAATGAGGAATGATGATTACTATTATTATTCATGAAAATTGAATGATTTGATTGTTGTTGTTGACAATCGGTAAGTAGCCAATTAACATTGAAAAATTTAACAGGCATTATATCATTGGAACGATTATGTTGTTGCCGTAATTGTGGCTGCATTAATCGAACATTTTTCGTTGGTATTACTTGTTTTTCTAACAATTTATCCAATAAATTATTTACGGTTGAATTTTGAGCAATACAAACAGAAAATTTTGAAACATTTTTACACATATCGGTAATGGGATCACGATCAAAATAGATGACATTATATATTAATTTAGGTGGTGGAATCGGTAAAGGTACAAATAGAAATGGATCGAATATAATGCTTTTTTTCGTACAATCAGGACAGGTAAGAATCGATTTGAATTGACCACAAAATAGATCGATTACGATTGAATTATTACATAGACGATATTGTTTCCAAGCACGATCGGCAATTTCTGTCATTCTTGCGAATATTTCTTCACGAATTTCATTCGTTGGACAGTCTTTTATATCATAATCAACAAGACTATTATTATCATCATCATTAGAATCCTTTTGGTGATCGCCATTGATTTTGGCTTCATTTCGATTAAGATCTTCATGTATGGCATCCAATAGAAATGACATTAATTCCTGTGCATCATGTTGACCATAACCAGCGAATGTAATCACTTTTTCACCAATTAATGATTTCAATCGTGTGGGAGATATTGATGATTGTTTACCCAGCCATAATTGTAGAAGAAATTGTGCAAATGCCCGAGCCATTATACCCTTCATCCCTAGAGGGTTTTTCGTATTTATATCATTTAGATATTCATTTGCTAAACATCAAATAAAATGAATTCAAATGAATCGAATTGTGTGTTGAAAATACTTACAGAGAAAATAGTCTCGTAATGGATCAGTATTTGCCAGACATTGTAATACGGCATTCATGAAACAAGTATTGCCCAGATTATCTAAACCGATAAATCCACGAAAACGGCCACAACGACTTGTATTGATGGCTGATTCAATCTCACCATTAGCATTGATATCTATTGACGACAAATTAAAAATTCAGACAATTCCTACATAAATTCATTTCACAACAAACCATTATTATTGTCTGAAGATTTTGATAAGGTTAATATCATATTATCATTGGGAAATCGACACTTTGAATCAGTGGAAGACGGTGATAATGTACATGGTGTCCATTTATTTAGACTAAATGTTGACAAAGGTAATAAGGATGATGACGATGATGATGGAAATGATGAATTCAAATCAATTGTAGTTGTCATTGTATTTGTAGACGTAGTCATTGATGATGATAAAACTGGTGTGATCCAATGTTCTTTAATAGTACCCCATGTAATTGGCAGTAATTTTTGTAAACGAATTTCAACAGTTTTCTTAAGAATTTTTAATGAACATTTATCTGGAACAATTTCATGTCTAAAAAAACGAAATTTTTAAAAAATTCAATGTAAATCAATGAAATCAATTAATCATACAAAAAAAACTTACTTAAATGTAAGATTTAAAAGATAGATAAAATTCTTATTCAATTGAATTGGATTCAAAATTGGAATCTCATTATTATTATTATTGTTGATATTTGGTAGTAAGCTATAATCAGTTTCGAATTTCATTCTCATTCCATTTTGATAAAATTGAAATTCACAATGTTGTACATTATTTATATAAAGAAATAATAGAACAAAATCATTAAATTCCGAATAATTACTTTTGAGATCGGTTAATTGAATTTCAATGATATTATTATTATCATCATCATCAACATCATCATCATTATTATTATTATTATGATTATCATTTGTTTTATCATTATCATTTATTAATGCCGATGGACTATCATTATCATCATCATCATCATCATCATGAACACTAGTAATGATTGAATCAAATTTTGTTGATGTTTTCCATAATGTTGATGATGAATTATTATTATCAATAAGATTTATTAATGTATTAGGATTCTGATCAACATTGAAATTGAAATTTTTATTATCAAAGTCTTTGTTAATTGTAATATTTTTATCACTAGTTGAATCGCTTGCCGATGATGATGATGGAGATGATAGTGATGAGGCTGATGAATATGTTGTTGTTGTTGTTGTTGTCGAAGTCATTGTTACATTTTCCGTTTCGATAATTTTTAATTTTTTAATATTCTGTTCTTGATTATCCATATGATTTTCAAGTAGTTCAATATCACCATTTATCATTGCTAATTCTTTGGTTGATGATATTTCTGGATGAATTTTTGTCAATTGCTCAATCGATTCTTCAGATTGTTTAATCATTGTTATATCATTATTATTTTCATTCATAATTGATTCTGAATGATGAAACATTTTCCGATCATCGATGATTGCATCAACCGTATCGATATCCATATCATTTGATTGTTGAATACAATCATTTTTATTGAACTCTCGTTGATGATGATGATGATGATGATTGATAAGAAATTCATTGGGACAAAAATGATAACCATCACCATTGGTTTTCAATCGATTGGAATCAGAATCTTCATTAATCGATTGATTAATTTGTGATTCTACATTTGTAGTAGTTCCATTCTGATGATTATCATCGACAGTTGAATCAGATGAAAACATTTTGATCATATTATCTTTATGATTATGATGATTACAATTCTTAATCTTCATTAGGCCAAGATTTTCAAATTTATTTCGAACAACATCAACATCTTTAGTATTGTTGTTGTTGTTGTTGTTTGTTCGTAATAATCACACCATTATTATTATTAATTTTTTTCAAATTAATCACATTATTTATTATTTATGGCAGAATTTTCATTATTCGAATTATTGATTATATCATCACCATCATTGTGATTGAATAATTTTTCATTTTTCGAATTTGTTGTTGATGATGATGACGACGTATTAACAGCATTTAAATGTTGTTTCGACATTTTTTTTCAAAAATAGAGAAATTCGGGTTTATCTTTTTTACCAATATATTTAAATAAATAAAATGAAAACAAACATGAATGATTGAATATTTAGTGGTTAGAGTAGAACACAATGTTTTTTTGCTTTGTCACACTTGATGATGATGATGATGATCATCATCATTTTCATTATCAAAATCGGATACGCCGTTTTTTTTCGTATATCACCAAAAATAAATTTTTATTTTCTATTCTTAATTATATATTGTCGCCCCGAAACAAAACAAAAAAAAAAAACAGACGTATCACAAACTTTATACGGATAAACAATCATATTTTTTGTGTGTGTGTGTGTGTGTATTAATGAAATCGAGAGTGCGGCATCGTTGTTTTCATAATGAATATTACGCATGTGCATTTAATTTAACCATACAGTGGTATTCAACCCTCAAAACTTTTCTATCGCCAATTTCGATATATAGAATTGGAATTCTGGTTTGTTTGGAATTCACTTGATTTTATAAACCAGACACAGAGAGTGAAAGAGAGAAAAGTGCTTTTTTTAACACTTTTGTTACGGTAAAGGGTAAAATGACCATTCTACATAGAAATCGATATACATAAAATTTCCCGTAATGATAGTGTTAAAATGAACATATTTCCACATAACCGGTATGTTTGGGTTGAAATTCAATTTCGATTATTTTGATGATTCGATTTTTTAAAGATTCAGTGGTTTTTTTTTGTGAAATAGAGAAAAAATTGAATGCCGGATGTATATAAGTACTATATTACGCAATAATTAATTGTTACGACAAGTTAAGAAAATTTTTTTTGATACTTATTATGGTAATAACTGAAATACTTTCTTACTCATACATAACAAAGTATTCATTTGTCTACAACTACTATCTAAATGTGTGTTATGACTTTGTTCAAGATTTTACCATTTTGATAATTTAATTGGATGGCAATTGATATATATGCTGATTATTATCATAGCAACACTGTGAATTAAAAAAAACCCTTCCTTTTGATTTATATTTTTTCTCTGTATGAATTCAAAACCTAATTCTCATTATCAACAAGCAATAATATAATAAACAAAACTGATATGATGAGGAAGAAGAACATTTAAAATTCCTTTGAATTAATTGCTAAATAAAGGTAAGTTATTTTTTTTTTTTTTTTTTCCCAACAATATTGGATGTTACCCATGTGAATGTATATTCTCCTTATCTTTTCCAATTTTTTTTAATAACATTTGGCATTGAGTATGCAAAACAAATAGAAAAAAAAGATTCATATTCATTAATGATTGTGTGCGATGTTGTTTTACATCAATCAATGTGTTTTTAACATTTCTAAAATGTTATTGAATGTGTATGAATGTGTGCATATTTATATTTTTTCCACTTCATCGTGATGATCATGATTTCATCGAGGAAAACAAAATTAACAACAAAAAATAGTTATATTTTTGTTTTTGTGTATGTGTGTCTGTTAGTGTTTTTAATCATTTGTCAAAAATAGCCAGATTATCATAAAGGTTTGTTGTCACCAATGATGGTTGATCTGTTTTTATTTTTTTTTTTCAATCATCTCTGATTATCACAATTCACAAGTGTTTTTTTTCTAATGCAATATTTTTTTTAATTGATATAAAAAGATTAAAAAGATTTTTGTATTTTTTTTAATCAATAAAACAAAGGAACAAACATCACAATGGCATCATCATCGTCATCATTCAGTATGGATCTTTTATCTTCCATGATCTGGTCACCGTATCAGACAATACAACAGGCTGTTTTACCTTTTTATCATCGATCGTCTGGACCCTCTACGATTATTGACCTTAATGATAATTGTTTATGGACGATTTATTATTATTTAGATTTTGATGATCTTGTTCGCTGTCGACGTGTTTCCCGTCGTTTTTTATCGACCGTTAATGATTATTTTAAATTGATGAAAAATTTCTATTATGATTGCCATATGAATGGTGTACGACTTCGTCATGGTCAATATCAATTCAATATTTGTTCATTTGAATTTTGGCTCGAACATATGCCATCCATTCGACGATTACGTTTTGAACAATGTCATATGATGCGTAATGCTCTCGCACATTGTCAATTTAATCTATTCGATTCAATATCGGCATTTATTACCGATTTAAAAGAACTACATCTTGGACGAGCTTTATTCATTAATCAACATTCATTATCACAACTGATTCATGCATTTCCATTGTTAACACATCTAACTATAACTATTTACGATGAACATTTATTATCGCAAATCATTTCTGGATTTCAACACTTATATTATTTAAATCTTGATGAAAGTATTCTCTATCATTATTCACCGTCATTGAGGAATTTACCTCCATCCATTCGTGTATTGATTCCACCGATAGATTTGAAGAATGAAAAATCTCAGATTCTCAAATCAATATGTGATGGTAATTTTTAAAATTATTAAATTTATTTTATAACAAATTTAATATTCTCTCCGAAACAGGACATGGAATCAAATTGGAACGATTGGAAATACGCGCAACAATCCATAATATCAATGACGATCGTCATTATTTCGATTTGATTGGCCAGATTCTTGTCAAACTACAATGGCTTCAATTGGATCTTTCTTGTGCGTCGCTTTTTAATCCACAATTTACATTGGATGGTCATCAACAGGAAATTAATAATAACTATCGTGATGATTATGAATCAAATTCCAACGGATGTTTAAATTTGATCTCCGGTCTACATCGTTTGGTTAATCTTAGAGTATTGATATTGAAAGAAAAAGATTATTTCGATGATAATTATCATGATGATGAAGAATCGACAATCAGCAATTCAAATCGATGTCGTAGTCTCTTTGATGATTTTTCCATGTTGAAGATATTCAAAGGTTGTTCAAAATTAATAATGCTTTCAATCTCATCATCACTTTGCTGTAATCGTAATGATTATGCACGTTATACGATGAATCGAAAACAAGATGATCAAAATATAAATCGCATATTGAACAGATGTTTTAGAAAACAGCAAATGGTAGATGAGGATGGCAATATTTTTGATTGTGATATTTATGACGATGAAGCTATAAATCATTCTAGTCATCATATGAAAAATGACAATGATTCCATTGATGGTTGTCGCAGCACATTAAAAGAATTGATAGCTGAACAAAACCTGGATAGTGGTTTCGATAATAATAATGATCAGAGTATTAGTGTATCCAAATTAGTACCGAATTCAATAAGTGATCACTCATTATCTACATTAGATCAATATCTTCCAAATTTACGAATATTAAGGCTACGTGGTGTTCGTATTGGACAACGTTCATTATTGGCTATACAGAATCTTGAACGATTACAATTTTTGCGTTTAGATTCGATACGATTCAATCGAAATGAAAAATCATCAATCAAAGAATCATTTAGTGAATTAATGCGTACACTAACATCCGATATGTATCAATCAGATGAACAATATCAACAAAATCGGCAACATCGTACATCAATTCATTTGACGAACATTCCATTGATCTGAAAATCAAAAATGTTATACACATTTTACTCATAAGTTTTTCATTTTTAATCAGATGTTTTAATCAATCAAACAAACAAACATGAATACATTGCAATTGGGAAAAGGGTCAAGGTAATTGGGTGCTTCAAAAATTCATTATTTTCTCGCTTCAGTGCATTATTCTTATTTATAATCGACTTTTGCATATTTAAATGTTTGTTTTCACATTTTGTAATTGGTGATTTTGGTGGATATATTTAATTTATTTGTGTGATCTAATTTCATTTTAATAAAGTATCATTTGTCAGTGATTTAAAAATCCGAATTCTCTAGATACATGGTAAAATAGATGAAAAATGGAAACAATAATGCAAATATGACAAGAAGAATTCGGAATAAAACTTTATAATGATCATATCGTTTTTTATTGATTGATTCACTTTTTTCTTGTCGTATGATGTTGGTCTGTTGTTGTTGTTGTTTATCATTGAAAAGTTTGGCAAATTGTCCTTTAATAAATTCAAATTGTTCACTAAGAAATTCTTTCGAGAATGATGAATCATGTGATAATGAACAAGACATCAATATACCAGGATCTTGATATAATCGTTCCAATGTTAATGATTTGGGTAATGTTTTATGCCATATATTCAATATTGGTACAGGATATTCACGATATAATCGATGATCGATACCATGTGTAATACGAATTGAACGTACTGTACGTTTTAATAGATCGGACCAATATTTAATTTCAATAATGATTGTATCTAATGTTGTTATGCTTCCACTTTCACGGCTATTCTTCTGTGATCTACCACCATTTGATTCATGACCATTCATTGTATTGATTAACATATTGGCATGTTGTTTTTGTTGCTGTTGTAGTTGTTCACGAAATTCTAGTTTAAATAATAATAAATTCATTTCCACAGCCATAAAAGCGAATAAAAATCGTGATTTTTCCGGATGTTCAAATAGATAAAGCTGTTGATATTGTTCATCCAATTGTCGTGCTAATTGAGACATTTTCAAACATTTTTCCTTCATAATCATTTCATTTTCATCAAAATTATTGGATGTGGTACTAAAATTTAAAAAACTTTGATTTTTCAGTGTAGAATCAATAAATTCTTCTTGAAATTGTGTAATAAATTCTTCTCGTAATGAATGGAATAGATCTATGTCGATCATATCATTACCATCATTTTGTTCTTCCATACATCGTATACAGATACAATCACCAATATAATAATTTCGTAATTGTTTCAATCGTTCCATTCGTGATAATGAAATATCAACATAATTAATGGATAATTGTTCACCAATTTCAATCGATTTCATTGCTCGTAATTGAATGACAGGTCCATAGTGTATAAATGAACAATTTGGTATACAAGAATGTACACCATCAGCTGTTAATATGCTTGGTTCAAGATATAATCCATATGCAATTGCATCTTTCAAAAACAGTCCAGTTAATGTTTCATCAAAAATTGGTAATGTATATGACCAAAGACGAACAAATATTTTCCATAATTCATATATTTTATCATCATCTGAAATCATGGATAAAATTTCATTATCACCACCATCATCATCGTCATCATCATCATCACGACAAAGACGTAATTCATCAAGTAATCCAATGAATTGTAATAATGCAAATTCTTCTGTTGTCATATCAGTAGATTGTTCATCATTGTCATCTGATTTATTGGCAAATTTTTCACAACATATTGTTATACGATCGGCAAGTTCATTATGTTCAATAATAATTGCCAGTTCTAATTGTTCAAAATTAATCGGTTCACGAGTCAAGGGATTAAATATCGGCTGATAATGTATTGATTCAGGATTTGTGAGACGAAGATAAAGACGTAGAAATAATCGCGATGAACTGGAAAGAATATGTCCATATTTCGCCAACAATGGACATTCAAGATTATGAACATTTTTAAATATACTTGGTGATTGTAATTGTTGACATGATCGACAGAAATGAATCTGTTGACAATCACGACATATGTAAAGATTTTTCGAGCCAATTGGCTGCCGTAGACATAGATCACAGATTTTACCACGCCATGAATCTGCAATAATATGTATAAAAGGGCGACAGGTGACCAAAATATCGCCAGTTTCAAATGCTACTGATTTTGATAATCGTTTATGATCATCATCATAATCATAAATAGTTGATCTATCCGTTGAAATTGATGAAAATGAATATCGAAACATTTTATTCAATCAACAGAAAATTTATTATTATGGATTTAAAACGCAATAATAATAATCGAAACATTAATGTAAAAAACAAAACTGTCATTTAGCGGTGCTGTTTATACTGACACAACATCGGTAAACATCAAACATGATTGCCATCAAGTAACGCCATCTAGTTGCAACAAAAAACAAATCAATTTTTATTTTCAACAAAAAAAATAAAACAAGACAAAACAAAAAATCAGATTTTTTACAAACATTGATATTCACAATTCAAATTTATACAGAGAAAAAATTGGAAATGAATTAAATTCCTGTGTATTACATCAATACATTTATTTCTGGCTGTATGGTAAACATTGTCTTATTTTGAGGATTAAAACATAAAAAAATGGCACTTTGTATTCAACTAATCCGTTGTACGATTTTGTTCGGTTGTTTGGATTGAATCCATTTCATTCGCTATCTGTTCACGATCCTGTTGTATTATATTGATTCGATTTTCTATCCGATGATCATAGGAATAATCATTCCATAATGACAAATCAATTTGATCGACAGATGGCATACGTTCATTATTATTATTATTATTGGTAAATGTAATCACAGAATTATCCATTTCTATTGATGATGATGATGATGGAATTAAATCCATACATTGTATATCGGTATTGATGGCCGTTGTTGTGGTTGTTGCTGGTGTTATTGTTGTTGAATCCATCATTGAAACTCGACAATTTTGGGTATTAGACATTTGGCTATTGTCATTCGAAACGATTGAATTATTGTTATCATTGTAAATATCATGATGATGATGTGAATGTTTTGCCATATGAATATTTGTTGATAATGTATCAAAACGATCCATAACAGGATCAGTCAATGTGACATAGATGAAATTTTTATTGTTATTATTATTATTATTATTATTTTCGCTATGATGATGATCAAATCCATTCATCGATGGATCGGATATTATTGAACGATAATTTGATTGTCGACAATGATGATGATGATCATGATGTTGCAATTGATTCAATCGATTTGTATCGAAATGTAAATTTTGATTGATTAATTCATCATTTTCACACAATGAACAGGATTCATGTTGATGATGATGATGATGATGGCAATGATGATGCTGCGATTGAATTGGCAAAAATTCATTGACAATAGTATTATTAGTATTAGCTATTGTCGTTGTTATCGATGGAATAAATCGATTCGTTTCCATTGTCGAAGTGATTGATAATGTTGATCGATTAGAATTGTTAAGCAAAGAAATTGTATTGTTTTCACTATTCATTGTTGCCGTTGTTGTTGGTATTATGAATAAATTGTCAGATCGTTGTTGTTGTTGTTGTTGTTCGATCGTTGTATTCGAACGATGAACAGAATGATGATGATGATTATTTATTATTCAATAATAGATCACATAATTTTCGTGGTTGTTGTTGTTGTTGTTCACAAATCGATACAGTATCATTCGATTGTATATCACCTTGATGATCTAAACAGTTTGCTATATGAGCAGATGCTTGTAATGTATCCATCATTAAATCTGGTAACATTTCTCTATTATTATTATTATTATTATTATTGTTATGTAGATTCTGTTGTTGTTGTTGTTGTTGTTTGGAATTTATCTGATTAAAATCAGGATATTGTTGAGGTATCGTATCAAAATAAGAAGTAGTAGCTGTTGTTGTTGATGTTGCCGTAGTCGATGATGATGGTAATAATGAATGGTGATCAAATGTATCGAAATTGGTCAATGTAAACAATTTAATTGATCTATGGTCATCATCATCATCATCGTTATGATCATCATTAAATATTTGAGTTTTGCTGTTAATTAGCAAATTATTTGCACAGCTAATAATTAAATCCAATCCAATATAATTGAGTGTGCGTTGAATATTTCCAGATAATAATATGTACATAATGAGAGAAAATAAGAAATTATTAAGAATTAAATGGAAGAAACATTGATTTTTTTTTGTTTGTTTGTTTGTTAATTACAATGTAATAATGATGATCATTTACCTGTTATCATTTGTTGTTTGTTTCAATTCATTTAGATCATTTATATCGGATGTTATTACCATTTCTGTGCTTAGACTTTCGGATAGATTATCAAAACGAACTGTTTTCGATCGTTTTGTTAGACTCGTTGTTGTTGTTGTTGTTGTTGTTTTTTTACTGCTACGTTTTTGTCGTCGACATTGTTGTTGATGTCCAGTATGAACTTTAATCAACAATGTTGCCACCAATAATGAAATAAGTAAAAGGATTACTACAAGAGAAATAATGACAATCCATATGAATGGTAAATGTGATATATTTAACAATGTTGTTGTTGTTGTTGTACGATGTTCAGCACGATTCGTTTTTGTTGGACCCATTTTCGATTCATTGCCATCATCATTATCATTATCATTGTCATCAACATCATCATCGTTATCATGATTGTCTATATCGTAATTACCATGTTCATTATCATGAATATTTGTTGAAATTTTTTTATATCTTGATACAGTTGTCGAATGATTATTATTATTCTTCATTTTATTTTCGTTAATACTTATTATGGATGAATCATGTTTGAATATCATTTCCGACTGTAATCGATGATCATGATCATTGTATGGTGATGATGATGATTCAGATGTTGAACGACGTGTTGGTGGTGGTGGAACTCGAAATGAAAGACTTATATCACTAATCGAACGGCCATTCATCTGTGCTGAAATATACATCAAATAATTTACTGTTGTTTGTTGTTGTTCACTACCATCTTCATCATCATTATTGACATTTTGTATGGATTGAAATTCTTTTCTTCCAGAAGAATCATGATTTTGATGCTGATGATGATTATGATTATGGTCTAATTCATCGACATGAACTAAAAATCTTGGCTCAATAGATGTAATATTGATCAGTTGCCGTCTTTATTTAGATGAAAATGAATTTGAAAAAAAAACGATAAAGCAGAAAAAAAATCATTGAAATAAAAAAAAACAACTCGCGTCATTTCACTTTTCATCAAAAAAAAAAGAAAACTTACTTGTCTTTGAAAATTTTAAGATTATAATGGATCGATAAATTCTGATTTTGATGATGATGATGATTATGATGTGAAGAATGATAATAATGTTGTTGTTGGCCATAGTAAGTTGGATTTAGATCAACTTGGAAATTTTTATCGATCGGTCGTATAGAATCATGATCATGATCATCATCATGATGATGATGATTATTATTGTTGACATTAATCATTGATTCATTCATCGATGATGTAATAGAAGAAGATCGAACAAACAAATGATTCGGTTGGCGACATTCAACTTGTATCAATTCAAATGATATTTTTGTATCACAGATCAATTGATGATTTATTGGATTTTCTATATTTCAAAAAAAATTTAAACAATAAAATTTAGAATATGAATGATCAAGAAAAAGAAGCAATTCATTGTCTTGGGGTGTTTTTTGCATGGTTTTTTTTTGTTTATGCTTTTGTTCTCCAAATTTCAATTTCAAATTATTTGATTTTCCCAGCTTCGGGTACCTTTGTGTAATTTACCGGAGTCAAAAAAAAAATCCATTATGAATTTGAATATTTTCTCTCTTTCTTGTTGAATAAATTAGATCGAATTCAATTAATTCAATTCAGTCGTTGAATCATTCGTTCTTCATTTCACTTTTTTTCCGCTAAAATTAATTTTTTTTTGTCATAATTGAATTGAATAATATTGATATTTACATTCGATTTATTTGTTTTTTTTGTTTTGTTTTCAATTGTGAAAATTTTCTTTCATCATTCCATCATTCGGTGATGGTAATGATAATTTTACCTTTGGGTATGATTTGAATTTTTTTTTTTATTTTAATTTTATTTTCAAAGAAAATCCAATTTTTTTTCTATATTTTCAATGGAATATATAGGTCATGTGTTCCATTCTCTAATTATACCTATTATTAAGTGGAAGGTTCATCTTTGCTATCTGCATAATTTATTTTATTTTTTTTTTTTTTGTTTGTTATCATCATTATTAACGTGTGTGCGGTTTTTTCAACTGTAAATTTTTTCAACTGAATGATTTTTTTTTTTTTAGAATATGAACGACAACTTGACTTTTGAAACATTAGATTGTGATTTAAAAGTGCAAGAGAGGGGGGAGAGAGAGATTGAATATTCATCATTTGAAGATGAATTTTTTTCCCTAGATTCTCATTTAAATATAACCCATAGTATCAAAAGAAGATCACGTAGACTAACAAACACGATCATCTATAATGGATGTTTTCAATTCAAAATTCTGGAAAAAAAATTAATCAATAATGATAAACTTTTTCATATTTTACTTGTTTAATAATAAATTTAAAAGTTATATATTAATCTAATCATGATAATAATGATCATGTGTATGGTCTGGTTTTTTCTTTCTGTCTGTTTTTGTTGGAAATTCATTCATTTTTTTTATTTACCATAAATATTATAAAAACAAGGTTCTGTTTGATCACCGGCCAAATTTCTTGCCCAACATTGATATTGGCCATAATCATCATCGGATTCGATAAGTAATTCTAATCGATTTCTGATGATTTTTCGATAATTATTTTGCTGCTGCTGTTGTTGTTGTTGTTCACTTGATGATGATGAAAATAAATTTGATGACGAACCAAGTATCAACATTGATGTTTCTGTTGAATATTTTTGTTGTTCCATATGATGATTATTATTATGTTGATATGTTGATGATGATCCAGTTGATGATGATGGAAATAATATTTCCTGATGTTTTGTACGCCATAAAAATGTAACATTTGTTGGATTAGCATCCACTTCACAGATCATTGTAACAATACTGCCAATATTGGCCGGTATTGTTTGCGTTGGTGTCACGCAATTGGGTACATCTGCAATGAAAAAAATAATCAATGAGAAAACACACAAAAAAAATTATATTGAACATTATTATTATTATTATGATGATGATGATTGTCCAAAAATCGATCAAAGATGAGTAAAAATTTTTTTTTTTTTTGGGAATCAAAAATAAATGAAAAAAAAATAATCATATGTTTGTAATGTATATATAATAAATGCAAATCGAAATCAATGTTAACCATGTTTGTTTGTTTGTTTGTTTGTTAAAAACACCATGTTCATTTTTATTCAATCTTCAAACGAAAAAAAAATGAAATTTAGCGTGACCAATATAATTGATCCAAATGAATATTTTGCACCTATACCTAATATAAAAATGTGAATGCATTATTTTTTCTGGGGTGGTGGTGGTGGTGGTGGTGGTGGTGAATGTTCCAAGAAAAAATGGTTTTTTGGCCATTGTTTCAAAAGCCATTGAACCGAGAATGTGAAAAAAATCGTAAAACAATAATATTGAGTGGCATCTATTTATTTGATGAATCTAATATCGAATTGAATCGAATAGAATCGAACAACAGCAGAAAAAAATAATAGGTTTTTGTTCCACTGTCTCTCAATTCTATTTACTTTATCACCATTCATTCATTTATTTTCAACTAATGGACAATAATTATCATCATCATCATCATCATCATCATCATAATTATTTGGAAAAAACAACGAAAAAAAACTAATTGACCAGAAATAGTGGAAGAATATATCTCGAATGAATGAATGAATGAAAAGCATGTATATGCATTTTATGTTCTCTCTTTGTGTGTAGGTAGATTTAAGATTTTTTTTTGCAGAATAAAAAAAAACCGTAGACTTTTGTTGTTGGTTGTGTCTGGTTTCATTAACACATCACATGGTGTTTTATTTTATTTTTTTTTTTTTTTTTTTTTTTTTTTGCTATTTATTTATTTCAATCACATCTATTTGATGGTGATGGTGGTAGATGAACAAAAAAAAAAAAAACAAACAAACAAACAAAAATCAAGCCAATGACCAATGATGATGATGATGATGATGATAAGTAAATGGTTAAAGAAAAAAAAACATTGAATCGAAAATGGAAAGTAAATATTGAAAAGTTTTTCGTTCGATTGAACTCAAATAAAGATGAACCATTCTGTGGGTAATGTAAACACTGTATTTTATTTGGCAAATTGTTTTGATTTTTTTCTCTTTTTTTTGGTCTTTTTTTTTAGATTTCTTTCTAGAAGAATCTTTACCGGTTATTTTTAAATGTACTGTCCACGAATTAAGAATCCCAAACTATAATATGTTGTGATGTGAAAACAAACAAATCTAGAATATGTTTAAAAATAAACCATCAAACCAATGATTATGAAATTTTCACAATTCAAGTTTCTCATCATCAATGAATCAAAGAATTTTTTCGAGTTTTTTCGAATCATTTTCTGTTGTCAGATCATCATCATCATCATATCATTTCAGATGAAAATAAATGAATGATCATGGAACATCAAGATTATTTTGGTTGAGAACGAAAGAAAAAACATGGATTTTTTTCTGTTGTTACCATCATTCGGTGTGATAATAGAATTTATTTATTTTATAGTAATGGGATGTAATTTTTTGTCATCATCATTGTCATCGTTTTTTGTTGTCAAAGCAGCGAAAAAAGGATTCGGCAAAAATATTCCAAATAAACTCACGATGTTTATTATGATGATGATGATTGTGAATTCATATCGTAAAGAATTTCACAGTCGCAATTTATTTCCGTTTCATTACTATATTTACGATATCTATGGAATCTATATTGTAGTCGAATAATTCCAAGTAAATAATCATAACAACAACAACAACAACAAGAAACAAAAGAAAAGTAATCATAAATGATGATGATGATGTGAAATTAAAGCTAGAATTCTGTTAATTCTCTTACTATATTTTATCATACACACAAAACATAATCATAGGTAATTGCCATCCATTGCTCATCTCGATCATAATGATGATGATGATGATGATGATTCTATCTCTCTCTCTCATAATCATCACATTTTATTTCATTTCATTTCATTTCGTTTTGTTTCATCCAATTCCATAGACCGGAAAAGTGAATAGGAAACAAAAACAAAAAAAAACAAAACGTTTTCAATAATAAATTTCATTTTTTTTCTCACATAAACACACACACACACACACAATACATTAAATCGAATGAAAATGAGTAGATAAATAAATGGATAGGTGTTTTGTGTGTGTGTAAATATGGATGCAACAAAAAAAAGTATCAAGAAATTATTCTAAATGTTGAAAACTTTTTTCCTTTCTACGACTTTTTTTTCGTTAAAAAAAAGTATTTGCAGTATATATATAAAAAGACAATGATTTTTAATTAGATCATATTGTTCATTAATATTAATGTAATCCACCATATATCACCGTTATCATCATATAAAATGAGAGATGGTGGTAGAAAATTTTCACACAAGTTTCCTGTTTAATGAATGTAATACATACTTACACACACACACACATACATTGAATATACAAGTGTAGTATTTATGTGTGTTGGCTTGTATATGATATTATTATGATATCATCATTATGATAATTGTTTAAGATTATCTTTCTTTTTTTCTCATTCATAGTTTCATATATAATGATGATGATGATGATGATGATGTAGTGAAAAGAATATTCTATTTTCATAGTAGTGTGAAAGAAAAAAAAAGTTATTTAATAGTAAAATGATCCATATATACACACTTGCCAAGAAAAAAAAGTGTTAATAAAGTGATTATATACACAACACACACACACACACACACTGTCCAGAAAAGTTTTTTTTTCTCTCTCTCTCCCTTTCCAACATAAGAAAATGTACATATATAGTAGCTCTTTTTATCCATGAATATCATTTATTTACACGCAACAAACACACACACACACACACACATGGCATAGTCACATTCAAAGAGAGTTAATTAATTGAAATTAATATATTTTTTTGGTGTGAAAAAGAAAAAAAAAATTTTTTTCCCCAGTTATGGACTTTCTCTTCTTCATAGGTCATTCACCTTTTTTTTCTGGATGAAGAAAAAACAATACATTCTGTTCAGAATATATTCCGGTTTTTTCAACATTTCATAATCATTCTGATTATTAAATTTAAATGAGCTTCAATTAATATGGCCATTTTGGAATGTGGTAAAAAATTCAAACACACTCACACACACACACACACAGACATATTTTCCATGGCTAATAGCCAGTTGTTTTTGTTTTGTTTTGTTGATAAATTTTCACATATTTATTTCAAATGTCAACCATATCAACAACAACAACAACAAAATCTGAATCAGGAACCCGACAGATAAATAAATAAAAGAAAGCTATTAACGAAGCGGTTTTTTCAATCAATTTTCATTGAAAAATATTTGGAAATCTTTTAAAATACATAATGTGGAGAATATATATATTCATTTTATGACGACAACAACAACAACAAAAACAAGTCATATTTGAATAATTTTCAATAGCTTTTTTTCACCCTCTCACACACTGGCTTTGAATTTGGTTCAAAAATTGAACAAAATTACACGAAAAAAAATAGAATAGATAAATTGCTCCATAGAGATAAAGTTTTCAGAGTCTGTGTTTTTCTCTATTTTTTCTTTCTCACAAACAATTTGTTATAAAGATCATCTTCAATTTTTTTTTCGGTTCCTGGTCTATTTATTTATTTAATTTTTTTTTTCTTCTTCACTATTTACGAAAATTTTATCCAAGATTCTTGAAAAATTCTTGAATGAAAGTATGCCTTTATTTTCAAGAATACTACTATATATATGAATGATATTTGCCAATGAATTTTTTCATTCGATTTAGAATGGCAAAGTAAAAAAAAACAAAGTGAATATTGAAAATAATGTTTTGTTTTTTTTTCTTATCATTGTTGATTATTATGAATACATGAATATATGTCCCACTGGAGAAATCCATTCTGATAATAAATCCATTCTGGATTCTATTCATATTCATTTGTAATCTATATTTTTTTTTAAATAAACGAAACAAAAAAAAATCGTAATTCTAATATCATTTTATTACATTCAAGATAGTTACAAATGAAAAGAAAATGATTGTAAGATTGTAAAATCGATAATATCGATGATTTGTTTGTTTATAGAACATTATATGGATATAAATGTACAAAAGTCAATTAGTCAAATATAATCAAGTCAAAAAAGTTATCTTGTTGTTACTAAGTTATCTGATGATGATTCCGGGTTTTTTTTCATCGTTATTCGGTTCCCTAGTGAATTTTATCATTTCATGTGTGTGTGTGTGTGTGTGCGTGTGTTTGTCTGATGTTCAACAATAAAATGATCCAAACAAACATTTTTTCTAATTAAAATTTAAAGCCATTTTTTCCCCGAGAACCGATTCAAAGTTCATTCAATTCAGTTTTACACATTGTGATGGCCATGTTCATGTGTTACCACCAAAAGAAATGAAAATGAAGATTCTTTTCTTTTTTGGGGAAAAAAATATTGATCGAATCCCACCAACCCATCCCCCATTGTATATGGAGATAATGGCTTTTTTCTCTCATTTCTTTTGTTCAGTTTTTTTTGAGATTATGAATAAATAAAGTAGAAAAAATCCAAAAAATAAGATATATTACTACTGCTTTTGTTGTTGTTGTTGTTGTAGTTTGAAATTCAAAAATGTTTTTTGTTGTTGTTGTTGCTACTGGTGGTGGTGGTGGCGGTGGTTTAGTTTCTAAATTCTCACAGATTTATTTATTTATATTTTTTTTTTTTTTTGATGATGATGTTTTCTTTATTTTTTTTCTGCTACCACACCGCCTTCACGATGATCATGTGTCGACACATAGTAAACCAATTTATTATTATTTTAGCCATTGGTTTAAGATTGATCCAACAATGGCAATGAACACGATTTTTTTTTCATGAATGAAAGAATTACATTTTTTTTTGTTCTTGTTGCTGACTTTTTTTTCGTTCACCATTATTTATGAGTGGCCCATGTTTTTTTTTTTAAAAGTTGATGGTACATTTCTACCCCCATATCCAATTAACGCGGGCAATATGGTCAATAATAATAATAACAACAACAACAACTTTTTTTCGTGTGTGTGTGTTTGTATGTGATCCTTTTCCGAATAATAAATCAAAATACACACACACACACACACAGAACTCATGAATACCAAAAGAAAAGAAACAAACAAACGAGAAAAAAAAGTATAAAGAAAATATGGGCTGAACTTGAAGTGAAAAAAAATGAATGAATGAATGAATCAACTGAACTGAACTGAACTTTTTTTCTTGGACTATATCTGTGTGTGTGTGTTTGTATTGTGATTAATGAACTCGGTTGAATTTCTTTTCAGTGTTTTCTTTACAGAAAAAAACGCATCATTTATTGCTGGTTCATAGAATAATGATCATCATGATCATCATGATGATCATGGTGTTGTTTATAAAGTGCCCCATAAAGAAAGAAAAAAAATCGACATTGAAGACAACAACAAAGTGAATTAACATAAAGTGAGAAACAAAATTTTTTTATTCAAACAAGAACCAAGAAATGATCATCGTCATTAATATTGGACAATGAGTGGGCGTGTATGTGTGTGTGTGTGTGTGTGGTCCACAAGAAATTGGATCATTGTTGGCTAGAAATAATAATTTTACGTTTACAAAATCAAAAGAGAAAAAACAATCATTTGTTCCAAAAGGAAATTGTTGTTGTTGTTGTTGTTTTCTAATTCAATTTTTTTTTCTATAGAATGAAAAACAAAAGTTCGAAACAATTTTTTATTGTGATATAAAAAATGTCCAAGAAAAATGGCAAAAATCTTTGAATGTACACAACCGTGGCTACATATATGACGGTTGAAACACAATTGGTTATGGGATGTAAGTGCTTTAAAATTGGCCGAAGAAATCCCGCAAATGAACAATATGATGAAAGTAATTATATGGCTGATGAAAATGGTGAACCACAAATGGATGATGAACAACTACAAGAACAACAACAACAAGAACAACAACAGGAACAACAAACACCAGAATCAACGACTACAGGTAAAATTGGTAAAAAACGTAAACGATCAAAAGAAAAACGAAAACATCAAAAAGAAAAAGAAAAATCAAAAAACATAAATCATCAAAAATTCAGGTCACTATATCACGAATACCGACAACGGATGTAACACCGATATTATCATGTAAATCGGATGGTTCAGATACTGAAAAAATAATTGAACGTATTGGTTATCGATTAGAAAAACAAATCGGCAAAGGTGGTTTCGGTACTGTTTATAAAGCAATCGATTTAAAAACTAAACAAAAAGTTGCATGTAAAGTAATGACTGTCAGTACAAATCGTAAAGATCAGCTATTGATTAAAAAAGAATTATTCATTTTACATTCAGTAGAACATAAACATATTATACGTGTTTATAAACATTTTATATTACAATCATCAAAAAGTGCACATGTCTATATATTTATGCAATTTGCCGATAAATCAGATTTATGGAATTTGGTAAGAAAAAAATTAGAAACAGGAATGAAAGAAAAACAGGCAAGAAAAATGTTCAAACAGATTACATCAGCAATTGAATATTTACATCGAAGAAATATTGCACATCGTGATATTAAATTGGAAAATATTCTTTTGGATAAAAAATATAACTGTTTAGTTACGGATTTTGGTCTAAGCATTGTTGTCATACAAAAAGAAGGCCGTGTAGTGAATGCACCAAATTATTGTGGTACAATACCATATATGGCGCCAGAAATTCATCTATTTTTAATCACAAAAATTATATTCGATGTTTTACAAGCAGATGTTTGGGCATTAGGCGTTGTATTATATTGTATGATAAATCAAGGACAATTTCCATTTTCAATGGATCAAGATGTAATGCTACAACAACAGCTTAGTGGCCAATTTCAATTTACAGATAAAATGTCATTCAAACCAGATGATCGTCTTATTGATTTGATGACACAAATATTTCAGCCAAATCCATTAATACGTATACGTATGGTTGATCTAGTACAACATCCGTGGTTGATTGATGCACCAATGGATAAAAATATTCCAAAATTAAAAACTTGTGAACCAAAAATTATGATTGATCCACCTAAACAACAGCAACAACAACAACAACAACAACAAACTGCACCAGAACATCAATCACCACCATCATTACAAGGGCAGCAACAGAATTCACAAGAAAAACAAAAACTAGATAATATTACAGGACAAATAGTCAAACAGAATCTCAAAACAATGATGATGATGATGATGAATGTTGGTGATAAAAAAGGTGGTGGTGGTGGTGGTGGAAAACAAATTCTTGAACAACAAATATCACCAGCAATGATGATGCGAATGCCAATAAAAAAACGAATGAAAATGAAAAAACGTATGAAAGTAAAAGTAAAATTGAAAAAATTTCAACGTTCACCAATGATGATGAAAATGAAGCATCAACCAAAATCACCATTTCAACAAAAACAACAACAACAACAACCACCATATATGATGCCAATGTTAATGAAAGGAAAATCAATGTATCCACCAATGTTTATGGATAAACAACAACAACAACAACAACAATTTCCACCCTTTTATCAACAACAACCATTTCCACCATTTTATCAACAACAGCAACAACAACAACAACAATTATCGAGTTATAGTTCAGGATCATCGGCCACATCTACAATGTCAAGTGATACTAGTGATAGTGATTAGTTTGATCCATTGCATTAAAGAGCCACCAGAGAGAGAGAGAGAGAGAGAGAGTGGATGAATAAATAATTAACTTTTCTCTTAATATATCTATATCATCTGGATTTAATCAACAACGAAAAACGAAAATAAAATAACACAATCACAAACGATCAATCACAATAACAACAACAACAACAACAACAGCGACGACGACGACGACGACTAAACGTTGGAAACAAAAATCTGGCAGCAGCCGAAATATATAAATAATCCAATTAATAATTACTTATTAATAAATCAGGCTAATATACATGTGTGTGTGTGCATGTGTGCATGTGTGAATGTTCAACAACAACAACAAACAAAATAACGACGAATTAATTAATTAATAATAATAATAAATCAATCAACAACGTTTTTGTTGTGTATGCACTGGTTTTTTTTTTGGTGCCACCCTGACTGGCTAGTTTTAGTTTTTTGGTTCATAATGTTGATGATATATGGGCAATGGCAATGAAAAATTGTTTTCCATAGAGAAATATTTTGAATATATCAACCAACAACCATATTAATAATGAATTTGTAAAAAAAAAGATTCATTATACTTACATAGAATTTGGACCTTAAATTGATTACTAAAACCGGTGCCCAATGAATTTTGTGCAATACATTGATAGAATCCTTGCCATTCATCGGTCACTTTTGTAATCAATAATCTTGTACCGTTATGTGTAAATTTTATGTATCCACCACCACCACCAGCACCACCATTATTACCGTCTGGTGTTCTGTTATTCGATGATGATGATGTTGATGATGTTGTCACTATTTCTAAATAATGAAAACAAATATTGGATAGAGAGTGGGAGTGAAAGCGAAAAAAAAAATAAAACGAATACATATGATTAATACGGTATTTGTAGAATATATAATGAATCCGGAAATCGCTGAATATTATTTTCCAAATAAATAAAAATAGTGTCCGGTAATGGAATAATATTATCCGGACTCTATCTATCTATCATTTCTTTGTATCATTTTTAGCCATTCATGCATATCCACATATATTTTACTTATTCAACTCTTTTTTTTCCTACCATAATGCACATTTTTCTAATAAAATTCAAACTTACCATCACCGCTGTTGTTTGTTTTATTATTGACAATTATTCGATCATCATCAGTGATTAACATTGAATCTTTATACCAACGAATATCCGTTGCCAATACCAATGGATTTGCAGATATATTACAATATAATTGTAATTGTCTGCCACGTATAGCATAACCACCACCATTATCGGTTATTTTTAATTTCCATGTTAATTGATTTTTATTGCCAAATTCATCTTCAATCTGTTGCAGTGTTACTTTTGGTGCAACTACAGTGAAAAAAAATTAAATAAAAAAATTTTTTCTCAATAAAATTTTTATTTTCATAAATCATCAAGCACTACACTACACACACACAAAATACAAAAATTCATTCAATTTCAAAATTGCAAAAAAAACAAAAATTCATTGAGAAAAATATGCTAAATTTCGAATATCAAATAGTTTACAACGTTTTTCTATATCCAACATTGTTGTTGTTTCAACCAATTCTCTAGTCTTTTCATCGGTAATTGAATCCAATTTTATAATTGTCCATTGTTTCCAATCTTCACGTGTAAATTTTTTATTACTTATAAAATTGGCCATCATATAGATCAATAAACCGAATGAATATACATCAGCCAATTGTGGATCAAATGAATCGACAAATACTTCTGGTGGAAAATGATTATCCAATAGCCGATGTTTTGATTCTAATTGTGGTAATTTTAAAAATTTCTCCGTATTCGAATCAAAATAAGCGGCTGCATTGCCAAAACCAACCAATTTTACATTGTTATTATTATCAAATACAATACTTTCACCACGTATTTTAAGATGTGCAAATGCACGTTGATGCATATATTCTAAACATGATAATATTTTACGCATATGTTTACGTAATTCATCCAATGAAAGAAAACCTTTACGTGCACGTAACATTAGATTCTGTGAATCACAATCATCCATAAATGTATAGATTTTTTGATCAGTTATAAATACATCATACACTCGTACAAATGCTTCATGTTGCAGCTGTTGTTGTTGTTCATTTGTTCGACATAGAAATTGTCGAATTTTTGTCGATTCAGGAATATGTTGTTTATATCGTACACTACGATCACTAAGAACAACAATTTTTACATAACAAGATTGTTGCTGAAATTGGCCACGATAAATGATGCAGGTTTTTCCTGCCCATATTGATTGTTTATTGATCACAACTTGATAACGTTTCAATCCAAATTCATCTACCAATGTTTTTGTTCCAGGAAAATTTTTATAATCAACCATTATTTTTTTCACTCTATCACGATGATCAATATCGGATTGTGCAATATTTGTCACATGTTTCAAACGTTCAGTTTCATTTTCCATTAATTTACGTTTTGCTTCCAATTCACTATCCAACATTGATGATAAACGTTGTTTATCTTGTTCTAATTTTTGTTTTTTATTTTCAATCATTTTTTCAATTTTACCACGTAATTCTGTACGCATCTGTTCGGCTTGTAATACAAATTGATCACGCATTGATTTGGATAATTTTTCCACTTCTTCATCAATATTTTTCTTCTGACGAAATGATTCAGCCTGACAACGTGCCTTAATTTTCGATACATCTTCACCCATAACTGATTGCATTAACATTGTACGTTTTTCAGCTAATTTTGTATCAAAAATTTTTCTCTGTTCATCTTCTTCTTCTTGAAATTTTCTCGATGCTTTAATATATTCACTTTCTGTTGAATTCGGTTCAGTTGCAGTTGATGATTCTTTACCTGTTGATTGACTTTCATTAGCAGTTTCACCATTATCATTATCAGACATTGTTTCAAAGATAGTGTGTGTGTGTGTGATGGACACTTGATTTACTTGATAAATTCAAAAAAAAATAGTCAAAATAAATATACAAACAAGAAAAAAATAAATAGAAATAATAAACATCAATAATGACCATAGTAAACTGGTTAAATACTCTAAAAATTATTCGAACTATGTTCGAACACTGTGTTGTTGTTGTTTTTTTGTTTTTCTTTAGAAAGAATTAATCATGTTACATGGTTAATTAATTTGTAACAACAACAACAACAATACAGTATGGCCAATTTCTGATATTCTGCATGATTCGTGTGTTTCATTCGAATAATAAACAACAACAACAACAACAGCAGCAGCAGCAGCAGCAGGAAGAAAATCGAAAGCTTTATTAATTAATTTCATTAATTAAATGAATTTAATTTGTCGAAAGTCGAATGTTTGCAATGGTAACTAGAAAAAAAGTGGCCGATTTTTTTCTGTTTTTTTTTGGAGAATGAGAAATTTTCCGTCCATTATGCGATGATGATATTCATTTTCGATTATCATGGATGTACATTTTTGAATCGACATCGATCGATATTTGTGTCGATGATTATTGAATGCCGATGATGGTGTATACATTGTGAAAATGTTTCCTCTTTTCATTATCTACGACGACGGCGACGACGACGACGACCAGAAAAAAAATCGATATCATTCCCGGTATCGATATTATTAATGAATTAATTAATGAAACAGAAAATCATTCAATTTCAATAACAACAACAACAACAAAACAAAAGAAAAATCATTGATTCGATAATGTTTGATTGATTGATTTTTATCTCGAATGGAAAACCGGCTTGTATGTATGAATTAGGAATTATCTTTGATTTTTTTTTCATTCTTCTCCTATTATTTTAAATTACGTAATGAAGTTTTATTGGGGAATAATAAAAACTTTGTAGCTAAAAGTGGTGACCAAAATTCTTGGAAAAATTTTCAAACAAAAAACAAATAGAATAAACACCCAATTGTAGAATAAATTTTTTTTCAATGTCTTTTTCTTGATAAATGTTTGCACACAACAACAACAAAAAAAATCTACGACGAATCATCCTCATCATCCTCATCATCATTCCGATCGATCAATTTCAATCAGCAGAAAGCTAAATCAAAACTTTGTTGTTGTTTTTTTTTTCAATTTCTTTTCACATTGTTCGACTGTTTTTGTGTGGTTGTTTTTTTTTTTTGGAATTTCTCCCACACCATTGTGTATCGATTAAGGTCACAAAAAAAAAAATATAGATATGTGGAATGTTTTCATTTTATTATTATTATTAAAGCATAAATAGGATATAAACCAACTAAACACACACACAACACACACACACACACACATTATTATAAGAATAATGGTGGTTGGTTGGTTGGTTGGTTTTTTTTGGAAAAAGATTAAGTTGTCATCAGAATCTTTTCGTTTTTTTTTGCTAAAAAAAAAAAAATTCTTTTCCTAAAATAAATTCTTAGCCCCAGATGAAAAAAAAGGGACCAAAGATATCAAATCATCAAAGCATTGCAATCCATTTTGGAACGGAATTTTTTTTTCTTTCTTTCTTTCTTTCATCGGGAAACGAGATTATTTGCTTCGGATTTGATTTCTTTTCTTTTTTTTTGTTGGTTATTGGATTTTCTTCTACAATTACTGCTGCTGCTACTACTGCTGCTACTACTTATTATTAGAAAAAATGTATCAATATTAATTTTTTCAAACCATTCTCTCTCTTTCTCTCGAGATGTAAATGGGCGAGAAGAATTATCTTTTTTTTCATTTTTCTAAATAACAGAAATCAGATCAGAAATCTTGTTTGTTTGTTTGTTTATTTTTTTTTATTTCAGGATTTATTCCAGAATCGTCCAGAATGATTGTTTGTTTGACATATGTCAAAGTAACCAATGCAAGTTTTAGCCACTAATGTGCGCATCGAACGAAAAATAGATTAAGCACTTAAAAGATTATATATAAGACGATTCTTTTTTGGAATTTTTTTTTTTTCATCCACAGAATGTGTGTTGGTTGATTTAAATTGAATTTATTAATTTTTTTTCTCAGTTTTTTTTTCAAAATCAAAAACAAAATCAATTTTATTAAATGAAAAACTGTACTTGAAAACCAAAACCAAAAACCAAAAAACAAACAATTGCACTTGTTTTTTTTTTTTTTTTGATGATGAAAAAGTCTCGAACCAAATATCATTGATAAGATTTGAGTATCATAAAAACTCAATTTTTGGTATTGTTTTTATTTGAATGATAATTTTCAGTCAAGGCCATTATCAACAAATTATCATTATCAATGTGTGTGTGTGTGTGCTGCAATTGCAATGATGTTTTCTATTGATGATGCTATTATCATTATCATTTGCATTTTCTCACTTTTATTCAATGAATAGACAAATTTTTTTTTTTCATTCAACAAACGACAATGAGACAAATACAAGGTCATTTTGTTGTGGTTGGCAACAACATAGACATTGACTGTCATCATTGATTGATTGTAGAAAAATTTTTTTTTCTTTCAGTATAAATTTACATTGAAAGTTACAAACCATCATCATTATATATATTGTTTTGTGGTTAAATATTCATCTTTCAATCTTTAATAGAAAAAAAAATGAGCGAAACAAAACCAATTCTTGGCTATTGGGATGCACGTGGTCTTGGTCAAGCCATACGTTTATTATTAACATATGCCGGTGTTGATTTCATCGATAAACGTTATACTGTTGGTCCACCACCAAATTATGATCGTTCACAATGGTTGAATGATAAATATAATCTTGGATTAGATTTTCCAAATGTAAGTTCTTGCTTTGTTTTTTTTTGTTTTTGTTTTTTTATTCTCTCTTAATTCATTGCTCACATCCTATATACACATACAGTGTCCATATTATATTGATGGTAATGTAAAATTATCACAATCATTGGCCATTATTCGATATATTGCACGTAAACAAAAATTAATTGGACAAAATGAACATGAAGAAATACGTGCATCATTAGCTGAACAACAGATTATCGATATGAATATGGCTATTGCACGTATTGCATATAATCCAAATTGTGAAAAATTGAAACCAGAATTTCTTAAATCATTACCTGAACAAGTGGAATTATTGTCAAAATTTCTTGGCGATCAACCATTCATTGCCGGTGCAAACATTTCTTATGCTGATTTTTTGCTATATGAATATCTAACTAAACTTAAGATACTAGTGCCAGAAGTTTATGATAAATTTGAAAATCTTAAAAAATTTCATGAACGTATTGAAGCATTGCCAAGAGTTTCGGAATATATTAAAAAACAACAACCAAAAGCTTTTCATGGTCCAACATCATTATGGAATGGTACATATGCATGAGAAACAACAACCGTTGTTCCAAGAAATTGATACAATTTTTCTGCATGAATTTTATCTCAATTTTTTCCCGTAAATCAATAAAATGATTTTGAAACATTTTTTTTCCTATTCCGATTCTGTATTCTATCCATCCATATCCTCCGATTACTATTTGTTTCGTATGGCAGGCAGGCAGGCAGGCAGGCCACTACAGACAAAATTTCAGGAATAGGTTTTTTTTTCTTTTCAGATTCTAAAATATATTTCTTTAATCATATTGAACCAAAAAAAAAAAAAAAAATGGACATAAATGTACATTTGATTGGATTTTTTGGAAAATATAAAACGACAACAAAATCGATTTAAAAATAATATCTTCTTTTTTTTCTTGTTGGCCATGGACAAAATTAAATTGATTCGTTCATAACACACAGGTTCCCCTCGAGAATCTAGTATTTAGGTCAATTTTGTTTTTTATTTTATTTATCATCATTGTCAATGTCATTAATTTTGGTCGTAGAACAACAACAACATCAAAAACGCATGTGTACGACAAATAATTCAAATCTTAGAAAAACAACGTACGCATTATAAAGCCACAAAATGGCTTGGAAGAATTGCTAAATGGGCTCAAAAATCTATTGAACGTTTTAATCAAAAAACTGAAAAACAAATAGCACAAATCTGGTTTCTTCGCTGTTGCCAAGATCAATCGTGGGGCAATTTAATAGCAAATTTGGAACATGACGAGCGAACCATTTGGCAAAGCTATGCGGTATTCAAAGATGACAATGGAATATTAAGAATTCGTACAAGAATTGGCAATAACCCAATGTTCACATTTGAAGAAGTTCATCCCATATTGTTGAATGGAGAAAATCAACTTACAAAATTGATCATTAATGATGTTCATCAAAATGGACATTTATCGATTCAACGAATGCATTCAGAGATAAGAAAGAAATATTGGATCACAAAAAAGGGTCAAGCAATAAAGAAAGCTGTAAATTCGTGCAAGACATGTCGAATATTGAAAGTTCTGCATGATTCGTGTGTTTCATTCGAATAATAAACAACAACAACAACAACAAAAATGTTTCATTGAGCAGCAGCAGGAAGAAAATCGGAAAGCTTTATTAATTAATTTCATTAATTAAATGAATTTAATTTGTCGAAAGTCGAATGTTTGCAATGGTAATATGGAAGAAAAGAAAGGCTAGAAAAAAGTGGCCGATTTTTTGTCTTAACGTGGTGTTATTTTTTGGAGAATGAGAAATTTTCCGTCCATTATGCGATGATGATATTCATTTTCGATTATCATGGATGTACATTTTTTTGCATCGACATCGATCGATATTTGTGTCGATGATTATTGAATGCCGATGATAGTGGATACATTGTGAAAATGTTTCCTCTTTTCATTATCTACGACGACGGCGACGACGACGACGACCAGAAAAAAAAATCGATATCATTCCCGGTATCGATATTATTAATGAATTAATTAATGAAACACAAAATCATTCAATTTCAATAACAACAACAACAACAACAAAAAAACAAAAGAAAAATCATTGATTCGATAATGTTTGATTGATTGATTTTTATCTCGAATGGAAAACCGGCTTGTATGTATGAATTAGGAATTATCTTTGATTTTTTTTTCATTCTTCTCCTATTATTTTAAATTACGTAATGAAGTTTTATTGGGGAATAATAAAAACTTTGTAGCTAAAAGTGGTGACCAAAATTCTTGGAAAAATTTTCAAACAAAAAACAAATAGAATAAACACCCAATTGTAGAATAAATTTTTTTCAATGTCTTTTTCTTGATAAATGTTTGCACACAACAAAAAAAAATCTACAACGAATCATCCTCATCATCATTCCGATCGATCAATTTCAATCAGCAGAAAGCTAAATCAAAACTTTGTTGTTGTTTTTTTTTCAATTTCTTTTCACATTGTTCGACTGTTTTTGTGTGGTTGTTTTTTTTTATTTGGAATTTCTCCCACACCATTGTGTATCGATTAAGGTCACAAAAAAAATATAGATATGTGGAATGTTTTCATTTTTATTATTATTATTAAAGCATAAATAGGGATAAACAAACCAACTAAACACACACACACACACACACATTATAAGAATAATGGTGGTTGGTTGGTTGGTTGGTTGGTTTTTTTTGGAAAAAGATTAAGTTGTCATCAGAATCTTTTCGTTTTTTTTTTGCTAAAAAAAAATTCTTTTCCTAAAATAAATTCTTAGCCCCAGATGAAAAAAAAGGGACCAAAGATATCAAATCATCAAAGCATTGCAATCCATTTTGGAACGGAATTTTTTCTTTCTTTCTTTCTTTCATCGGGAAACGAGATTATTTGCTTCGGATTTGATTTCTTTTCTTTTTTTTTGTTGGTTATTGGATTTTCTTCTACAATTACTGCTGCTGCTACTACTGCTGCTACTACTTATTATAGAAAAAATGTATCAATATTAATTTTTTTCAAACCATTCTCTCTCTCGAGATGTAAATGGGTGAGAAGAATTATCTTTTTTTTTCATTTTTCTAAATAACAGAAATCAGATCAGAAATCTTGTTTGTTTGTTTGTTTATTTTTTTTATTTCAGGATTATTCCAGAATCGTCCAGAATGATTGTTTGTTTGACATATGTCAAAGTAACCAATGCAAGTTTTATCCACTAATGTGCTCATCGAACGAAAAATAGATTAAGCACTTAAAAGATTTTATATATATATAAGACGATTCTTTTTGGAATTTTTTTTTTCATCCACAGAATGTGTGTTGGTTGATTTAAATTGAATTTATTAATTTTTTTTCTCAGTTTTTTTTCAAAATCAAAAACAAAATCAATTTCAGTAAATGAAAAATCGTACTTGAAAAACCAAAAAAACCAAAATTTGGGTGGTTGCACTTGTTTTTTTTTTTTTTTTTGATGATGAAAAAGTCTCGAACCAAATATCATTGATAAGATTTGAGTATCATAAAAACTCAATTTTTGGTATTGTTTTTATTTGAATGATAATTTTCAGTCAAGGCCATTATCAACAAATTATCATTATCAATGTGTGTGTGTGTGTGCTGCAATTGCAATGATGTTTTCTATTGATGATGCTATTATCATTATCATTTGCATTTTCTCACTTTTATTCAATGAATAGACAAATTTTTTTTTTCATTCAACAAACGACAATGAGACAAATACAAGGTCATTTTGTTGTGGTTGGCAACAACATAGACATTGACTGTCATCATTGATTGATTGTAGAAAAAGTTTTTTTTCTGTCAGTATAAATTTACTCTGAAATTTACAAACCATCATCATTATTTAAATTGTTTTTGGTTAAATATTCATCTTTCAAATAGAAAAAAAATGAGCGAAACAAAACCAATTCTTGGCTATTGGGATGCACGTGGTCTTGGTCAAGCCATACGTTTATTATTAACATATGCCGGTGTTGATTTCATCGATAAACGTTATACTGTTGGTCCACCACCAAATTATGATCGTTCACAATGGTTGAATGATAAATATAATCTTGGATTAGATTTTCCAAATGTAAGTTCTTGCTTTGTTTTTTTTTTGGTTTTTGTTTTTTTATTCTCTCTTAATTCATTGCTCACATCCTATATACAGTGTCCATATTATATTGATGGTAATGTAAAATTATCACAATCATTGGCCATTATTCGATATATTGCACGTAAACAAAAATTAATTGGACAAAATGAACATGAAGAAATACGTGCATCATTAGCTGAACAACAGATTATCGATATGAATATGGCTATTGCACGTATTGCATATAATCCAAATTGTGAAAAATTGAAACCAGAATTTCTTAAATCATTACCTGAACAAGTGGAATTATTGTCAAAATTTCTTGGCGATCAACCATTCATTGCCGGTGCAAACATTTCTTATGCTGATTTTTGCTATATGAATATCTAACTAAACTTAAGATACTAGTGCCAGAAGTTTATGATAAATTTGAAAATCTTAAAAATTTCATGAACGTATTGAAGCATTGCCAAGAGTTTCGGAATATATTAAAAACAACAACCAAAAAGCTTTTCATGGTCCAACATCATTATGGAATGGTACATATGCATGAGAAACAACAACCGTTGTTCCAAGAAATTGATACAATTTTTCTGCATGAATTTTATCTCAATTTTTCCCGTAAATCAATAAAATGATTTTGAAACATTTTTTTCCTATTCCGATTCTGTATTCTATCCATCCATATCCTCCGATTACTATTTGTTTCGTATGGCAGGCAGGCAGGCAGGCAGGCCACTACAGACAAAATTTCAGGAATAGGTTTTTTTTTCTTTTCAGATTCTAAAATATATTTCTTTAATCATATTGAACCAAAAAAAAAAATGGACACAAATGTACATTTGATTGGATTTTTGAAAATATAAAACGACAACAAAATCGATTTAAAAATAATATCTTCTTTTTTTTCTTGTTGGCCATGGACAAAATTAAATTGATTCGTTCATAACACACAGGTTCCCCTCGAGAATCTAGTATTTAGGTCAATTTTGTTTTTTTTTTATTTATCATCATTGTCAATGTCATTAATTTTGGTCGTAGAACAACAACAACATCAACAAATAGGAAATATGAAATGAACTGATATAACATGGCAACAGTAACGGCAACAACGGATGTTTTTTTTTACAATTGCCTGAAAAACAACAATAATAATAAAGAATAATATATTTCAAAGAATTACTAAATACTCTGAGCACGAATTTAATATTTTATTTTGACAGTTCATATGATGATGATGATGATATCATCATGATTATCATTTGTTGTTGTTGTTTGAAAGACATTTTTTGTGTGTGTGTGTGTCTGTGTGCCAATATATTAATGATAATGGGATTAAACTTTATTTTCTCTGAAAATGATCGGTGGGTGGATGGGTAAAAAAAAACAATAACAAAACCGAACTGACGACAACTGACGACAATCGAAAAAGAAACTGGACATCATCATCATTTTCATGAGAAAAATTTTTTTTTGAAATTCGACTTTTTTTACGAGACCGATAATAATGATGGATGGATGGATGGAGCAATGGTGATAGAATCTTTGACTTTTTTTTCCACGTATTTTAATTCTGTTTGAACCTGACGAATGGAAAAAACAAACCCCGGAAACCAACAGCAACAATAAAGGAAATGAAATCTTACCGTAAATCTATTGTATAATTGAATTTAAATAACTTCAAACAAAAACCATCATCATCATCATCATCATCATCGTCAGGAAGAATAAGAATTTTCTTTTCTCTTTTCATTTTTGGTTTTCAACTCATATATATATTCATTTGAAAGTTCATGTTTACTTACTACACTACAATGATGTACAATTTTGGCTTTTAGCATTGAATTTCATGTTTTTTCATTCAGCAGAAAAAAAAATCTTTTTATCATTTTTTTTTTTTTTACAGAGAATAAAGTCGATCCATTTACTTTACTTTAGTTGTTTTATTGTTATCTAATAATAACAATAATGATTACGATGATCATGATGATAATGATAATGATCATGATGATAGTGGATCAGATTTCCAGAGATTTTTTTTTTTGCCATTGAATGAAAATCATCAATGATTTGAATTAAGAACATTTTTCTCCACCACTCTCTTTCGCTGTTTGTATTTCAATATAACAATAATAATACCTTTTTTTTGTTTGGTTCCATTTTCATCTTGTATGGATGAAAATGGTTGAAATTGACATTTTAAGACAACATACCCGATAAACAATGGTGATGACAAAATGGAATGATAACATTTTTTTTTCTTTTGGAAATCTTTTACTATCTATTTACTTTTTGGTTTCTTGGTCATTTTGCTCTTTTCATTTTGAACCATATATGTGGTACACAATGCGCAGAATTCAATAATAATAAATTCCATTAATGGAAATTGAATGTTGATGAAAATACAATGAAATGAAGAAAACAAATGTGTAACTAAGGAAAAATTTTTTTTTTTTTGGTTTGTTTTCTTCGAGTAAAAATCTATTGTCCGTTTCTTCATCAAGTGATGAAAAGATCATCTGATCGAAGAGTAAAGAATTTGAAGAAACTTTGTTTGTTTTTTTTATTTTAAATAAAAAAAAATCAATCAGGAATTTGTGGCGAGAAAAGTTTTTTGAATAAAAAAAAAGCTTCTGGAAAAAAAACCAAGTTGTTAACTTGTTATTTCATCTATTTCATCGCTTCAATATTGTGATGAATATATCGATTGTATCGATTTTTTTTTGTTCTCATACTCTATTTCGATCGAATTTAAAAATTTCAACATTTTGTCTGTTGTTTATTTACATTTGTACCAGTCAATTATTTTTGAGTTATTTTTTTTTCTTTGTTATAATTTGAAAATTTCAAAATTTCCATTTACTTACAAACAATGTCCAATTTGAATGTATTTTCAAGTACATTTTGTTGTTGTTGTTGTTGTTGTCTTTGTTTATCATTGTTGTTATTTTTGAGCAATAAATTTTCAGCATTACAAATAATATCATTACCATTATCTTCAGTCTGTACAGTTAGCTGAATAATCGATTCAGTTATTAATGTTGTTGTTGTTGATTTGATCATTTCATCATCATTATCGTTATCGTTACCGTTACCGTAACCAAAATTGTCAAGTTGATATCTACCATTATTGTTTATTATATCATCATAGTTTATAATTATTGCCTCATCATCATCATCATAGTTATAATCATCATGTTGAATTTCCGTCACTATTGCATCATCATCATTCTGATTGTTATATTTTGCCTGACGAAATCTTTTATTTTTCATTAAATTCCGTTGCTGTTGTTTATTTCTTGAATTATCACGTTGACGACCATGTGAATGATGATGATGATGATGTCGACCAGTAACGATCACATATTGCCTAAAGCAAATGGAAATGAAAAAAAAACAAACAATGAAAATAAGAAAAAAAATGAATGAATGATCGTGTTTTAATGTTTAGAATCCTATTTTTTTTTTAGTTCTTTGATTCCAGAATGAGAACCACAATTGAAAAGAATCAAAATCATCTTATAAGAATTTCTTCTTTTCTTTTCATACACACACACACACACACAACACACACACAATAACGTGATTATTAATTCACCATCATTTTTTATTTTTATTTTTTGAATATAAATTACAAATTATGACGTAATGTTTTGTCCATAGATTCTGTTTATGTAATTATAAAAGTATGAATTTTGATTACATAACACACACACAAACAAACACACTTGAATTGGAATAAATCAACTTTCTATATCATATTTCAATATTAATCATCATGATGATTGATAGATTGTTATCGATCTTTATTTTTGTATATTTCTTGGTGATTCTTTCATCAGTCAAATCAGTATCTGTTTGTTTTCGGTATCTCCACACACACACACACACACACTCGATTATGTTCGGTCTGTTTGTTGTCAATTGTTTTTTCTTCTTCATTCGTATTCGTATTCTAGATTCTAGAGTCTAGACTCTAGAATGAACAAAAAAAAACGATTCAGGCATTGTCTTTGAAATTGAATTTTTTTTTTTTCGTTTGTCGTTCACGCTACAATGAACTACATCAACAAAGTGAGAATAGAATAAAAAAAATTCATCAAGCTTATTTTTGATTCTTTATTCTGTGTCTAAGTGTGGGTGTGATGAATTGAATAGAGAGCTATATTTATCGATTTTTTAATTTTGAAATAATTTTTAAATCATTTTAATTCAAAAATTTCAGAATTTGATTTGAATTTCCCTGAAGAAACAAACGAAAAAAAAATTTCATTTCAAATTCGTAGAAAAAAAATTAGAAAATTTGTCACTAAAAATTAGAAAATTTGTACGTGTTTGTCGCTTGTCTCTCCATTTTTTAGTTGAAAAAAAAAAAAAAAAAAAGTGAAAATCATTGACAAAGTGAAAGAGAAACAACTACGAAAAAAAACACTTTTCACATCAATTTTAATTCAATTTAAAAATTGTATATGCAAATTTTGACAGTTTGAAAACAAAAACAAAAAAAAAAAAAATCTCTGCCATTCGCCCATTCATATATACCTTCCGGGGGCTTTTAGATTTTTCATTTTACTTTCTTTCCTATAGTTAGCTCACTTTATTTTTTTTTTTCATTTTGAATTGTGTTTTGTTTTTGTTTTTGTTTTTTTTTTTGTTCTTGGAGCAATTTGAATATTTTTCTCTCTTTTTTTGAAAATTTCATTTCGTGAGTACCAAAAAAAAAAAATTACTTTTTTTTCGCTACGTTTGTTTTCCTGGGAGGTGGAATTTTTTTTTTTTGTTTTTTAATTATTAGTCTAAATGAACTTACTCTAAAACTGGTATTGGCCGATGGCCAGGCATCATAAACCAGCTATGATTTGCCGGTGGTCTTGATCCATATGATCGACAACGTATTATTATTTCCTGACCGGATATAAATGATGGTTTCGTCGATGTTTTTGTTTGATTTTTATTGTAAAAATTCGATGATGATGATGATGATGAAGATGATGATGATGGATATGCGGTAATTTCAACACGTTTTGGTTTTGCTTTGTTGTGGATGAATGAAACAACGAAAATTAAATAATTTGAGCAAGAAAAATTCAGAAAAAAACAATCAATAAACTTACTATTAACTTTCATTAAAATTTTTACATTTAAAAATGTTTGATTATCATTACTGGATAGGCACTTGAACCAACAATTATGATCATCGGCTTGTATTGGTGTTAGATGTAATTCACTTTGTAATGTATGATTTTTTTCACTCAATATATGAAATATTTGTCGCCGTATAAGTTGTTCATTACGATACCAATTTAATATTGGTAATGGTTTACCTATGAAACGAAACGAAACGAAAAAAAATAGAAACATTTCCCATTGTATCCAAACAGAAACATTGAAAATGTATTCATCATCATCATCATGCAATTTATAATTGATGCAGGTATTGATAGTTTGACGTGCGGGTTTTTCATTCATTCATTCATTTTCGTTGTTGTTGAACATTGTCAATGTAGACCAAAAAAAAACTAAATTAATACGTTTGTCGTTGTATTTTTTTTTTTTTCATTGACTAATTAAAATTAATACACACGTTTCATGTATATTTGTAGAATTTTTTTTGTTGTTGTTGTTGTTTTGTTTCCTGTTCATTTCTATTCTATTACGTCATATGTGTATGGAATAAATAATGGAATAAATCAGATCATCAGATATATATATAATTTTGAAACTGTCTTGATAGTTTTTTCTATTTCCACTTATCTGTCTCTTCTTTTTTTTGAACATAACTTATCATTCACAAATGAATAAAATATGCCTTTTTTTCGGGAAAAATAATATGCACGAATGTTGATGATGATGATGGTGGTGGTGGTGGTAGTAGTACTAGTTCTGGAACGAAGATTAATTGTGATTAATTAGTATGTTTGTGTGTGTGTGTTCATTGTTTTTTTTTGTATTTTCATTGATGGCTTTCCCATACAAAAAAAATGGCTGTATGTGCCATTGTTGAAAAATTTACTACAGAATGATGATGATTATTATTATTATGAGCTATTCAGATGACTATAAACTCGAACTGAATATTCGCTGTTGTTTGCCACATAGAATGAATGAATGTAATGTAATGTAATGACAATGAGAATGAGAATGAAAATCAAGACGAATGAATGAATTAAATCTTTGTTTTTTTTTTGTTTCCCGGAGAATAAACAGATGTATATTGAAGGGAGAGAGAGAGAGAGAGAGAGAGAGCTAATGCTAATTAATTTATTATCATTCAATAAAATCAATGGTATCAAAACAAAACAAAACAAAAAACTAGAAAATAAATAGACATTCATTATGTTGAAAATAAAAAGCATTTTTTGGAAAATTACCGCCTTCGGATAGACAAATCAATGTTGCCGATTCATTTTCATTCAACACTATTGTTTGATTTGTTTCCAATGATTTTAATATAATCATTTTATTATTATTCGATATGGATGCTAATGATGGATTTGGTCGTTGTGGATGAATAGTTGTCATTGCTGTTGTTGTTGTTGTTGTTGTTGTTGTTGTTGTTAAGCTCGATTGTTGATTGTTGACATTTTTTTCATTCGTATGATTTTTCAATGTAAAGAAATAATTTTTTCTATCCATTTTTAATAATATCTGTAATTGTTTTGGTGGTACTGAACGGAAAAAACCCCAAAAAAATCAAGTTAAGCGCCGATATCAAAAAAAAAAAAAAAAAAATTCATATGACACATACCAATCACATTTAATGTTACGGTTGAAATGGTTGTACGTTCCCATTTATAATCAACACGACACCAATAAAGACCAGAATCTTTTTCTTCAATTGGCATTATATAAAGATGTGCTGTCGATTTGGATATTGGTTTCGATGTTGTTGTTGTTGTCGTGGTCGTTGTCGTAGTTGTTGTTGTTGTTGTTGAAGGCATCGTTGAAAATGATGATGATGATGATAGTGTTGTTTTAAATTTTTGAAATTCCAATTCCGTTTCCAAATGTTGTTGTTGTTGTTTCGCAGAATTATTATTATTGGTTATTATTATATCACCCGTTTTTGTCGTTGTTGTTGTTGTTGTTGTTGTTGTTTTGGATTCATTGTTTGATTTATCGATTGTTGTTGTCGATCAATCGATTGATTCAATGTAAAATTCATTAATTGTTTATGTTGATAGGTTTTATGTATAAAATGTTGAGCATATTCAAATGGTTGATGTCTAGCATCGACACTATATATTGGTGAACCAGATATATCATCACCACGATACCATAATACTAATGATATTGAATCCGATGGATTTAATGGACGTACAAAACAAGGCAAACGAGTTAATCGTCCATCGATTGCATTCACATCACTATAAACTGAATTTTTTTAAAAAAACAAAAAATAAAATTGAGAATCGAAAACATTAAATATTTCATCATCAAATAAATGGTCAATACCAAATAAATACCAAAGAACAGAACAAAAAATAGTCAATCACTTTCAATGACTTTTGTTTCCGGTTTTTTTAGAAAAAAATATATCTCAAATACACACACACACACACATTACCACTACAACTGAAAACTATTCTATAATACGATGATTGATTGCTTTCTTCATTGTTTTCATTGGATTTTTTCTGGTTGAATGAAAATTTCACCAGGTTTTTTTTTCACCATTTCTCTGACCAGTTTGTTTCAGTCTATATGGATTATTTGGTAATTTTTTTTTCTGATTCAGAAGAATCAAAATCAAATGAACATCATATCACATGGACCAGATGGTTCTGCCAACATTATGATGATGATGAACTGTACCAAACCATCCAGAAGGAAAAAAAACCTGAATCTTTATAATTTTTGTGTTTTTTTTTGATACGATTTTTTTTTCTCTCATTTCCATGATTTCCAAGAACCACAACAACAACAACAACAAACTAGTTATGAATACGTATTCATTACATTGAAGAATTTCTCACTAAAAAACCTTGGTTCATCATTGTCTTGTTGTTTCATTTTGACCATTTGGTTGTTGTTGTTGTTGTTGATTTCACTTTATTTATTTATTTTTTGTTGCTTCTAAATAATTGAAACAAAATGTAGAATCATCATCAAAGGTCCTAGATAGGACCTTCAAAATTCTGCTTTCTCTTTCTATGTCTGTCTGCTTCATTACACAAAATAATAATATTATAATAGTGTTGAATGCTAGTAGTGTTTTGCCATTTTGTTCTTTGTTTGAATAATAGCGATGATCGCTAAGAATCACCAAGAATTGAAAATGAGACAATGGCAGCATAGTTTTTTTTTATTGTAATAAATTATAATAATAACTAAACGACAAAGTTGTACATCATCTGTTTCCGTTGTTGTTGTTGTTGTTGTTTTTTTTTTTAGATATTCGTTTATTTTGCATCTCATTTTCTTTTCTTTTCTTTCTTTTGGATCTTATTTGATTACATTATTAATATTATCATTATTATTATGAAAAAAAGCAATGTCAACGCTTGTTTGTTTGTTCGTTCATGTTTGATACATCAATACTAATAAATGGCCCTATGTGTGTTGCTTTTTCGCTTTTTTTTGCCCATTTCACAAACATTTATTTTTTTCTGGTCCCGGGCCCGTCAACTCATTTATTTATCGACATATAACATGTATGGTTTTTAGTTTGCATAAATTTTTTTTTTCGCAATATTGATTGCCTGTAATATTTAGGGTTTTTGTTGTTGTTGTTGTTGTTGTTGTTGTTTTTGCAAAGATTTGGATTTGTTTTTCCATCATTTTTCAATATGATAATTTGATACTTAAAATTTTTCACTTACTCTGATGTTGATGAGCTTCGATTAACGGTTTTTTAACTCGTGGTGATAATAATAAAATATTTTGTTGTCGTATTTTTCTTTGTAATATTTTATTATTTATTTGTTCATCGCCATCGCCATCATCATCATCATCGTCTGTATCTTCTTCATCATAAGATTGTTGTTGTTGTTCATGATAACCTATATTGTTCCGGTCATTAATCTTTGATGGCCTCACTGTTGTTGTTGTTGTTGTTGTAGTTGTTGTTAATGATTCCAATAAATTCTTTTGGTTGTGACCACTAGTATGACCATTTTTATTGTTGATATGATGATCATTGTTCATTAACGCCAATGGATCATCGTCATCATCCTCATCATCAACAACGTTTGTCCACATTTGAAATGAATCTAAAAAATGAAGAAAAAATAAAATAAAATTTCATTATTTCATAAGTTAGTGTTTCATTTTTGATCTAAAATAATTTTTTTTTTTTTAGTTCTTATTATGGTTGTTGATTTGCCATGTTGTAAGTCATGAAAAACTAAACGCAGAAAAAAAAAATGTATGTATCCTATACATACGACCAAGAACAATGAAAAGATTAATGATGATGATGATGATGATGGTGGAAAAAGAGATACAAAGTCTCGATATAGATGTCGTCTCTCTATTTTTTTTTTACTTGAATTATCATCATATTCCATGACCCAGAATTTTGATGATGATGATGATGATGATGAAAAAAACAAATTGAAAATAATCAGCTGATCTAGTGCAAACTCTACAGCTTAGTTATTATTCAATTTTTTTATTTGAAAACATTTTTTTTTTTTTTGATCATCATAATCGATGATGATGATGATGAAAGAAAAATTTTATGCAGAAAAAAAAATACTGAATAAATAAAGGGAGATATTATTCGATGAACAATGAAAATGGTGGTAAACAAATTATTACCATCACCATGTGTGATAATGTTTGGCCAAATTTTTTTTTTCGCTTCCAATATATATAGAATATTTTAAAAATCCGTTGACTATTGGAGAAAAATCAAAGCTTTTGGATTTTTTTTTCTGTTCGATAGATAGATAGATAGTGTTAAAATGTGAAATAAAAATAGAAAGAATTTTAGTGATCAACATAAATCAGGATATTGTTTTGTCTGTTTTTTTGTTTTGTTTTGTTTTGTTTTGTATCCAAACGAAGCTTATTTTTATTTTCGGTTATTATTATGCGAGTTTTTTTTTCTCTCGTGTCTATAGAATAACCGTGAATGTATGAATGAATGTGTTTAATGTGTGTGTAGAATCGTTTGTTTGTTTGCTTTTTTATTTGGATGATGATCATGATGCTTATGCCGAAAATCTTTTGAATTATTTTTTTTCCTATTCACTATGAATGGAATCGATTCTGTTTTGTTTCGAATCACCACCAGTTCGATATATGATGATAATGGTGAGAATTAAAAAAAAAAAAAAAAAAAATTCAGTTCCATAAACACAAACGTGAACGTCGTTACACATCGTTACATACATTCCTTCCCCCCCACCCGAAAAAAAAATGGAAAATGAAAATCCATTTTTATTCTGTTCTAGAACTCTTCCTGTTTTTCATATCGATTTAAAATATACTTTAAAATAAGATATACTTAGAATCTATTAGGTAAAGTTTGAATGAATATAATAATATATTATTTTTTTTTTTTTTATTTGAATTGTAGATTTTCATTTTCAATTTCATCTGATAATTCAGTTCTTCTTTTATCACAAAATGCTGCTACTACTTTTACCGTGTCTTGTATTTTTTTTTCTGTTACCGAAAATGATACACACACACACACACACACACACGACACGACAACGGCGAATTGAAAATGTGTATACATTTTTTTCCGGTTCATTTTGAATATTATCATTTTAAGACTTGAAATGAAGCTTAACAACATGATGATGATGATGATGATGATCATATTATCATCATCATCATTGCCATCATGGATTCTAAATCTTTTTTTTCTCTTTTTTGAGCAAAAAAAAAATATAGAAAAAAAACTTTTTTTTTGTTTTATTTTGTTTCTCTTTCATATTTATATAAATGCCCGGAATCCGTGATCATCATCATCATTATTCATTAAAATAAATCATCTTTTTTCTCTTTTTTTTTCTACTACAACTGAACAGACTATATGCACACAATGTCAAGTATTATATGTATGAATGTGTGTGTGTGTGTGTTTGTGTCTAATAGAATTATGGATAAAGATTCTTATAGTTTTTTTTTCTTCATCATTGGAATCAGGGAAAAAAAACAGGAATTATAATACGATATGATGATGTGGATGTAGGTAGAGCAGCATATAAATAATAATCATATTTTGTTTGTCGGTAACTATTTCGGTATACACAGTCCATCATGCACAGTTTCCGTTATAGATACTGGTGTTTTTTTTTATTCTTTTGGTAACAAGATAACTTTATGATTCATTCGTGAATCATAAGCCAGTTCTGCTGATGATGATGATGACGATATTCACACAGCCGGATGCAAATTCAATGAAAACCATCGGTGATGATGACTAAGTTTTTTTGTTTTGTTTATATCCATTGCCCATAGGGTTCCAATGATAATGATATCTCATTTTTCTTATTCACTATTTGTGTGTGTGTGTGTGACATTTTTTTTGGAGGGGACCATATTTCATTGTTGTCCCAATTTTTCCGGTTATTGGATTTACAGTTGGATGGCATTTAATATATTGATATTATTATTGCACTGAATCAACTGTATGTGAAACGAAAAAAAACGAAAAAAATTCCAGGTGTTTATGATTCGATGACGATGATTTTTCTTATTTCTTCATCATTCACGTCAACAATAATCATTTTGATTAGATTCGATATTATCACATGAATGAATATTAGATATCAAAAATGGTTTGGTTGGCCATTCATTTGTCAATTGTTAGTATGGAATCCAAATTCGTTTTTTTGTTTGGCTTACAAACAACAGTCAGACATCGATCAAATGGACAAAATTTTTTTTCAGACTTTGTCACATACAAAAAAAATGGCATTTGAGATATATATTGATTGTGCGTCTGTGTCTGTTGATAATAATTATCATTTTTTTTGTCTGTGATTCAAAAGTCTCTGAAGTGATAATAATAATAATAGTAGTGTTTTGTCCGATAGAGAAAAAAAATAGAATCTCTGTATAAACATCTTTCAGTGTTATTATTCGTTGACTAAAGTCTATTAATGACAAAATTTTCTTTTCGTTTCTTTTCGTTTCGTTTCGTTTTTTTCACATTACATTAATGATAATGATGATAGCCAGTAGATTATTTGCTAAAAAAATATGAAAAGAGAAAATTTTCTTACTTTTTCTATCCACAATATCCGAATCTATTGATGTAGATGATATGGATGCTGTATGATAATAATCAGATTCATCATCAAATTGATTCCAAATGTAAAAATTTTTCAATGTTATCGATGACGATGATGATGGTAAGCTCGTGGTTGTTTTCAAAATATTTGGTTTAATAGTCGTGGTTGTTGTTATTGTTTTTGTTGATTTCAATGCTTCAATCATAGTCATATTCAGCATCATTAACATTGTTGTTGTTGTTGTTGTTTCTTGTTGTGATTCCATTCCAATGATTGTGGTGATGATTATCATCAATAGTAATAGTAATATAAATTTAATCATTTGATAATTCATGATTACAATATATATATTATTCATATGATGACCATTTTCTGATTAATTTATAACACACACACACACATATATATATATATATATGTTGAGTGGTTCGATTCAATTGATGTCAATTTTCAATGACTTTTGTTGGATTTTTGTATTTTTTCTCTGTCGTTTTTTCGATGGATTTGTTTTAATATCCGGTAGTATTTACTGTTTTGTATGTGCATTTTGTTTTTGATAACATTCATATACACACACTAGGATTCAGTGGATTCTCAAATGTTGTTTACACATACACACACACACATATTTGATTTGTATCACTATCAATGATGGTGTGTTGATGACCGTTTCGTTTTATTTTGAATAAAATGTTGTTGTTGTTGTTGTTGTTGTTGTCAGCAACAATCAAATTGAATGGACAACGAGAGAATGAAAAAAAAACGAATCGTTCCAGGAATGAATGTTGATCAACCGATTTCATGCATGATTTTCATTGGCATTTGAAGTGGCGATGCTAGCGATGGTGGTGGTGGCGGTGGTGGTGGACAATATAGTTCTAAATATAAAAAGAAAAAGAAAAATAGAAAGTGAAATGAAAAAAAAATTCAAAGAATGAGAAATGAACTACAACAACATTCTGAAATAGAATTTCGAAAAAAAATTTTCGATTTTTTTCCATTTTTTTTTGAAAAAAAACGGAATAACATCACCTCATCATCGGATCAATGACTGAAGATTTTTTTTTCTCATTCATTCATTCTCGCCCTATCGCCACAAGTTTTCAACTTTTTTTTTTAAAAAAATTCCATTTTATTCCATTCAATTCAATAATAATAAATCAAAAATTTATCTTTTCTATTGCAGTTTTTTTTCCTTTTTTTGGTACGGTATGGTGGCCATGTTAACAACATTTCTCATAAGTTTTTTATGGAGAAAAAAAAACCAAATAATTCTTTTCTGTTGCTCAAACCCAGATACTTTTTTCAGTTCAACTAACGTGAAAAAAAATTACATTTTTTTTATTGTATTTTTTTCACATCAAAAGGTGAATCATGCTTTCATTATTATTATTATTATTATTATCATCGAAATATTAATATATTGCTTTGATTTTATGCGTTTTTTTTCTCATATTAAAAGCAGAAGCAGAGTTTTTTTTTCATTTGATTCGTTTTTTTTTCTCTACTCTTTTTCTTTCAATGGTTTCAATCTAGAATGTAGTGTGCAATTCTCTATTTGTTGATGATGTTTGGTGAATGTTTCCGTAATGGGCTCTGAATAGTGAATTTGAATTTTAAATTTTTTTGTCCGTTATTCAAAGAAATAAAGGGCAAATTCAAACCTTGAAAAGATTGAAATTTCTTTGTTTTTTTTCCATTCATTCATTCATTCATTCACTTCACTTGAATAGGAAAAAAAACAGAAATTCTTTTGAAAAAGTCAATGACTATTTTTTTTTATCATTTTCCACTAAACATTTAACATTTTGTAAGAATTTTTGGATTCATCATCATCATCATCATCATCATAATCATACGATCAATATTTTTCCAACGAACAAATCAATGGCACATCGATTTGTTTCGCAAAAACATTTTTATTTTTTTTTTCGTCTTCAAAAGATAATTGAT